ATGCCCTTGGGGCTCACGACAGCTCCTTTGGTGTTCACCAAGTTGCTGCTGGTGTTTCCTTCACTCCTGCAGAATAGACGTCCACATCTATTTCGACGACTCCCTCATGCCTCTTTTGGTGTGGGAATCGTTAGTGAAGGACACTCGTCTGGTCCTGAAACTCTTGCTCAGAGTCGGCTTCATTCCTTCCAGAGAGAAGTCAGAGGTTCCTTCATATTAGGACTTCTTCTTCCTGGGGAACCATTTTGACATGGTTCGGGGCTTAGCCCTTCCACCTCTGGAGAAGTTTGAGAAGGTCAGGGCTCTGGCTCTGACTTTCATCACTTGGTCACTTGTCCAGGTACATTGGTTCCTCAGTTTTCTGGGGTATCTCAACTCCTTGGCATATGTGGTCCCCCTAGGGAGGATTCACATCGGACCTCTCCAGATGTTCCTCCTGTCTGACTGGGTTCCGTCATCCAGGAGGCCTGGATCCCGCTTACCCAGTCGGTCAGGGAGTTCTCTTGCTGGTGGACCATTCAGGAGAACGTTTTCCACGGGGTACCTCTGACCAAGCCTATCCCCTCTATGATCCTGTTCATGGACGCGTTCATGACAGGAATGTGAGCTTACCTCGATGGGGGAGTGGTCTGGCGAATAACTCTCGGAGCACATCAGTGTACTCGAGATGACACTGTTCATTTGGCTCTGCAGTCCTTTAGGGGTATCCTGCAGTCCAAAGTGTGGCTACCGACAACAGTTGTCGCGTATCTGGAGAGACAGGGGCCACCAGGTCTCATGTCCTGTGTGCCCTCTCCATCCACATCCATCTTCTCTGCCAGGACATGCAGTTGACCATAGCGGTCAAGCATCTTTCTGGCAGGCTGAGTGTGTTGGTGGCCACTCTCCAGGCGCCACCAGCCGGTGTTGACGGAATGGCAGCTGTGTCCCTTGATTTTCAAGGGGAATTGTCAGGCGTGGGACAGACCTATTATAGACCTGTTTGCCACTTCCCTGAACAACCAGCTGCTAACCTTCGTCTCCCCGGTCCCAGACCGTAAGGCGTGGGCTGTGGACGCCCTTTCTCTGGAATAGGAAGGGACGTATGCATATGCATTCCCTCCCTTCAACCTGGTGGGCAGGGTTCTACAGAAGTTCTGGGAGCATCACTGCTCCTTACTTCTGAGAGCCCCTCTGTGGCCGAGGCAAGCTTGGTTTCAGGAGCTCTTGTCGTTTCTGGTGGAGGAGCCCTTGGCTCTCCCCACCAGACCGAATCTCCTTCGCCAGCCTTGGCCCAGAACGACACACTCTTGACCAGAGATCCTCCACCTTCACGCGCTGAGGCTATCTCTGGAAGCCACGCCAAGGCAGGCTTTTCTCAAGAGGTGTCCGATTGCATTGAGCAATCAATCAGGGCTTCCTCTTCTGCCGTCTACCAGTCACGTTGGATGATCTTCTGTGATTGGTGTGTCGGCAAGGAAGCTTATTCATTCGAAGCCTCTGCATTTGATTGCGGAATTCCTAATCTCTCTGTTTAGGTACCGCTATCTGCCACCTGGCACTATTGCTGGCTATCGTACAGCTATTGCCAGAGTTCTTGCTTGTTATGGCAGGAAGGAGATCGGTTAGTCCTCCTCTCTTTCTGCCCTAATCAGAGGCTTTGCTATGAATAGAGTTGTTTTTAGCGAAGAATCAGGTTCCGGGGTTCTCGCACGATCCCATCAGGATCCTGGCTGTGACTAGCTCGGAGGAGCGAGATAGGTTGCTTTGTCCTTGTCGGGCTCTTAGGTTTTATCTTGATAAAACCAGGGGGGGGCGGGGCTCTCGATCCCGTCTGTTTTGCCCATTAAACAGGGGCAACGAGATATCTCCTCCCAGTCGGTTTCCAGGTGGGTTTGCCAGGTGATTTAGTATGCTTACGAGCATTTTGATGATCTGGCTCGGGCGAGAGTGAAAGCGCGGTCTCACGAGGTCAGGGCCCTTGCTTCATCCTGGGCCCTTCTCTCAATGAGTCCTCCTTTCAGGAGGTCATGTCTGCAGTATTCTGGCAGGGCAGGGATACCTTAACAGATTTTTATCTGTGATCCCTAGCTTCCCACTCAGAAGGCCTGTATCATTGGGACCTTTGGTGGTGGCATAGTCAGTGGCTGGGCCTCCTCGTTAGCCCCGGGCCATGTCTTTCCGTACGGCGGCATGTGGGTACACCTGCTCTTTCACAGAGAGGTCCCTTCCTTCACTTTAGCACTCTGTTCTCCCTCCCTACTACTTTGGTTGTGCTGAAGGGGCTGCCTGGCTTCTAGTCACCACTACGGTAAGACGAATTCGCATACTAAAGTTATGGTAATTATTACTGAAATGAAATTGAGGTTTTTTAATGTAAAACCAATTTTCATGATGTAATACTTACCATAACTTTATGGAGTCCCACCCTATCCTCCCCTCTTCCTTATCTGCCTGGCTGCCCCTCTGTGGGGTTTACGCCATAAAGGTTATTAGAGGAAGGGAGATCACTCTGCGTTCCTGTCGTGATGGCTCATGGATCGTAGGGAGGGCGGGATTGTTTTTCTTTTGAATCTTTTGTTGTTGGGATACAAAGATGGGTGTAGGTACTGTATTTGCATACTAAAGTTATGGTAAGTATTACATCATGAAAATTGGTTTTACATTAAAAAACCTCAAACTTCTGGCATGGTCTCATCCAGGCCTGCCTTACAGGAGACACAAAGGCATGGGCTGGTCCAGGTTTGTCTGACAAGGGCATAAAGGACAGGTAAATACCCTGTACCTTGTGTAGTCTCATGCAGGCCCCCTTTACAAAGGATTCAAGGATTTTAATTACATATGCTTTAGACAAGGCCTTATCTATGCCTAGTTGACAAGGATCACAAATGACAGGTAAATGCACTAAAGTATAGGTGTAGTCTGGGTCTGATTTTAAGTGATGTCAAGTGATGCACTGTTCATAAACTTTCTAAGAACTCCTTCTCCATAACCAAAAGGCCAAGCATACTGATATTTGGCTTGTAGCATACTCACATGAAGGGCTACTACATTTGTTCAAATGAATGAAATTGACTCACTTACAAGGTCACACAGGTCAAATGTGTTAAAATCCTCACTTTTTCTCAGTAACCAAATAAAAGATACAGGGTGCTGATAATGGATTTGTATAACTCTGCAATGAAGGGCTATCAAGATTTTTCAAATGAATCACCTTGATATACAGGTCACAAGGGTTAATTGCGTGACGATCTTAAGATTTCTTTCAACAAGCAATTGGTCCTAGATCATGGTATTTGTGTATTTGCTTTCTTGTGGAATACCATTTCAATTTTGCAGAAATTGACTTTATGAACCAACAATTTGTTTTTGTAAGCTGTAGAGCAAATGAGTGATTCAGGCCTATTGGGCCTCTAACTGTTAAAATATTCTCAGTATTCCTAATCATATATAGGTGTTTAAGGACCATTAAGGTCTATGTGCCTCTTGCTTTGTCTTTTTATATCAATATAATTTTTTATTAACTGATACGATAGATATTAACTGTTTCCATGTTTTATTCAAAATCAGTGAAAGTCGATACCTGCTGCTACTGACTGAAAACTACGGAGCATTGACAATTCTACAACAAGAAATCCTGAAGAAACAAAAAGCTATCACCATATTTGGTAGCAGCTTCCCAAGTGATCAGGAGTATACACAAGTAAGGACTGGCACTTGACCACAGAATATTTTAATATACATTGTATTGTATATATATATGTATTGTATTGTATATATAGGTATTGTATATATAGGTATATATATATATGTATTGTATTGTATATATATGTATATATATAGGTATTGTATTGTATATATAGGTATTGTATTGTATATATAGGTATTGTATATATAGTATTGTATATATACAGGTATTGTATTGTATATATAGGTATTGTATTGTATATATAGGTATTGTATTGTATATATATTGTATTGTATATATAGTATTGTATATATATAGGTATTGTATTGTATATATATAGGTATTGTATATACAGGTATATATATATAGGTATTGTATATATATATATTGTATATATAGGTATTGTATTGTATATATAGGTATTATATTGTATATACATGTATTGTATTGTATATATAGGTATTGTATTGTATATATAGGTATTATATATATATATGTATATATATAGTATTGTATTGTATATATAGGTATTGTATTGTATATATAGTATTGTATTGTATATATAGTATATATATATATATAGGTATTGTATATATATATGTATTGTATTGTATATATAGGTATTATATTGTATATATATATGTATTGTATATATAGGTATTGTATTGTATATATAGGTATTGTATTGTATATATAGGTATTGTATTGTATATATATATGTATTGTATATATAGGTATTGTATATATATAGTATTGTATTGTATTGTATTGTATATATAGGTATTGTATTGTATATATAGGTATTACATTGTATATATAGGTATTGTATTGTATATATAGGTATTGTATTGTATATATAGGTATTATATTGTATATATATATGTATTGTATATATAGGTATTGTATATATATATGTATTGTATTGTATATATAGGTATTATATTGTATATATATATGTATTGTATATATAGGTATTGTATTGTATATATAGGTATTATATATATATATGTATATATATATAGGTATTGTATTGTATATATAGGTATTATATTGTATATATATATGTATTGTATATATAGGTATTATATTGTATATATAGGTATTATATTGTATATATATATGTATATATATAGGTATTGTATATATATATGTATTGTATATATATATAGGTATTATATTGTATATATATATGTATTGTATATATAGGTATTGTATTGTATATATAGGTATTGTATTGTATATATAGTATATATATATATAGGTATTGTATTGTATATATAGGTATTATATTGTATATATAGGTATTATATATATATATATATGTATTGTATTGTATATATATATATGGTATTGTATATATATAGGTATTGTATTGTATATATATGTATTATATTGTATATATAGTATATATATAGGTATTGTATTTTAGATGCTTTCTCTTTCCAATCACAATTTTATCAGTTCTTCACTGGAATCATGTAGTTGAAACTGCACAAATAGAGAATATGGAGAGTTTCACTAAATTATGCCTTCATACAGTTTTACTTACTGCACTTGTTCTAACTTCACATCATCAATTATTGATCTGGACTTAAACTTTTTACAGATATATGTCTTTGAATAAGGGAATGTTGCTTACAGAAGTTATGGTCTGAATATACTACTGCCTAATACTCTGGTTAAAGACATGTCACTTCATCAATATTGTAACTAAAGACATGACACTTTGTACCCCTGTATACACTTCATCAATATTGTAACTAAAGACATGACACTTTGTACCCCTGTATACACTTCATCAATATTGTAACTAAAGACATGACACTTTGTACCCCTGTATACACTTCATCAATACTGTAACTAAAGACATGACACTTTGTACCCCTGTATACACTTCATCAATACTGTAACTAAAGACATGACACTTTGTACCCCTGTATACACTTCACTTATACTGTAACTAAAGACATGACACTTTGTACCCCTGTATACACTTCACTTATACTGTAACTAAAGACATGACACTTTGTACCCCTGTATACACTTCATCAATACTGTAACTAAAGACATGACACTTTGTACCCCTGTATACACTTCGTCAATACTGTAACTAAAGACATGACACTTTGTACCCCTGTATACACTTCGTCAATACTGTAACTAAAGACATGACACTTTGTACCCCTGTATACACTTCATCAATACTGTAACTAAAGACATGACACTTTGTATAGTGTGGTATTTTTTACCAATTGTATTTATAATTCAAAGATGTAGGTGGAATGAATTAGTTTAATTATTAACTCCATGTAAGTCACTCACTTGTACATTTCATGCCTTTCTGTAGAAGTGATAAGATGTAAATTACCCTTTATTGTTGGTACCATTGTCAACAATGAGTGATGTTCCTTAAGCCTTGGTTTAAAATAGCAATGATAGTAATAGATCATCACATAGTTATTAACATGGTCATGTTAATGTTAAATTTATAGGTGTGTAGGAACATCAACCGCATTAAGGTGTGTATGGAGACGGGCAACACTGTGGTTCTTCTTAACCTCGAGAACCTTTACGAGAGTCTGTACGATGCTCTAAACCAGGTAATTATACACCTTGTTAAGCTTGATGAGAGTCTGTACGTTCTCTAAACCAGGTAATTATACCCTTGTTAGCTTGATGAGAGTCTGTACGATGTTCTAAACCAGGTAATTATACACCTTGTTAAGATTATTGAGAGTCTGTACGATGTTCTAAACCAGGTAATTATACACCTTGTTAAGTTTGATGAGAGTCTGTACGATGCTCTAAACCAGGTAATTATACACCTTGTTAAGCTTGATGAGAGTCTGTACGATGTTCTAAACCAGGTAATTATACACCTTGTTAAGTTTGATGAGAGTCTGTACGATGCTCTAAACCAGGTAATTATACACTTGTTAGCTTGATGAGAGTCTGTATGATGTTCTAAACCAGGTAATTATACACCTTGTTAAGCTTGATGAGAGTCTGTACGATGTTCTAAACCAGGTAATTATACACCTTGTTAAGTTTGATGAGAGTCTGTACGATGCTCTAAACCAGGTAATTATACACTTGTTAGCTTGATGAGAGTCTGTATGATGTTCTAAACCAGGTAATTATACACCTTGTTAAGCTTGATGAGAGTCTGTATGATGCTCTAAACCAGGTAATTATACACCTTGTTAAGTTTAATGAGAGTCTGAATGCTGTTTAATTAGAGATGAGTTTGTTCATCATTGTAAATGTATTTGTTTGTGAATTTGTCTGACAATCTGAACCAGGTTTATATATAAATGCTGAAATCCAGACAAAAGATCTTCAAGTTCATAGTTACAATAGACAATTATATGGTTATCAACTTAAGATATCATAGTAGCAAAGAGAGTGCTTAAATGTCCAAAATAGACTTTAGAAAGTGGATCATTTCTTTCTCTTTGGGCTCTCTCTGATTCTGATTGGTTTTAGTTGAAAAAGAATGTACAGGGAAGGAAACTGGTTTGTAATAGGTCAGATTAACAGAACAGCTCTTAGAAATTGTCAGTTTTCCTTTGTGAAACTAACTCAATGCTCCTCACAAAGATGATATTGTTATTTAAGAACAAATGAGCTGGTCACATATTCCTTTTTTCTCCATTTTAAGCTTGTAAGATTTCTTGTGATTTCAAATGCATTATATATGTTATCAGATTTTGATGTCTGTTTCAGTATTATGTGGAGTTTGGAGGTGAGCGGTATGTTGACTTGGGGCTTGGAACACACAGAGTCAAATGCAGAGTCCACAAAGACTTCAAGTATGTTTGTGTTGTTGTAAATATGTTTGTGTTGATGTTCAGTATGTTTGTGTTGTAAATATGTTTGTGTTGATGTTAAATATGTTTGTGTTGTTGTAAATAGGTTTGTGTTGATGTTAATATGTTTGTGTTGTTGTAAATAGGTTTGTGTTGTAAATATGTTTGTGTTGATGTTCAGTATGTTTGTGTTGTAAATATGTTTGTGTTGATGTTAAGTATGTTTGTGTTGATGTTAATATGTTTGTGTTGTAAATATGTTTGTGTTGATGTTAATATTTGTTTGTGTTGTAAATATGTTTGTGTTGTTTGTGTTTAATATGTTTGTGTTGATGTTAATATGTTTGTGTTGAAATATGTTTGTGTTGTTGTTTGTGTTGAAATATGTTTGTGTTGTAAATATGTTTGTGTTGATGTTAAGTATGTTTGTGTTGTTTGTGTTGATGTATGTTTGTGTTGATGTTAATATGTTTGTGTTGATGTTAAATATGTTTGTGTTGATGTTAATATGTTTGTGTTGTTTGTTAATATGTTTGTGTTGTGTTAATATGTTTGTGTTGTTGTAAATGTTTGTGTTGTAAATATGTTTGTGTTGATGTTCAGTATGTTTGTGTTGTAAATATGTTTGTGTTGATGTTAAGTATGTTTGTGTTGATGTTAATATGTTTGTGTTGATGTTAATATGTTTGTGTTGTTGTAAATATGTTTGTGTTGTAAATATGTTTGTGTTGATGTTCAGTATGTTTGTGTTGTAAATATGTTTGTGTTGATGTTAAATATGTTTGTGTTGATGTTAATATGTTTGTGTTGATGTTAATATGTTTGTGTTGTTGTAAATATGTTTGTGTTGTAAATATGTTTGTGTTGTAAATATGTTTGTGTTTATGTTAATATGTTTGTGTTGATGTTAAATATGTTTGTGTTTATGTTAATATGTTTGTGTTGATGTTAATATGTTTGTGTTTTAAATATGTTTGTGTTGTATGTTTGTGTTGTAATATGTTTGTGTTGTGTTTGTGTTGATATGTTTGTGTTGTAAATATGTTTGTGTTGTATGTTAATATGTTTGTGTTGTAAATATGTTTGTGTTGTGTGTTAAATATGTTTGTGTTGATGTTAATATATGTTTGTTTGTTTGTTTTAAATATGTTTGTGTTGTAAATATGTTTGTGTTGTAAATATGTTTGTGTTGATGTTGATATGTTTGTGTTGATGTTAATATGTTTGTGTTGTAAATATGTTTGTGTTGTAAATATGTTTGTGTTGTAAATATGTTTGTGTTGATGTTGATATGTTTGTGTTGTAAATATGTTTGTGTTGATGTTAATATGTTTGTGTTGATGTTAATATGTTTGTGTTGTAAATATGTTTGTGTTGTAAATATGTTTGTGTTGTTGTAATGTTTGTGTTGTAAATATGTTTGTGTTGTGTTTGTGTTGATGTTAATATGTTTGTGTTGATGTTAATATGTTTGTGTTGATGTAAATATGTTTGTGTTGATGTTAATATGTTTGTGTTGTATATGTTTGTGTTGTAAATATGTTTGTGTTGATGTTTGTGTTGATGTTAATATGTTTGTAATATGTTTGTGTTGATATGTTTGTGTTGATGTTAATATGTTTGTGTTGTGTTTGAATGTTTGTGTTGTTTGTGTTGTATATGTTTGTGTTGTAAATATGTTTGTGTTGATGTTAATATGTTTGTGTTGTAAATATGTTTGTGTTGATGTTAATATGTTTGTGTTGATGTTAATATGTTTGTGTTGATGTTAATATGTTTGTGTTTTGAATATGTTTGTGTTGTAAATATGTTTGTGTTGATGTTAATATGTTTGTGTTGATGTTCAGTATGTTTGTGTTGTAAATATGTTTGTAAATGTTAATATGTTTGTGTTGTTGTAAATATGTTTGTGTTGTAAATATGTTTGTGTTGATGTTAATATGTTTGTGTTGATGTTAAATATGTTTGTGTTGATGTTAATATGTTTGTGTTTATGTTAATATGTTTGTGTTGTGTTATATGTTTGTGTTGATGTTAATAAATATGTTTGTGTTGATGTTAATATGTTTGTGTTGATGTTAAGTATGTTTGTGTTGATGTTAATATGTTTGTGTTGTAAATATGTTTGTGTTGTAAATATGTTTGTGTTGATGTTAATATGTTTGTGTTGATGTTAATATGTTTGTGTTGTTGTAAATATGTTTGTGTTGTAAATATGTTTGTGTTTATGTTAATATGTTTGTGTTGATGTTAATATGTTTGTGTTGTAAATATGTTTGTGTTGTAAATATGTTTGTGTTTATGTTAATATGTTTGTGTTGATGTTAATATGTTTGTGTTTTGAATATGTTTGTGTTGTAAATATGTTTGTGTTGTAAATATGTTTGTGTTGATGTTAATATGTTTGTGTTGATGTTAATATGTTTGTGTTGTTGTAAATATGTTTGTGTTGATGTTAATATGTTTGTGTTATGTTTGTGTTTATGTTAATATGTTTGTGTTGATGTTAATATGTTTGTGTTGTTGTAAATATGTTTGTGTTGTAAATATGTTTGTGTTGATGTTAATATGTTTGTGTTGATGTTAATATGTTTGTGTTGTAAATATGTTTGTGTTGTAAATATGTTTGTGTTGATGTTAATATGTTTGTGTTGTAAATATGTTTGTGTTGTAAATATGTTTGTGTTGATGTTAAGTATGTTTGTGTTGATGTTAATATGTTTGTGTTGTAAATATGTTTGTGTTGATGTTAAGTATGTTTGTGTTGATGTTAATTTGTTTGTGTTGTAAATATGTTTGTGTTGATGTTGATATGTTTGTGTTGATGTTAATATGTTTGTGTTGTAAATATGTTTGTGTTGTAAATATGTTTGTGTTGATGTTAATATGTTTGTGTTGTAAATATGTTTGTGTTGTAAATATGTTTGTGTTGATGTTAAGTATGTTTGTGTTGATGTTAATTTGTTTGTGTTGTAAATATGTTTGTGTTGTAAATATGTTTGTGTTGATGTTAATATGTTTGTGTTGTAAATATGTTTGTGTTGATGGTAATATGTTTGTGTTGTAAATATGTTTGTGTTGAAGTTAATATGTTTGTGTTGTAAATATGTTTGTGTTGATGTTAATATGTTTGTGTTGTAAATATGTTTGTGTTGTCAACCCTGTTTTTGGTAAGATTTTTGTTGCTGTTTTGTTTAAAAAACTTACTGAATATGATATTCCATTGTTCAGACATGTGAATATCACCGCTGTATTTCATAAATAGTTTGAAGGAAGCATTTGGTGGTAATTGATTGATAAAGAAATTGTAAAATGACTGGGAAGGGACTATCATTTGCTTCTTAAAAAGGCCGAATAGGCCAACTCTTTGTCTGGAACGTAGGAGATGCTTGTTAGAAGACTGTAAATCCCAGATCAGCTTTATTAGGTGTGGATGGGTTTACAAGCAAAAACACAAATAATGCAGTGCCATTTTTGTGATGAATTTCAGAAATCTGAGCTGCTAGCTTTGATGATGCCATGCAGTAACATTCAAATGAAGTAAAATTTCATTACTATATTGATGTCAAGCTATTGTCCCTGGTATCATTTTCATGACGTTTCAGGGTTCATCAGACTTTTTGATATCATTATCAATTGTCATCTGTACTGGATTTGAAAACATAAATTGTTTTCATTCACTAATCAAATATGTTACGTCTCAAATCATTGCATTGTTGAATAAATTATACTTTCCAATCAACCTTATCCTTCTCGATACCTAGACATAGAAAATTATTCTGATTTGTAGGCTGATAGTGGTGGCAGAGAAGCAGATTGTGTATGACAAGTTTCCCATACCTCTCATCAACCGTCTAGAGAAACATTTCCTGAATGTGTCCACCATGTTGACAGAAGAACAGTTGAAATTAACACAGGAACTTGAGAAATGGGCTAAAGACTTTGTCAAGACTCAGGTCTTTTCACATGCTAGGTAAGTATTGTTAGGCACAAACTGGTAATTAAGTCACACAGATGTGAGACAATGAAGATAAGCATTGATTCACTAATCATTACAATGGAAATCCCAGCAAATATTTTACATTGAATAAAAATATCAGAAAATTTCTATCATATGCTTGTATACATGGATACCTATTCATAGACATGCCCTCCTAACTACTTCTAGAGGTGGTTTTACACGTACCTCAATCCACGTGAACTATGCCAAACAGGAACAAACTCTGAATTTAGGTCTGCGAAATTGAACAACTATACAATACAATAATTTTCAATCATGGCATGTTCAGGACTTAAATTACTACATTTTATTGCGTTTTTGGTAAAACAAGGAAGGGATCTATAGTTTTCCATCCATTTGTCCATCTGTTTGTCAGTACTCTAGTGACTTCACTAGGGATCAAACTTTATACACTTTTACAGATCTAAAGATATTCAACAAGTTCAAAGTTCAGGATTACTGGGTCATGGTCATTGTTACTGTCTTTAGAAAATCATTGTCAGCAATCTTGTGGCTTCACTCATTGAGGATTTTCATAAAACGTCACACACTTTGTGGTACTAAAATGTCCTCTACAAGTTTGAGTTTCAAGGATATTTGGTCATTCAAGCATCATATACTTAAAAACAACTTAAATATTTCAGACAAGTCTGAGTTTTAGGGGTGTTAGTTTTAAGTCATTATTACTATTTTCACTATATCATTGTCAGCACTCTAGAAGCCTCATTTTTTCAGGGATTGTCATAAAACGTCACACACTTTGTGGTACTAAAATGTCCTCTACAAGTTTGAGTTTCAAGGATATTTGGTCATTCAAGCATCATATACTTAAAAACAACTTAAATATTTCAGACAAGTCTGAGTTTTAGGGGTGTTAGTTTTAAGTCATTATTACTATTTTCACTATATCATCGTCAGCACTCTAGAAGCCTCATTTTTTCAGGGATTGTCATAAAGCTTCACACACTTTTAAAGATTCATTGAACAAGTTTTGAGTTGTTGAGTGGAGGTCACTTTTTAGAAAATCATTGTCAGCATGCTAGTGGCTTCATTCCTTACAGGATTTTGATTAAATTTCACACACTTACAAATGACCAAAACATATTTCTTACATATTTCTTACATATTGGTGATAAGACTGTATTGTAATACTTATTTATTGCAATGTTACCTTCAAATCATTTGCAAACTTTTTGTATACTTTTCTGTTTTTTGAAATTAACATCAAACTGCATCATCTTTATAAATCTTGGGCACCATTGTACTATTATTGAAAGTTTTAATAATGATAATAAGGTCTAGTAACAAACTTACCACCGACACTTCAACTTGGTTCAATAGATTCACCTGTTTATATACAGTAAGTCTGATAGTGTGTTATATGTCCTTTGTTTGTACCTCAAGGTCATTGTCACAGCAAGTCTGATAGTGTGTTATATGTCCTTTGTTTGTACCTCAAGGTCATTGTCACAGCAAGTCTGATAGTGTGTTATATGTCCTTTGTTTGTACCTCAAGGTCATGGTCACAGCAAGTCTGATAGTGTGTTGTGTACATGTCCTTTGTTGTACCTCAAGGTCATGGTCACAGCAAGTTTGAACGTGATATTGATGAGGAATTGTGTTTATATGTTTTGTAACTCAAGGTCAAGGCCAAAGTAAGTCTGAACCTATATTGATGGTGACTTGTGTACTTATCCCTTGCAACACAAAATCAAGGCCACAGTCTAAACCTAATAGAAGGGTAAGTACATGTCCCTTGTTTGTCCCTAAAGGTAATGATGGTCTATTGTGTACAGGTTGGACTTTTACAGACCAGTAGAATGTAGAACACAGACTGATTTGCTATACCACAGTTCACATTTTGATATTAAAATGAATTTGTTCTAACACTCTACAGCTGATTATTACTGTGTTACAGACAAAGAAAAGATGAGTTTTCTGTGGGGGATGTGTTTATGGGTTACCATGCTGACAGCTGTGCTGCTATTGTGCTTCATGTTTACCAACAACATTATTTGGAGGGACAAGTCGACTATAGACAGGTATGTTCATCTTGTCATTTAGACAATAGACAGGTATGTTCATCTTGTCATTTAGACAATAGACAGGTATGTTCATCTTGTCATTTAGACAATAGACAGGTATGTTCATCTTGTCATTTAGACTATAGACAGGTATGTTCATCTTGTCATTTAGACAATAGACAGGTATGTTTATCAGGTCAAGTTGACAACAGACAGGTATGTTCATCAAGTCATTTAGACAATAGACAGGTATGTTCATCAAGTCATTTAGACTATAGACAGGTATGTTTATCAGGTCAAGTTGACAACAGACAGGTATGTTCATCAAGTCATTTAGATAACAGACAGACAGGTATGTTGTTTATCAAGTCATTTAAACATTATGTTCAGACTATAGACAGGTATGTTCATCAATTTAGTCATTTATCAAGTCATTTAGAAAAGACAGGTATGTTTATCAGTCATTTAAACAACTATGTTTATCAAGTCATTTACAGGTATGTTTATCAAGTCATTTAAACAATAGACAGGTATGTTTATCAAGTCATTTAAACAATAGACAGGTATGTTCATCAAGTCATTTAGATAACAGACAGGTATGTTCATCAGTCATTTAGACTATAGACAGGTATGTTCATCAAGTCATTTAGACTATAGACAGGTATGTTAATCAAGTCATTAAGACAACAGACGGGTATGTTCGTCAAGTCATTTAGATAACAGACAGGTATGTTCATCAGTCATTTAGACTATAGACAGGTATGTTTATCAAGTCATTTAGACTAAAGACAGGTATGTTTATCAAGTCATTTAAACAATAGACAGCTTTATCACTTTATTGCTTAGAGTGGTGATTTTAAGGTGTCTGGGAGCTATCTCTACCTATTGAATGGCAAATCTATTTTTCCTTGGCAGACACTGGAATGTACCGGTGAAGTGGGAGAAATGTGAGCTAGACCCAATCACTTCATTTTTTACCTATTATTTAGTCATATTCACACCATACCTTCATGCTACCAATGTCCGATTAGATTGTGGGAGTATATCTATGTGAGTCCCTACTCACTGTGTATTTATTAATTTGGTTCATTTATCATTCATTTTGGACACTAGAATGTTTAATTTGCTTGGAATAGTGATATGAAAGTTAAAGCCCTGTATTTTACTTGTCGGTGTTCTCTGGTAGGTGTTCGACTCTGCTAAGAGAATACTTATGTGGTGTGCTACACCAGATGCGGTGATGAGATTGTGCAATACAGCCCTGGTCAGAGATGAAGCTATATTAAACACGATTTACTGGAAAGAACAACAACACCAGAGTCTGTCTGCATACCTTTACCAGAAAATCAGACAGGAGAGCAGAGACAGTCATTTTGCACAGGTAATTTAATAACAAGGATGATAGATTGATTTGTAAAAAATGATAAAAAAGACATTCTTACACACAAACTTAATGTCAAATTAAGCTTGATAACTGTTTTACTGAAGTTTTGATGTGTTGAAACATTCTACTTTGATGTTAAGGTTACGACCCACTCCAAGCTGATCACTAGTGTGGATTTAGAAGAACTGTCTCACAAACTTGGGATTCCAAATGACAACATGGTGTTACTGAACCTGCAATCATTTGATACAGAACAACAGTTCTGTAGGCAAGTGAAGTAAGTAGCCATAATGTCTAGGACAGTAGAAAACATGTTACAAGATATACTAAACAGAAACTGGTGTGTTATATGATACAGGGAGTTGTATCTTATCTATTGCAGTTAAGAGTTTGAAGGATTTATAACTGTTCAGAGCAATAAGATAATTATGTATCTGAAATTACACTTATGCAAATTGTAAGAGATAAGATGACTTAACACAGTGTAATTTGGAAGAGATAAGATGTCTGTGTGTGACAACATGCAGTTTAACTTTGAAGAGATAAGATATGTTTGTGTGACAACACATGGTGTAATTTTGAAGAGATAAGATATGTTTGTGTGACAACACATGGTGTAATTTTGAAGAGATAAGATATGTTTGTGTAACAACACATGGTGTAATTTTGAAAAGATAAAATATGTTTGTGTAACAACACATGGTGTAATTTTGAAAAGATAAAATATGTTTGTGTAACAACACACAGTGTAATTTTGAAAAGATAAAATATGTTTGTGTAACAACACACAGTGTAATTTTGAAAAGATAAAATATGTTTGTGTAACAACACACAGTGTAATTTTGAAAAGATAAAATATGTTTGTGTAACAACACATGGTGTAATTTTGAAAAGATAAGATATGTTTGTGTAACAACACACAGTGTAATTTTGAAGAGATAAGATATGTTTGTGTGACAACACATGGTGTATTTTGGAAGAGATAAGATGTCTTTGTGTGACAACATGCAATTTAATTTTGAAAAGATAAGATATGTTTGTGTAACAACACATGGTGTAATTTTGAAAAGATAAGATATGTTTGTGTAACAACACATGGTGTAATTTTGAAAAGATAAGATATGTTTGTGTAACAGCACATGGTGTAATTTTGAAAAGATAAAATATGTTTGTGTAACAACACATGGTGTAATTTTGAAAAGATAAGGTATGTTTGTGTAACAGCACACAGTGTAATTTTGTGAGAGATAAGATATGTTATATAACATCATACAGTGTATTTTGTGTATTTTGTGTATGTTATATAACATTACAGAATGTGCTTTGAGAGAATAGAACAAGAGATGTTATTGATAGTCCAAAGTGACTGTGGAGATGAAAATGCCAGCCTTGTGGCCTGTGCCAGATACTGCATTCAAGATGAACTCCAGCAGCTTGGAAATCGAATCATGGGGCGCCGACATGCCATTTTCATTATACAGCTACCAAGGATAGCAGGGGGTTGTTTTAATGGATTCCAGGTAAAATTACATCAAAATGATTAAAATAACTACCCCCTTCCCCCTCCCAACCATTAGAGTACACACTCTTTAGTTTTCATTTTATTGTGCTCAACTCCTTCATATCTTATTCCTTAATTCTGTACTAAAATCATTCCTATACCTTTTTTATATCATATCAGTGTGGGCATTGGCATTCACTCCATATTGACGACCTTCGACCTGAGGGTGATACTTTGGGGATGTCAGAGATGCGAGGAAAATCAGTGGGAACGCTCATACATCATGCTGTTCAGGAAACAGCTGGGCGACCAACTGAGGTTTTAATGGAAACTGATATCCCAGAAGAGGAAGATAACCAACATGCTCAGATGGATGTGGATGAGGAGGATATCCATCTCAATTTTAACAATGTAGAAAGATACCCTTCTAATCCAACTCATTCTCACAAACTGCCTGTGGAGAACCTGGTGCTGAGCTGTATTCAAGCAGCTTTGGCAATGGTGAAGGACACAAAGGAAGATACAAAACGATCAACAGACAGGGTCCAACAGCTGTTAGATCTTCTACACTATGGCAAAGCTAATCTGGGTAAAACTTTTCACATGTACTTCATAACTGATTTTACAAAAGATCCACAATATTGTTGGATTTTCTTAGATAATTGAAATACACAAATAAATTGGAGCTTAATGTTTAATTTGTAGTGTCTAATAACCTTGTGAAGGGCATATGTAAACATCTAGACGTGTTGATGATGGAGAAAGAGAAATCTGCTGTCAACCCCGCAAACTGGCTGGCAGCAGAGGCAGCCAAAGCTGAGGTTATCAACACTGCAGGAACCTTCAGGTAAAACTGTACAACTTCACCGCTGTAAAACATCTTGATTTCTTCACTGTAAAACATCTTGATTTCACCATTGTAAAACATCTTGATTTCTTCACTGTAAAACATCTTGATTTCATCATTGTAAAATGTCTTGGCTTCTCCACTGTAAAACATCATGATTTTACCACTGTAAAACATCTTGATTTCTCCACTGTAAAACATCTTGATTTCACCATTATAAAAAAAATCTTGATTTCATCATTGTAAAACATCTTGATTTCACCATTGTAAAACATCTTGATTTCACCACCGTAAAACATCTTAATTTCACCATTGTAAAATGTCTTGACTTCTCCACTGTAAAACATCTTGATTTCACCACTGTAAAATGTCTTGACTTCTCCACTGTAAAACATCTTGATTTCTCCACTGTAAAACATCTTGATTTCACCATTGTAAAACATCTTGATTTCTCCACTGTAAAACATCTTGATTTCACCATTGTAAAATGTCTTGATTTCTCCACTGTAAAACATCTTGATTTCACCATTGTAAAACATCTTGATTTCACCACCGTAAAACATCTTGATTTCACCATTGTAAAATGTCTTGACTTCTCCACTGTAAAACATCTTGATTTCACCACTGTAAAATGTCTTGACTTCTCCACTGTAAAACATCTTGATTTCTCCACTGTAAAACATCTTAATTTCACCATTGAAAAACATCTTGATTTCTCCACTGTAAAACATCTTAATTTCACCATTGTAAAACATCTTGATTTCTCCACTGTAAAACATCTTAATTTCACCATTGTAAAATGTCTTGACTTCTCCACTGTAAAACATCTTAATTTCACCATTGTAATATGTCTTGACTTCTCCACTATAAAACATCTTAATTTCACCATTGTAAAATGTCTTGAATCTCCACTGTAAAACATCTTGATTTCACCATTGTAAAATGTCTTGACTTCTCCACTGTAAAACATCTTAATTTCACCATTGTAAAACATCTTGATTTCTCCACTGTAAAACATCTTAATTTCACCATTGTAAAACATCTTGATTTCTCCACTGTAAAACATCTTAAATTCACCATTGTAAAATGTCTTGACTTCTCCACTGTAAAACATCTTGATTTCTCCACTGTAAAACATCTTAATTTCACCATTGTAAAATGTCTTAATTTCTCCACTGTAAAACATCTTGATTTCTCCACTGTAAAACATCTTGATTTCTCCACTGTAAAACATCTTGATTTCACCATTGTAAAATGGCTCGACTTCTCCACTGTGAAACATCTTGATTTCTCCACTGTAAAACATCTTGATTTCACCATTGTAAAACATGATTTCTCCAAAAAATGTCTTGACTTCTCCACTGTAAAACATCTTAATCTTGATTTCACCACTGTAAAACATCTTAATTTCTCCACTGTAAAACATCTTGATTTCTCCACTGTAAAACATCTTGATTTCACCATTGTAAAATATCTTGATTTCACCACTGTAAAACATCTTGATTTCTCCACTGTAAAACATCTTGATTTCATCATTGTAAAATGTCTTGATTTCACTACTGTAAAACATCTTGATTTCAGTACTGTAAATTGTCTTGATTTCATTACTGTAAAATATCTTAATTTCACCACTGTAAAACATCTTGATTTCACCACTGTAAAACATCTTGATTTCATCATTGTAAAATGTCTTGATTTCACTACTGTAAAACATCTTGATTTCAGTACTGTAAATTGTTTTGATTTCACTACTGTAAAATATCTTAATTTCACCACTGTAAAACATCTTGATTTCACCACTGTAAAACATCTTGATTTCTCCAGTGTAAAACATCTTGATTTCTCCACTGTAAAACATCTTGATTTCACCATTGTAAAATGTCTTGACTTCTCCACTGTAAAATGTCTTGATTTCACCACTGTAAAACATCTTAATTTCTCCACTGTAAAACATCTTGATTTCACCATTGTAAAACATCTTGATTTCATCATTGTAAAATGTCTTGATTTCACTACTGTAAAACATCTTGATTTCACCATTGTAAAACATCTTGATTTCTCCACTGTAAAACATCTTGATTTCACCATTGTAAAACATCTTGATTTCATCATTGTAAAATGTCTTGATTTCACTACTGTAAAACATCTTGATTTCACCATTGTAAAACATCTTGATTTCTCCACTGTAAAACATCTTTATTTCACCATTGTAAAACATCTTGATTTCATCATTGTAAAATGTCTTGACTTCTCCACTGTAAAACATCTTGATTTCACTACTGTAAAATATCATAATTTCGCCATTGTAAAATGTCTTGATTTCACCATTGTTAAATGTTTTGACTGAATCATTTTAGTTTCTTCACTTCACAATTTTAGTATGAAAGAACTTCACCTTCTCATGTATTGTGACTTGCCATTCTTAAATGGTTTCTAGATAACTTAACAATTGTATCAATCCAAGCTGAATGTTTACTTTACAGACGAGCATGGACTCAGTGTTTGGAGACCAAGGTGACTCCTATACTGATGGGAATCATTGCCTTTATGGATACAAACAGGAACTTGGAAAGCCTATATAAAGCCAAGGATGGAGACTGGGTCCAGCAACTGTGGCTTGGCATCCTCAACAATACCAAGGCCACATGTCTACAGTACTCTCAGTTGGTATCACCTGGCCATACTCAACAGGAACTTCCAGAGGTGGTGGTCCAACATACAGGAACAGATGGTCACCTGTTTACTGCTCAGTTACCCTTCTCATGGCTCTACTTTAGACTGATAGAGGACTTGTTGAGCACTACAATCAATAATAAACCAGACACAGGTTCGTTTTATTTTAGGGGGGGGGGGGGGGGGAGATGCCAAATATGTCACCAACAATGATACTGTTCTATCCCATCCCATTCAAATCAGTATTGCTCCAGCAATTATGTAAGGAAGGTATTTGATCCAGCTTTATATAAAATTCAACATACAAGTGGGTGGCTTGCCATCTAGATTTGTGAATTGTTTCCATATATATCTCAGGGTTTTCAAAACATTGCTACATTTTATTTAAATTTGACATCATTGACATTAATCCGTTGTTACACTCTGACATATAAACCACAAACAGAAAGTGTTTAAAACTGGTAGGACAACACAGTGATGGATGGCAATATGCTATATTTACAGAGAACTGTGGTTAGTTACTATTCATGTAAAGACATTTTTTTCCAGACTTTGAAGTAGTTTGCTTTACTCTGTACAGACTGCCTTGAGGTAGTGAACTCCGTGAAGGATATTCTGGCCAGTCAGCCATTGGGAATCATGCTGTATCCTCTCATGGACAGAGACAGACGAAGTGTCCTGAAGGCATATATCAATGACTTTGTCCACATGATGTACCCAGTGTCATCTAAACAGGAACACCAGGTAATTAGTAATAACACAGAACATAAAACATTAAATAAAATGACTTTAGCTTTCCTTCTATGATAATTGCTTTTGTCATACATTGTACCAATGACCTCTTTGTTATTGCAATCCTAACATAATGCTAGGCTTATCTGGCGCGGAAAGACAAAACCCATTTGGATTATTATTTCCAGTCAGTTTCATTGGGTGGGGGAAAATAATAATTCAAATGGGTTTCGTCTTTCTGTCCATCCAGATGCTGCTTTCCACATGATATCTTTTGAAGGACTGGTCGGATTTAGATGAAACTTGGCAGGTACACTTGTTACCTTAATCCCTTGACCAAGTCTGATTGACGTCAAATTCCGTGCATATTTAATAAGGTTGCTGTGACCTGATTGGCTGATTTCTCTTATAATATTCATTTGACCATTGTAATCTTGAAAGTGGATCAAAGTTAATCATATTAACAGACCTAGTAGCCCTTTATCCTAACATCCTACATGTTATGTTATCATACCTGTGTGGTTCAGTATCACTGAAAATATGAGACAAATATTCTACCATTACCATTTGGTAAAAGAAGAGAATATAAAGGTATGATAAGCTGATTTCAATATTCACAGTATTATACTTTAGTTTTCCATGTTGCTCACTTTAAGTGTATTACAAATGATCTGTTTGGGATCTTGATGACTATATCCTTGTCAATTTTGAAGCAGTGAACACTTGTCTTTGCCATCATAGTTTGGTGCAAGTGCAGAGCTTTATTTCACAGCATGCATAGCATGATGTTTTACATATGTATGATGTTAACACTGAAAGTGAGGAAACAATTCAAAACAAAATCATAACCAGTTTCAGTGTTATCTTGTTCTGCCAGACTCTTGTGGTGCATGAGACTATATAGTCGCATCAAAAGCATTCCAAGGATTACAATTTGTCATCAATGAAGCAAATGCTATTCAATGTAGAACTTTGCTAATTATGAAAAGAAACCCAGAATATTTCTGATCAGAAAGAAAAGTTGGAAGCTCCATGACAGAGAAGGAGGTGTTAATCATTGAACAAGTGGTGACACGTAACAGTGAAAAGTGAGGCAATAGTGAAAATCATCATTAACCATCATGAACCAGTTTAGATTATCCAGGCCTTTGATTTATCCTTATCCAAGGGTGAGACCTGGCTGTCCAGTCGTGAACGAAGATTCCCTCTCCATGTTCGGCAATTCAGTGGATTAGTGTAGCCCATTCCTCGAGATGTACAGTCTTGTTTCACTAGGTCATCCCAGGTCAGTTTTGGTCTACCTGAGGCCCGATGACAAGCGACATTAGGGTAGGGATCCTTGATATCCATCCTTCACTGCATTCTACTTGGCCAAACCGTCTCAACCTGCTAGTCTGGAGAATTTCTGAGATATCTTTGATGTCTAGCTGAGCGAGACTCTATGGGAATAGTCTTCCGGTTTGACACGGCAGATCCATCTTATCATGGTTCTATCATTATGTCGAAACCTCCTTAGAGTAGCAGCTGTTACTGCCCATGTATCAGAGCCATACAGTAACACAGGTCTAATGTAGGTTGAGTAGAGGCGACTTGTTGTGATAGGCAGATATTTGCTTGTTAAGATTGGAAGCAGCTCTCTGAACTTTTCCCATAGTGACTTGCATCTTGTTGTTACAGTAAGTTCAAATCCACCTCCAGATGACAACATATCACCAAGGTAGCAGAAGTTTGTTACTACTTCAAGCTTTTACTCACCAACTGTTACCTCTGGCATGAGCTTACCATCAATCGGACAAGCAAGTCCATTGCAGCGAGGGCACTTGTAGTTTGGGTCAGACTTGAGGGGTCCCTTGATTCCACTACACTTCTTACACAACCAACTAGAACAACTCATGCAGAGGATGGAGTTTTTTCCAATACTGTTGGGACACACAGCACATGGATACTTTCCAGATCATCTTAGAGTATCCAGAATTGGACCTGAGACCATTACTTTGGTCTTATTCATGTTGACTCGGAGCCCTTTCTCCTCCATACTCTTCTTCCATGTGGCCACTTTTTCCAGCAACGATTCAAGGGAAGTGTCAGCAATGACAAGGTCATCAGCGTACAGGAGCTCTGATGGGCAACTTAGTCTGAAATGACGTAACAACACTTCCAGAACGATGATGAATAACAATGGACAAAGTACTGATCCTTAATGGACACCAACATTGACATCAAACTGATCGCTGTAGCTGTCCCCTACTCCAACTAGGCTTCTAGCATCAGAGTACATGATCTGCACAGTCATGACAAGCCATTCCTCCTAACTTTCACATCACGTGATATATTGATATATAGACAGGTTTTACAGCCTGATGCCTTTCCTTGGCCAACTTAGAAACTTATGGCATTCCAAGGACTCTACCGTTCCCAGCTAATTAGGGTTGAATGCTTGGATAAACTTTCTAACCACTGCCAATCCACCTAGCATCATTCAACATGAGCTTGCTGTATAGGGTACTATTACCCTGGCTGTATCAGGCTATTTTATGGAGAAAAGCAAAACCATGTAGACGTCCTATTGCTTGACAACTATTGTACAGACAGTTTAAAGGAATTTGACATTGAAGGACCACAAGCTACTTGCCCGGCGTCCTTTTCTGTTTTTGTATGATCTAGATCATTGGAATGCTGTGTCGTTGATGTGTGATGAAAGTGATGACATAACTACAAAAGTTATGTACAGTTTTTGCCTGATGGCAGTTTTGTACCCTAGATCCATTTCATAGCAAACACTTCAATACATTAATGATTCAGTGACTGTATAATGCCTGGAAATTTACTGTCCAGGACATGGACATTCATTTGATGTGATGTTGGATGGAGCATCTCTGATAACAGTTTTGGTACTTTGGAACCTGTATTTCACACATGGTTTTCACTGGTTACTTAACTTTGAGCTAGAAAAGCTAGCTGAAAAAGGCTGCACTGCAAAATGCATGGTCTTGGTGCGTGTCCTAGATTTGATACTTAATATATAGAAGCATCTAGCGAATAACTTATAGTGTTAATACTAACTTTCACTTATCATGTTCTTAGGTTATCCAACTTTCTTGAAAGTACAAATTCAGTTTGAAAAAAAGGAGTGTTAATTTAGTCAGAAATTTTTATAGCTATCCAAAAATTTGAAACTAATTTGATCTATTTTCCAGCTTATATGTGAGAGCGTGCACATTGGATCTGGTCTCATTCTTCAGCACCAAACAGGTGATGGGATGGCTATGTTGGTAGCTATCCACCTGGCCTATCTCCAGACCATCAGCAGGTTCCGTAACTTCTCCAGTCTCAGTCGAGTGTGGCCTGAATGTAGTGAGAGTATCATAGATTTTCAGGACAGCAGTCCCAATTTCTTCCTCTGCTCTAGTGAAGAAATGGTAAGTAACAATCTTCTGGGCTGTAGCACTGGTTAAACTACCATAGTCTGTATGATGTAGCTTTTAGTGCAGCAGGTTGGATTTCTAGGATATTGGTATTTAAGTATTATGTCAAACCACACTAAAATTCCACTTAGTCCACACTCATTGGGACTATATCTTTAGTTCAATTAATACAAGCTATTAAGTAATTAGTGCCTTATCATCGACCGGGAGGTTGTGTTCATTCGTAAACAACCAGTGTCTTTGACAGCCATGTTCAATATTCTGTTCTTTGATCAGTCCTATTTATGATTGTTCTGAATTGGTGACTTACTGATAGTTTCAGTGTCGTGAATTTAACTGAAGAGAAATGTGTAAAATTTGTCATTAACAACGTTGTTCACTTCAGGCAAAACATCTAATATGACAGAATGCATGTGACTGAGAATGACGGTATAATGATAAATACATTGGTATCACCTTATTTCAACTATGATGACAAAATGGTGATTCTTTGTTGTTATTATTTTACATTGTGATATTTAAACTAAAAAAAACTCTTTACAGAATCATTGTGGTTGATTTGTCCATACCCTACTGCTAAATAATGTGCCTTTCCATTGTTTTGTTTTACACACAAAAATGATTGATGAATACCAATTTGAACAGAGGTATCTATGTTGACGTAAAATAAAAATTTATGAAAAATGTACGTCAAAGCAATCATGCTACATTTAACACTGTAATTTTCTGCTATCTCATTAGATGTAGGGGAGTTGGACACAAGTGTGATATCTCTTTAGTGAATAGAGAGGAAAAATACTAGGAACTTTAAAGTACAAAGATAAGATTGAGTTGATAGAATGTAAGTAAACGAAGAATAATAATTTGAGGAATCCAGGATTACATGACAAGGATTGATAAGGACTTGGAAGGGACCAGGTGAATGACATATGTTTAACTGCTTTCTTTATTTTCTACTATATTTGTTTTTTTAATTGAATGTCACATTCTTTATTTTTTGTTATATAGCTAGTGAATCCTGTTATCTCCCTTGTGAGAACTTTTCAGATGTTAATCAATGATTTTGTACAAACCTATTTTGTCAACTAGACCTTAGATGTAATGGGCTTGCGTCTACTGCTTGAGAAATTGGAACCAGAGAAGGAGACACTTAACAGAGTACAAAGCCGTGCAGATTGGTTACAGAGGGTACGTCGCTACAGACCAGTTGTGGAGAGATTGTTGGACATGGTTCATCCTGAACATACTGTCCAATGTGGACCTCGCTGTGTCAAGGGCATTCAGGAAGCCAGGTATATTTCTTAGAATAATAGTAACGAATAAATAATAAGTCACTGTGGATTTTGTGATACCTGTATTCGACTGATGTTGAGATCATAACTGAAATTGTTATTAAGTAAATGATATTATCATAGTTTTGTGACTGATGCTATAGTTGTAAGTGACTGATGTTGTAGTTGTAAGTGACTGATGCTATACCTGTAAGTGACTGATGTTTTAGATGTAAGTGACTGATGTTTTAGCTGTAAGTGACTGATGTTGTAGTTGTAAGTGACTGATGTTGTAGCTGTAAGTGACTGATGTTTTAGTTGTAAGTGACTGATGGTGTAGTTGTAAGTGACTGATGTTGTAAATGTAAGTGACTGATGTTGTAGTTGTGAGTGACTGATGCTGTAGTTGTGTGACAGATGTTGTAGTTGTGAGTGACTGATGCTGTAGTTGTGACAGATGGTGTAGATGTAAGTGACTGATGCTGTAGTTGTGTGACTGATGTTGTAGTTGTGTGACTGATAGTTGTGTCACTGATGCTGTAGTTGTGACAGATGGTGTAGTTGTGACAGATGTTGTAGTTGTGAGTGACTGATGTGTAGTTGTGACAGATGGTGTAGATGTAAGTGACTGATGTTGTAGTTGTGTGACTGATGTTGTAGTTGTGTGACTGATGCTGTAGTTATGTGACTGATGCTGTAGTTGTGTGATGGTGTAGTTGTGACAGATGTTGTAGTTGTGAGTGACTGATGCTGTAGTTGTGACTGATGATGTAGTTGTGACAGATGTTGTAGTTGTGAGTGACTGATGCTGTAGTTGTGACAGATGGTGTAGATGTAAGTGACTGATGCTGTAGTTGTGTGACTGATGTTGTAGTTGTGTGACTGATGCTGTAGTTGTGTCACTGATGCTGTAGTTGTGACAGATGGTGTAGTTGTGACAGATGTTGTAGTTGTGAGTGACTGATGCTGTAGTTGTGACAGATGGTGTAGATGTAAGTGACTGATGTTGTAGTTGTGTGACTGATGTTGTAGTTGTGTGACTGATGCTGTAGTTATGTGACTGATGCTGTAGTTGTGACTGATGGTGTAGTTGTGACAGATGTTGTAGTTGTGAGTGACTGATGCTGTAGTTGTGACTGATGGTGTAGTTGTGACAGATGTTGTAGTTGTGAGTGACTGATGCTGTAGTTGTGACAGATGGTGTAGATGTAAGTGACTGATGTTGTAGTTGTGTGACTGATGTTGTAGTTGTGTGACTGATGCTGTAGTTATGTGACTGATGCTGTAGTTGTGACAGATGCTGTAGTTGTGACAGATGTTGTAGTTGTGAGTGACTGATGCTGTAGTTGTGACAGATGGTGTATTTGTAAGAGATGAGTTGAATGTAAATTGTTTTTGTTGTTAGTTTTATTACTCACAGGGTTAGGATGACCTAATTGCCATCATGTCTTTGTGTGCCTTCCTCCTTTAATCATTTGTTAACTTTTTTCACATTTTTGACATCTCTTTAAAATTTTGAAAATATTCTCAGTAACAATAAAGGATTTCCCAATCTAAATAATATTGGCAAAAACATATCTTTTAATTACCTTTGTGTGTAGTTATCATAGGGAAGATCACACATTTCAATGGAAAATACACTATATAGGGCTTCTGCTAAATTACTTCCATATACACATTCATGGGTCTCTTCCTATTCTTACTATAACCACTGTCAGTACAATTGTGTCTTTATAGTAAGTCAGATGACCATGTATGGTTTTGGGCCTCTTGTTTTACAGACTGACCTGGACCAGTGTACTGGTCGTGAAGCTGTTTATAGAACATGTGTATTCTGTACGGGAAGCTGATGACAAATTCACCATCAATAGATGCATGCCTTTGTGGACAGTATGTATAAAACAATTAGTACCAATTATTGATCATTTCATTCTCTCTCTCATTGACTAACTGTCATATTATAAGAATCTTTCTTTATCATTATTGTTCTCTTTTCAAAACTATACGTAAAATATTCACTAAACTTTGAGGAACTAATATTGATGGCCTCTGGATATGCAAACTACTTCCTTACTTTTCGGGCTCCTGATCAGCTGATTCTTTTAATCGGTTTACATGATAACTATAGGACACTTTTTAAGTAGTGTATTGAAAATGACTTTTTCACCAAAATGGCTTCCGAAAAAGGGCCTCTGATTGATCTAGATTTAGATATTGTGTGATTTTAGTGAAATTTGGTATATGGTTTATTATGACGCCTGAATTAAGATGGTGACATCTGTTTTTTGATACGGCAAAATAGCTGACTAGGAGGTTAGTTGAAAATTTCTGTCTGTTTTTGGCTGTATGTCAAGGTTCCCTGCAAGTCTCAATTTTATTGTTTAAGATTTTTAGCTCACCTGGTGCGAGGGACAGAATGAGGTATATGGCAGACCACAGATTCCATCATCTGGCTGTCCATCAAGTTTTTCTACGAATTACAACTAGCTAGTCATTAACAACTGAACACATTTTACAGCCAATTAATCAAAATCCTACTCCTGTAGCAATGATTTTGATTTGGCCAAATTTGGTCTGAATTATCCTTGATTGAAAGGAAATTAGTTAAGTATAAATGGTTGGTCTTGGGCCTCTTGGGATTGGAGAGGCTGGGCCCAATGGGGAAATACAGCAGGTACTTTAAAATCTTCCTTCTATGGTAGAAATACCTAGATTCTGTCCAAATTTGGTATGAAGCATCCAAGGTATGAAGAGGAATCAAATTTCTCAAGAAGTGGGTCTTACCCTGAATATGGGGGAGGGGAGGGGCAGGGCCAAATAGGTGAAATGAGCATCAGCTTTACAATTTAACTTACTCTATAGGAATGATTGACTTTTGTTCCAGTTTGGTCTGTAGAATCTGTGGGTGAAGTGAACTTACTTTTGTATGAACAATGCATCAGATGACCCAAGGGTAGAGGGACAGGGTTTGATAGGAGAAATAGATGTAAACCTTTTTAAGTTTTCATCTAGTTTAGATGAAGCAATTTCAGTGAACTTCCTTAAGTTGAAGTACTTTAATAAGCACCATTCATGACTGAAAGGGTAGTTTTGGGGACTTATATAATGGGTCCTGTTATTACACATTGTATATGTGAACATCGTATAACCATTTTTGCCTTTCATATAACTAGGTAAACTAATTTATTCAACTTCCTCTTAAAACCTGATATTACTTAAGCAGAAATGTAAAAATCAAATTTTCACTTGAAGAGTTTGTACATACTTTTATTATCAAAAATTTCATTTTACAAATTTTAACCCCAAAATTTTCTTTGCTGACATTAAACTGTCTTATGACTTATGACTTAATGTCTTGAGAATGTCCTAAAGTGGCCTCCTTTGCTATAATATCTTTTCAAACACTGATGTTTTCCTTTCCAGATGATGAAAACTGGTGCTGACATGAAATCTTTAGAATCTTTGAAAAAGGTTGAAAAATTCTTGAAGATGTGCAACAAATTGGCAGTCTCTCACTACTTTGACATCAAGTTTGTAAATTAGATATTTTACATACCATGAATTTCATCATCAATCTTGTGACTTGTACACTTATTTGTGGATTTGACTGTGATGCTATGATAGTTATGGCTGGTATAAACGACAAAATAATTATGATATTGCAAACACCATAGTATCATAACACCTGATTAGATTTAAGTTTTTATATGTTAGAATTGAAGGTCAAAGGTCACATTGACCACTTTTGGAATAAAAAGTTAGTGTGCAAGACACTCAGATGATTATATATAGAGATGTGTCCAACAAGAGTATAATGATACAATAGCTCAGGTGACAGAATATCAGAAAAACCTCATAGAACCAGGAAATGTGCTTCAATCCCTACCCTAAGGAGAATTTAGTTTCTATGGAAGGTTGTCATAATTAAGTCCTTGGGCAAGGAAATTTACCCTGATTGCTTCTGGTAGTATGAAAAAGGTTTCCACTACAATATTAAGTGAGGTAGCTGGACCAGATATAACAAAGAGCTCCTCAGACTAACCATGTACATTGTTAATAGGATAGTAAATCCTGAACCTGTACATTGTTCATAGGATAGTAAATCCTGGCCTTGTACATTGTTCATAGGATAGTAAATCCTGGCCCTGTACATTGTTCATAGGATAGTAAATCCTGGCCTTGTACATTGTTCATAGGATAGTAAATCCTGGCCCTGTACATTGTTCATAGGATAGTAAATCCTGGCCCTGTACATTGTTCATAGGATAGTAAATCCTGGCCCTGTACATTGTTCATAGGTTAGTAAATCCTGGCCTTGTACATTGTTCATAGGATAGTAAATCCTGGCCCTGTACATTGTTCATAGGATAGTAAATCCTGGCCCTGTACATTGTTCATAGGATAGTAAATCCTGGCCTTGTACATTGTTCATAGGATAGTAAATCCTGGCCCTGTACATTGTTCATAGGATAGTAAATCCTGGCCCTGTACATTGTTCATAGGATAGTAAATCCTGGCCTTGTACATTGTTCATAGGATAGTAAATCCTGGCCCTGTACATTGTTCATAGGATAGTAAATCCTGGACCTGTACATTGTTCATAGGATAGTAAATCCTGGCCCTGTACATTGTTCATAGGATAGTAAATCCTGGCCTTGTACATTGTTCATAGGATAGTAAATCCTGGCCCTGTACATTGTTCATAGGATAGTAAATCCTGGCCCTGTACATTGTTCATAGGATAGTAAATCCTGGCCTTGTACATTGTTCATAGGATAGTAAATCCTGGCCCTGTACATTGTTCATAGGATAGTAAATCCTGGACCTGTACATTGTTCATAGGATAGTAAATCCTGAACCTGTACATTGTTCATAGGATAGTAATCCTGGACCTGTACGTTGTTCATAGGATAGTAAATCCTGCATCTGAACATTGTTCATAGGATAGTAAATCCTGAATCTGAACGTTGTTCATAGGTTAGTAAATCCTGGCCTTGTACATTGTTCATAGGATAGTAAATCCTGGCCCTGTACATTGTTCATAGGATAGTAAATCCTGGCCCTGTACATTGTTCATAGGATAGTAAATCCTGGCCATGTACATTGTTCATAGGATAGTAAATCCTGAACCTGTACATTGTTCATAGGATAGTAAATCCTGGCCCTGTACATTGTTCATAGGATAGTAAATCCTGGCCCTGTACATTGTTCATAGGATAGTAAATCCTGAACCTGTACATTGTTCATAGGATAGTAATCCTGGACCTGTACGTTGTTCATAGGATAGTAAATCCTGGACCTGTACATTGTTCATAGGATAGTAAATCCTGAACCTGTACGTTGTTCATAGGATAGTAAATCCTGGACCTGTACATTGTTCATAGGATAGTAAATCCTGGCCTTGTACATTGTTCATAGGATAGTAAATCCTGGCCCTGTACATTGTTCATAGGATAGTAAATCCTGAATCTGAACGTTGTTCATAGGATAGTAAATCCTGAATCTGAGCATTGTTCATAGGATAGTAAATCCTGCATCTGAACATTGTTCATAGGATAGTAAATCCTGAATCTGAGCATTGTTCATAGGATAGTAAATTCTGGCCTTGTACATTGTTCATAGGATAGTAAATCCTGGACCTGTACATTGTTCATAGGATAGTAAATCCTGGACTTGTACATTGTTCATAGGATAGTAAATCCTGAATCTGAGCATTGTTCATAGGATAGTAAATTCTGGCCTTGTACATTGTTCATAGGATAGTAAATCCTGGACCTGTACATTGTTCATAGGATAGTAAATCCTGGCCTTGTACATTGTTCATAGGATAGTAAATCCTGAATCTGAACGTTGTTCATAGGATAGTAAATCCTGAACCTGTACATTGTTCATAGGATAGTAAATCCTGAATCTGAGCATTGTTCATAGGATAGTAAATCTTGGCCTTGTATATTGTTCATAGGATAGTAAATCCTGAACCTGTACGTTGTTCATAGGATAGTAAATCCTGGCCTTGTACATTGTTCATAGGATAGTAAATCCTGGCCCTGTACATTGTTCATAGGATAGTAAATCCTGAATCTGAACATTGTTCATAGGATAGTAAATCCTGAATCTGAGCATTGTTCATAGGATAGTAAATCCTGGACCTGTACATTGTTCATAGGATAGTAAATCCTGGCCTTGTACTTTGTTCATAGGATAGTAAATCCTGGCCTTGTACATTGTTCATAGGATAGTAAATCTTGGCCTTGTACATTGTTCATAGGATAGCAAATCCTGAATCTGAACATTGTTCATAGGATAGTAAATCCTGGCCCTTTACATTGTTCATAGGATAGTAAATCCTGGCCTTGTACATTGTTCATAGGATAGTAAATCCTGGACCTTTACATTGTTCATAGGATAGTAAATCCTGGCCCTTTACATTGTTCATAGGATAGTAAATCCTGGCCTTGTACATTGTTCATAGGATAGTAAATTCTGGCCTTGTACATTGTTCATAGGATAGTAAATCCTGGCCCTTTACATTGTTCATAGGTTAGTAAATCCTGGCCCTTTACATTGTTCATAGGATAGTAAATCCTGGCCTTGTACATTGTTCATAGGATAGTAAATTCTGGCCTTGTACATTGTTCATAGGATAGTAAATCCTGGCCCTTTACATTGTTCATAGGTTAGTAAATCCTGGCCCTTTACATTGTTCATAGGATAGTAAATTCTGGCCTTGTACATTGTTCATAGGATAGTAAATCCTGGCCCTTTACATTGTTCATAGGATAGTAAATCCTGGCCCTTTACATTGTTCATAGGATAGTAAATCCTGGCCTTGTACATTGTTCATAGGATAGTAAATTCTGGCCTTGTACATTGTTCATAGGATAGTAAATCCTGGCCCTTTACATTGTTCATAGGTTAGTAAATCCTGGCCCTTTACATTGTTCATAGGATAGTAAATTCTGGCCTTGTACATTGTTCATAGGATAGTAAATCCTGGCCCTTTACATTGTTCATAGGTTAGTAAATCCTGGCCCTTTACATTGTTCATAGGTTAGTAAATCCTGACCTTGTACATATAGAAATGGAAGAAGGGAGGGGAGGTTATAGCTTTTTTTCATCCCTGTTTCCTTACATCTTTGAAATTTGTCAGTGCTTAAGCAGCTTCATTCCATTAGGGACATCAGCTTTCACACATCTATGAAATATCACATTCTGTTGGACAAGTTTGAGCTTCAGGGTTGTTGGTTGAAGGTCAAGGTCACTGTTGCTATTTTTAGAAAATTACTGACAGCACTATTATGGCTTCATTGCTTACAGTTTTTTTTTCATAAAACCTTACACAGTTAAAATCGATCATTACACAACACATTGGTGATTAAAATGTTTAATCAGATTGTCATACTTATTCATTGCATTGTTCTATTAAAATCAGAAGGAAACTAATTGTATAAATTGTATACTCCTAAACAGTGTAATAGCTTGTAGGGGTCAGTAGGGGACATGTATTGCTTCAGCGATATTCGGTACGCTTATTTGATAGAAATATATTTATGTTTTACAGTAGAGATGACAAGTGTGAACACTGTGAGAATGAGATGGAAGGACCACCTGTCTACCTGCCTTGTAAAGACAAGATATGTTCCCGCTGTTACCATGATATAACGATCATCAAAGACTTAGTGTGTCCAGTTTGTCGGGCAGAAATTCCTGCAAACTTGAAAGCAAATGAAGACTTACACAAAAGGTATGTACATAGATATAGAGCTTTGTAAATTCTTTTGGTATTTTTTAAATCCTGAAAGGAGAACTTATCATCAACGTTTTGTCCATTCATCTGTTCGTCCTTTTGTCCCTCCTTCATAATTTTGTCCAGAGCATATCATATAAACTATAAGGGGTATCACCTTGAAACTTCATAGATGATAGGTGGATTTCAATAAGGAGAAGTGCAGTGTGTAAGAACCATGACTTTCTTTTGCATAATTTAGGAGTTATTGCCCTTTGTTATTTTTATGTCACCTGAGACGAAGTTGCTGAACTCATTCCTACCCAATCTTCTTTTATAAGAAAGAATAATCTATATGTTTCACCAAAATTTCAGACATATATGACAGATGAATACAATTCTAAATTAATCATAATTTCAAAACTATAATTTGTTCAAACAAAATAACCTCTTATAATATCTTGTTATAACACCTCGTTTTAAGGTATTAGTCAAATAGAAGGCTACATCTACACTTTTCTGTTGTGTGATATTTTCAATACCTGCAATCTCTCCCAAGATTTGTCTGCTCCTGCCATAAAATGAGGAGATCTATAATATTTCCATGTCTGTTCTGTCTTGTTCCATCATGTCTTGATGCATCCTGTCCCATCCCAAACATTTCCATGTCTGTTCTGTCTTGTTCCATCATGTCTTGATGCATCCTGTCCCATCCCAAACATTTCCATGTCTGTTCTGTCTTGTTCCATCATGTCTTGTTCCATCATGTCTTGATGCATCCTGTCCCATCCCAAACATTTCCATGTCTGTTCTGTCTAACATCTTTGAAGTGTGTTAATGAATTAGTGAGTTATTTCAAAACTTTTGATTGCGAACATTTGTATCTTAACAGTGAGAGGAAAGTCTTTCTACAAGAAGAGGGTAAAATCTGTCTTTCTATAGGGTAAAGTCTGTTTACTGAAAGGTAAAGTCAGTCTAAAAGGGTAAAATCTGTCTTTTTATAGGTAAAGTCTGTTTACTGAAAGGTAAAGTCAGTCTAAAAGGGTAAAATCTGTCTTTCTATAGGGTAAAGTCTGTCTGATAGAATAAAATCTGTCTTTCTATAGGGTAAAGTCTGTTTACTTATAGGTAAAGCCTGTCTGATAGGGTAAAATCTGTCTTTCTATAGGGTAAAGTCTGTTTACTTATAGATAGGATATCTGTCTTTCTATAGGGTAAAGTCTGTCTGATAGAATAAAATCTGTCTTTCTATAGGGTAAAGTCTGTTTACTTATAGGTAAAGTCTGTCTGATAGGGTAAAATCTGTCTTTCTATAGGGTAAAGTCTGTCTGATAGAATAAAATCTGTCTTTCTATAGGGTAAAGTCTGTTTACTTATAGATAAAGTCTGTCTAATAGGGTAAAGTCTGTCTGATAGGATAAAATCTGTCTTTTTAAAGGTAAAGTCTGTTTACTGAAAGGTAAAGTCAGTCTAAAAGGGTAAAATCTGTCTTTCTATAGGGTAAAGTCTGTCTGATAGAATAAAATCTGTCTTTCTATAGGGTAAAGTCTGTCTGATAGAATAAAATCTGTCTTTCTATAGGGTAAAGTCTGTTTACTTATAGGTAAAGTCTGTCTGATAGGGTAAAATCTGTCTTTCTATAGGGTAAAGTCTGTCTAATAGGGTAAAATCTGTCTTCCTATAGGGTAAAGTCTAATAGGATAAAATCTGTCTTTCTATATTGTTTAGTCTGTCTAATAGGATAAAATTTGTCTTTCTAACGGGTAAAGTCTGTTTACTTATAGGTAAAGTCTGTCTGATAGGATAAAATCTGTCTTTCTATAGGGTAAAGTCTGTCTGATAGGATAAAATCTGTCTTTCTATAGGGTTATAGGTAAAGTCTGTCTGATAGAATAAAATCTGTCTTTCTATAGGGTAAAGTCTGTCTGATAGAATAAAATCTGTCTTTCTATAGGGTAAAATCTGTCTGATAGAATAAAATCTGTCTTTCTATAGGGTAAAGTCTGTCTGATAGGGTAAAATCTGTCTTTCTATAGGGTAAAGTCTGTTTACTTATAGGTAAAGCCTGTCTGATAGGGTAAAATCTGTCTTTCTATAGGGTAAAGTCTATCTGATAGGATAAAATCTGTCTTTCTATAGGGTAAAATCTGTCTGATAGGATAAAATCTGTCTTTCTATAGGGTAAAATTTATAGGTAAAGTCTGTTTACTGAAAGGTAAAGTCAGTCTAAAAGGGTAAAATCTGTCTTTCTATAGGGTAAAGTCTGTTTACTTATAGGTAAAGTCTGTCTGATAGGGTAAAATCTGTCTTTCTATACGGTAAAGTCTGTCTGATTGAATAAAATCTGTCTTTCTATAGGGTAAAGTCTAATAGGATAAAATCTGTCTTTCTATAGGGTAAAGTCTGTTTACTGAAAGGTAAAGTCTGTCTGATAGGGTAAAATCTGTCTTTCTATAGGGTAAAGTCTGTCTGATAGGGTAAAATCTGTCTTTCTATAGGGTAAAGTCTGTCTGATAGGGTAAAATCTGTCTTTCTATAGGGTAAAGTCTGTCTGATAGCATAAAATCTGTCTTTCTATAGGGTAAAGTCTGTCTGATAGGGTAAAATCTGTCTTTCTATACGGTAAAGTCTGTCTGATTGAATAAAATCTGTCTTTCTATAGGGTAAAGTCTGTTTACTGAAAGGTAAAGTCTGTCTGATAGTGTAAAATCTGTCTTTCTATAGGGTAAAATCTGTTTACTGATAGGTAAAGCCAGTCTAATAGGGTAAAATCTGTCTTTCTATAGGGTAAAATCTGTTTACTGATAGGTAAAGTCTGTCTGATAGGATAAAATCTGTCTTTTTATAGGTAAAGTCTGTTTACTAAAAGGTAAAGTCAGTCTAAAAGGATAAAATCTGTCTTTCTATAGGGTAAAGTCTGTCTGATAGGATAAAATTTGTCTTTTTATAGGTAAAGTCTGTTTACTGAAAGGTAAAGTCAGTCTAAAAGGGTAAAATCTGTCTTTCTATAGGGTAAAGTCTGTCTGATAAAATCTGTCTTTCTATAGGGTAAAGGATAAAATCTGTCTTTCTAAAGGTAAAGTAGGGTAAAATCTGTCTTTCTATATAGGGTAAAGTCTGTCTGATAGGGTAAAATCTGTCTTTCTATAGGGTAAAATCTGTCTTTCTATAGGGTAAAGTCTATCTGATAGGATAAAATCTGTCTTTCTATAGGGTAAAGTCTGTCTGATAGGATAAAATCTGTCTTTCTATAGGGTAAAATCTGTCTGATAGGATAAAATCTGTCTTTTTAAAGGTAAAGTCTGTTTACTGAAAGGTAAAGTCAGTCTAAAAGGGTAAAATCTGTCTTTCTATAGGGTAAAGTCTGTTTACTGAAAGGTAAAGTCTATCTGATAGGGTAAAATCTGTCTTTCTATAGGGTAAAGTCTGTTTTAAAGTCTGTCTGATAGGGTAAAATCTGTCTTTCTATAGGGTAAAATCTGTTTACTGATAGGTAAAGCCAGTCTAATAGGATAAAATTTGTCTTTCTATAGGGTAAAGTCTGTCTAATAGGGTAAAATCTGTCTTTTTCTATTGTTAAGTCTGTCTAATAGGGTAAAATCTGTCTTTCTATAGGGTAAAGTCTGTCTGATAGGATAAAATCTGTCTTTCTATAGGGTAAAGCCTGTCTAATAGAGTAAAATCTGTCTTTCTATATGTCTTTCTATAGGGTAAAGTCTGTCTGATAGAATAAAATCTGTCTTTCTATAGGGTAAAGTCTGTTTACTTATAGGTAAAGTCTGTCTGATAGGGTAAAATCTGTCTTTCTATAGGGTAAAGTCTGTCTGATAGGATAAAATCTGTCTTTCTATAGGGTAAAGTCTGTCTGATAGAATAAAATCTGTCTTTCTATAGGGTAAAGTCTGTTTACTTATAGGTAAAGTCTGTCTGATAGGGTAAAATCTGTCTTTCTATAGGGTAAAGTCTGTTTACTGATAGGTAAAGTCTGTCTTTCTATAGGGTAAAATCTGTCTTTCTATAGGGTAAAGTCTGTCTTTCTAGAAAGGGTAAAGTCTGTCTTAAAATCTGTCTAGGGTAAAAAGTCTGTCTTAAAATCTGTCTTTCTATAGGGTAAAGTCTGTTTACTTATAGGTAAAGTCTGTCTGATAGGATAAAATCTGTCTTTCTATAGGGTAAAGTCTGTCTACTAAAATCTATAGGGAAAGTCTGTCTTACTAAAGTCTGTCTGAAAGTCTGTCTTTCTATAGGTAAAATCTGTCTTTCTATAGGGTAAAGTCTGTTTACTGAGGTAAAGTCTGTCTGATAGGGTAAAATCTGTCTTTCTATAAAGGTCTGTAAAGTCTGTTTTCTATAGGGTAAAGTCTGTCTGATAATAGGTAAAGTCTGTCTGATAGGGTAAAATCTGTCTTTCTATAGGGTAAAGTCTGTCTGATAGGGTAAAATCTGTCTTTCTATAGGGTAAAGTCTGTTTACTTATAGGTAAAGTCTGTCTGATAGGGTAAAATCTGTCTTTCTATAGGGTAAAGTCTGTTTACTTATAGGTAAAGCCTGTCTGATAGGGTAAAATCTGTCTTTCTATAGGGTAAAGTCTGTTTACTTATAGGTAAAGTCTGTCTGATATAGGTAAAATCTGTCTTTCTATAGTTCTGTTTACTAAAGGTAAAGGGTAAAAAATCTGTCTTTCTATAGGGTAAAGTCTGTTTACTGATAGGTAAAGTCTGTCTGAAGGGTAAAATCTGTCTTTCTATAGGGTAAAGTCTGTTTACTGGGTAAAATCTGTCTTTCTATAGGGTAAAGTCTGTTTACTGATAGGTAAAATCTGTCTTTCTATAGGGTAAAGTCTGTTTACTTATAGGTAAAGTCTGTCTGATAGGGTAAAATCTGTCTTTCTATAGGGTAAAGTCTGTTTACTGATAGGTAAAGTCTGTCTGATAGGGTAAAATCTGTCTTTCTATAGGGTAAAGTCTGTCTGATAAAGTCTGTCTAATAGGGTAAAATCTGTCTTTCTATATTGTAAAGTCTGCCTAATAGGATAAAATTTGTCTTTCTAACGGGTAAAGTCTGTTTACTTATAGGTAAAGTCTGTCTGATAGGATAAAATCTGTCTTTCTATAGGGTAAAGTCTGTCTGATAGGGTAAAATCTGTCTTTCTATAGGGTAAAGTCTGTCTGATAGAATAAAATCTGTCTTTCTATAGGGTAAAGTCTGTCTAATAGGGTAAAATCTGTCTTTTTCTATTGTTAAGTCTGTCTAATAGGGTAAAATCTATCTTTCTATATTGTAAAGTCTGTCTGATAGGATAAAATCTGTCTTTCTTATATAAAGGGTAAAAAATCTGTCTTTCTATAAGGTAAAGTCTGTCTGATAGGGTAAAATCTGTCTTTCTATAGGGTAAAGTCTGTTTACTGAAAGGTAAAGTCTATCTGATAGGGTAAAATCTGTCTTTCTATAGGGTAAAGTCTGTTTACTGAAAGGTAAAGTCTGTCTGATAGGGTAAAATCTGTCTTTCTATAGGGTAAAGTCTGTTTACTGAAAGGTAAAGTCAGTCTAAAAGGGTAAAATCTGTCTTTCTATAGGGTAAAGTCTGTCTGATAGAATAAAATCTGTCTTTCTATAGGGTAAAGTCTGTTTACTTATAGGTAAAGTCTGTCTGATAGGATAAAATCTGTCTTTTTAAAGGTAAAGTCTGTTTACTGAAAGGTAAAGTCAGTCTAAAAGGGTAAAATCTGTCTTTCTATAGGGTAAAGTCTGTCTATAGTAAAGTCTGTTTTCTATAGGTAAAGTCTGTCTGATAGGGTAAAATCTGTCTTTCTAAGGGTAAAGTCTGTCTAAAATCTGTCTTTCTATAGGGTAAAGTCTGTCTGATAGAATAAAATCTGTCTTTCTATAGGGTAAAGTCTGTCTGATAGAATAAAATCTGTCTTTCTATAGGGTAAAATCTGTTTACTGATAGGTAAAGTCAGTCTAAAAGGGTAAAGTCTATCTGATAGAATAAAATATGTCTTTCTAACGGGTAAAGTCTGTTTACTTATAGGTAAAGTCTGTCTAATAGGGTAAAATCTGTCTTTCTATATTGTAAAGTCTGCCTAATAGGATAAAATTTGTCTTTCTATAGGGTAAAGTCTGTTTACAAAACAAAGAAGATCTGTCTTTCTTGGGTAAAATCTGTGCCTCCTATAATGGTTTAAAGTCTGTCTGATAGGATAAAATCTGTCTTTCTATAGGGTAAAGTCTGTCTGATAGGGTAAAATCTGTCTTTCTATAGGGTAAAGTCTGTCTGATAGAATAAAATCTGTCTTTCTAACGGGTAAAGTCTGTTTACTTATAGGTAAAGTCTGTCTAATAGGGTAAAATCTGTCTTTCTATATTGTAAAGTCTGTCTGAAAGGTAAACCTGTCTTTCTATAGTGTTGAGGTAAAGTCTAAAAACAAACCAGTGACAAAATCTGTTTTCTAAGGGTAAAGTCTAGTCGTCAAACCAGTGACAACTCTGTGTTGACTGTGTCTCCAAACCAGTGACAACTGGTTTCACTCCAATGTGTTAAGGTAAGTCTAGTCGTCAAAACAAACCAGTGACAACTAAACTGTGTCTCCTGGTTTCACGTGTTAAGGTAAGTCTAGTCGTCAAAACAAACCAGTGACAACTAAACTGTGTCTCCTGTACTCCAATGTGTTGAGGTAAGTCTAGTCGTCAAAACAAACCAGTGACAACTAAACTGTGTCTCCTGTTCTCCAATGTGTTGAGGTAAGTCTAGTCGTCAAAACAAACCAGTGACAACTAAACTGTGTCTCCTGTTCTCCAATGTGTTGAGGTAAGTCTAGTCGTCAAAACAAACCAGTGACAACTGCACTGTCTCCTGTACTCCAGTGTGTTGAGGTAAGTCTAGTCGTCAAAACAAACCAGTGACAACTGCACTGTCTCCTGTACTCCAGTGTGTTGAGGTAAGTCTAGTCGTCAAAACAAACCAGTGACAACTAAACTGTGTCTCCTGTTCTCCAATGTGTTGAGGTAAATCTAATTGTCAAAACAAACCAGTGACAACTGCACTGTCTCCTGTTCTCCAATGTGTTGAGGTAAATCTAATTGTCAAAACAAACCAGTGACAACTAAACTGTGTCTCCTGTTCTCCAATGTGTTAAGGTAAGTCTAGTCGTCAAAACAAACCAGTGACAACTGCACTGTCTCCTGTACTCCAGTGTGTTGAGGTAAATCAAATTGTCAAAACAAACCAGTGACAACTGCACTCTGTCTCCTGTACTCCAGTGTGTTGAGGTAAGTCTAGTCGTCAAAACAAACCAGTGACAACTAAACTGTGTCTCCTGTTCTCCAATGTGTTGAGGTAAATCTAATTGTCAAAACAAACCAGTGACAACTGCACTCTGTCTCCTGTTCTCCAATGTGTTGAGGTAAATCTAATTGTCAAAACAAACCAGTGACAACTAAACTGTGTCTCCTGTTCTCCAATGTGTTAAGGTAAGTCTAGTCGTCAAAACAAACCAGTGACAACTGCACTGTCTCCTGTACTCCAGTGTGTTGAGGTAAATCAAATTGTCAAAACAAACCAGTGACAACTGCACTCTGTCTCCTGTTCTCCAATGTGTTGAGGTAAATCTAATTGTCAAACCAAACAGTGACAACTGCACTTTGTCTCCTGTACTCCAGTGTGTTAAGGTAAGTACAGTCGTCTAAACAAACCCGTGACAACTAAACTGTGTCTCCTGTTCTCCAATGTGTTGAGATAAGTCTCCTTATCCTACATTGTGTTATTGTTAGTCTAGTAGATGTCTGAATATGACCAGTGCTGAAATATACATAGAACTGAAATATATTTTATGAACTGTCTCTCTCACAATTGATGTAACTGTACCTCTTTCTCTGTCAGTATAATTTAGAGTTTGTCAGTATAATTTAGAGTTGTGAAGTAATGAAGTTTCTCCCATGAGTGAACTAACTGTAACCATTCTCTCTGTCAGTATAATTTAGAGCTATTGATTGATTGTTGTTATATTTAGGATGTTTACCACCAAGATGTTTCCAAAAGTGAGACACCAGAAAACAAGGAAGTACACATGGCTACAAGATTTTTGGAAAATTCTCAGAACTATATTGCCAAAGAAGGCCTGGATGTTGTTAAACTCTACACCCTGGCAGAGACACGGTTTGCACTGAGTGTGGTAGCCAAGTATGTACAGAAAATCTTTGTGGACAGATCCATCAAGATGAAGAAAAATCATAAACAGATGATGAAAGCTGCAGCTAAACTTTGTGAAGAATGTAACTTTGACTGGCCTTGGTAATGCCACTTTTTTCATAATTTTTCATCAAAACTCTTTGATAGTTTTCTCACCTTGTGATCTTTGACTCAAAGTCAGAGGATGAAGTATGGAAAAGTCTATTGTATAGCACTATGTATGGGTCAGCTTGATCAGTGCTTATCACAGGATAAGCATGGTCAAGTTTATTTGTTGCTGAATTTATCACCCAATGAACACTCAGGGTCATTTTGAAGCAGGTTCTCCTTGTAGTAACTGGTGGCTATATCACTGAACATATATAACGCCACTTGTCATTTAGAGCAGTAGGGTCTTTCCAGAGGACACAACCTCATTTTGATGGTTTTCTGTTTCCGTTTTCATTTCGTCAACTTTCTGAGAAATACAAACTATCACTGGTAGGAAGTGTGGTTCCAAACACCTCAGATCTTCACCTTTCAGCCCAAGATTATGATGTTTGGCCAGTAGCATGTTTGGATGAAGGGCTACCAAATTTGTTCCAAAAATGACCTTGATCCACTTTCAATAACACAGCAGATAATTATGTTTCAATCTCAAAAAGATTTGTCCCCCTTGTGTGGGAGGGGCAGGCCCAATAAGGGAAAAAGAATAAATTCTTTAAAATCCTACTTTTCCTGTACGAATAAATAGATGTTTCTGAAATTTAGACTGAAGTATTCTTTGGTGAAGGGGGATCAGTTGTGTATAAACAGTGGATTCCTGCCCTCTGGGGCCTGAGAGGCGGGGCCTGAGAGGCGGGGCCTGAGAGGCGGGGCCAAAGAGGGGAAATAGAGCAAATTCCTTTAAATCCTACTCCTCTATTAGGAATGGTTAGATATCACCCAAATTGGTCTAAAGTACTCTTGTGTGAAGGGGAACAAATTTTGTGTAAGGACTGCTTCTATGTTCCCAGGGGCCTAAGGGGCGAAGCCCAAAATGGAAAATTTAACGTCTTACTCCTCCTACAAGAATAAATGGATATTGCCCAAATTTGGTCAGAAGTTCTGTATAAACGTTACATTCCCGGCCCGATAGGGTGGAAAGGGTGGGCCCAATTGAGGAAATGTAAGTTCTTAAAAGTCGATTCTTCTTCCATACAAGACTATTGTCCAAGTTCGGTCTGAAGCATTATTTATGAATAGTGAATCTGACCTCTGTTTGATCACAAGGGCAGGACCTAATAGGCAAATTATTTCAGATATTGTTTGTAATGCTTGAAATTCTTAATTAAATTGCTGAATAGTTACATTAGCCTGGTGAGTGATGTAGCGTGGCTACTTGTTACCTTTTGTCTGACACTGCACATTATCTTTCATCTATCCATAAACAATAGACTTTTTCAACTTCTTTTCAAAAACATCTAATCTAACGAAGCAAAAATTTGAATTATATGCTCCCTAACTCCCAAGGGCCTGAGGAAAATTACAATTTTGTGCATAATTTCCATTGGACATATTTCAAACTTGATTACAATTATTTGTAGAGGATAACTGTTTGTCCCTGGCTGACCTTCTAGGACTCCATTTTAAGAAGTCTTATTTTCAGGGTACAGTTATGTTTGCATTAGATTCTCTGCATTGGTGGATGAGTCTTAGGAGCTTTGCTCAAATTGTGAATTCCATGACCTCAGGGTCTCGCATTAAACACTGGGGATTGGTATAATAAACTTCAATTTTTGAAAATAATTCCATTTCTGTCTTAAATTATTCATTGTTAGAATTATTACTGGCAGTTAATGTTATACTTGTTTGACTTTGGAATTACATGTACAATGTAGTTCAAGTCAGTTTACATTGTTGATGAGATGATATGTTTCAATGACAAAAATGGCAGCATTTAGAATCCAGATGACTGTTCAGCTCTTGGCCTCTAGTTAAACTACTGAACAGGTGAGAATTCAGGCCCATGGGTCCTCTTGTTTAGAATACAAATATTCAAATTACATAGATTTGTTGAATCTTCCTAATTCTAAATTCCATCACAACCAATTTAGACACTGGCTGTTACTGAAGAAAGATTCTGTTGTGACTTTTAAAGTCTTTCTTTCAGCATATTCTTTATCAAGCAGCTATGTCGTTGCTATGGACGGGACAGTTATCAGACAGTGTTGAGGTCTGGAGATGAGAACATGCGTCGATGGCTACAGTTGCTAAATCTGGATAGAGAGGAGGTGTGTAATTAGTACCAACAGAACTAAATTTTATATGCATCATTTTTTTATAAATATTGTTTCAACTAAAGTTATTCAAGATTTGAAGGAATGTGAAGTTATCAATAATTATCTTTTAATGATTTATTGTGTAGGCACTGGAGTGTACAGACCTATATGTAGTATGTGGGGAGCAGTACATCACATGTCGCGAGATGGTCACTCAATGTTTACTGGGACAGGATCCTGCCAATCTTTTACAACAGCTGGAGGTAGGTGTCAACTGTCCGGACATCATCCTGACAATCTCTTACAACAGCTGGAGGTAGGTGTCAACTGTCCGGACATCATCCTGACAATCTCATACAACAGCTGGAGGTAGGTATCAACTGTCTGATTGTGATCCTCACAACCTGCCACTACAGCAGGAGGTAGGTATCAACTGTCTGATTGTGATCCTCACAACCTCCCACTACAGCAGGAGGTAGGTATCAACTGTCTGATTGTGATCCTCACAACCTCCCACTACAGCAGGAGGTAGGTATCAACTGTCTGATTGTGATCCTCACAACCTCCCACTACAGCAGGAGGTAGGTATCAACTGTCTGATTGTGATCCTCACAACCTGCCACTACAGCAGGAGGTAGGTATCAACTGTCTGATTGTGATCCTCACAACCTCCCACTACAGCAGGAGGTAGGTATCAACTGTCTGATTGTGATCCTCAAAACCTCCCACTACAGCAGGAGGTAGGTATCAACTGTCTGATTGTGATCCTCACAACCTGCCACTACAGCAGGAGGTAGGTATCAACTGTCTGATTGTGATCCTCACAACCTGCCACTACAGCAGGAGGTAGGTATCAACTGTCTGATTGTGATCCCCACAACCTGCTACTACAGCTGTAGGTAGGTATCAACTGTCTTATTGTGATCCCCACAACCTGCTACTACAGCAAGAGGTAGGTATCAACTGTCTGATTGTGATCCTCACAACCTCCCACTACAGCAGGAGGGAGGTATCAACTGTCTGATTGTGATCCTCACAACCTCCCACTACAGCAGGAGGTAGGTATCAACTGTCTGATTGTGATCCTCACAACCTGCTACTACAGCAGGAGGTAGGTATCAACTGTCTGATTGTGATCCTCACAACCTGCCACTACAGCAGGAGGTAGGTATCAACTGTCTTATTGTGATCCTCACAACCTGCTACTACAGCAGGAGGTAGGTATCAACTGTCTTATTGTGATCCTCACAACCTGCCACTACAGCTGGAGGTAGGTATCAACTGTCTGATTGTGATCCTCACAACCTGCTACTACAGCAGGAGGTAGGTATCAACTGTCTTATTGTGATCCTCACAACCTCCTACTACAGCAGGAGGTAGGTATCAACTGTCTGATTGTGATCCTCACAACCTCCCACTACAGCAGGAGGTAGGTATCAACTGTCTGATTGTGATCCTCATAACCTGCCCACTACAGCAGGAGGTCCTACAGCAGGAGGTAGGTATCAACTGTCTGATTGTGATCCTCACAACCTCCCACTACAGCAGGAGGTAGGTATCAACTGTCTGATTGTGATCCTCACAACCTGCTCCTACAGCAGGAGGTAGGTATCAACTGTCTGATTGTGATCCTCACAACCTGCCACTACAGCAGGAGGTAGGTATCAACTGTCTGATTGTGATCCTCACAACCTGCCACTACAGCAGGAGGTAGGTATCAACTGTCTGATTGTGATCCTCACAACCTCCCACTACAGCAGGAGGTAGGTATCAACTGTCTGATTGTGATCCTCACAACCTCCCACTACAGCAGGAGGTAGGTATCAACTGTCTGATTGTGATCCTCACAACCTGCTACTACAGCAGGAGGTAGGTATCATTGTGTATGTATGGATTGATATTTACTTCTGAAGAAGAATGTGACTGTGTCTGAATGTGTCTGTATGTATACTGATGGTAGATTTAATTTATTTAGCATATGTTTCTTGAGATATTGTCAATGTATGATGTTAGTACAGATAAACTTGTTTAACCAATTTAAGACATTATTCATTTCACCTACCAACATAAAGAGACTTGGTTGGTTTGGAGAAATATGTTTAAGATTTAATGTCTATTCTGTCTGTTTTGTGTCTGTCTATCTGTCCATCTGTTTTTGTCGGTCTGTTTGTCAGTCCCTCCATCCAAGCGTCCGTCTAGGTGTCCCTTGGTCTGTCTGTCACAACGTCCTTCTGTCTGTTTGTTGACGATAACTTCAGAAAAGATGGATGGATTTTAATGAAATTTCATTTAATGAAAGGTTATGAGACAATACAGAGTTGGATATAGTTTCAGGTCAAAAGATCAGCTACAAAGGCCACTGTTGCTAAAAATTAATATTTTTTTGCCAAATTTTGGTTTCCAGATGATAGCTTCAAAAAGGATTGAACGACTTGGTTGCAATCTAATATCCTTACAAAATCTATAGGGTTGGATTGAGGTAAGGGTCAAAAGGTCAACTGTAAAGACTGTGAAGGTCACTCACTACAAGAAATTCTTCACCATTTTTAGGGGCCTGCATCAAAGATGTGGGAAACAAAGTTTATAAGAATAACACCAGTAGTCAACTGATCATTGTTCAAGATCACTGTGTTGAAAGTCAAGATCAAATTTTACATGTTTTCACTAGAATGGTGAAATTTGCTATTAAAGGTCATACACAAAGCAGGATCCTTTCTGAAATGTCAGTGTTTTAATTTGTGTCCCAGATAACCACTTAATTGCATTAGAGATGACTAACCTAATTAATACTTCATACAGTATGAAACACGAGGGATTGCATATTAAGTTGGGTTTTTTTCTAATATTTTGGTTTTTGCATCCTTCCTGTCAAGACACTGGTTGTTGGAGGGAAGACTTTCAATTGTTGAAATAAAACATCTGTTTATTGCTATCAAGGTCTTTCTTGCTTTGAAAATCTAATTAACAGCAGGGGACGAATATTGTATGCAACACTAACTGTAAGCATGTTTTGCTTGTTTTGAAGGATTTGAGAAATGAGGACTGGAAAAAGAGAGTGACTCTACTTTTGGCAGTGTACAGAGAAATCACTATGTCCAACGTTTACCCAGAAGACAAGAGGAAAACACAGCCACAGGTTTGAGATTTGATTATCTAAGTTTATAGATGATTAGCGGGTTGTTCCATTTTCATCACCTCCTAGATTGTTTATCCTGTTAGAATCTGTTTCTTAAGTGTATAGTGTATGTCACAAAGGGAGATAATGACTGTCAATTGATGATTACTTCCAAATAACATTTACCAATAACCCTCACATATCTATACAGCTGTTTCTTCTTACATACAGGGGCATAATATACATTTGAAATTGATTTCGGAAAAGCTCTTTTGTACAATAAACATTGTTCTTGGATTTTGTTCTCTGACACATTTGAGGTGTACTGTGATTACAGATGTATGAACAGCTCCTTGACGCCTTGTTGAGCCATCCCTTATTTCAAGCACAGGTAAATGCATTTTTTCATGACCTTTTCTTGTTACTAAGTGCTTAAAATGTTTCAATGTTACATTTGATCCTTTCTGTTCTTAATAACGTATGGTGTTGTCTTTCATCCTTATAGGTCATTAAGATGGAAAATATATTTACACCTTTTGTTTGATGTTCTTCAGGGAAACCTCCTGAAAGCTTTGTTTAGAAACACTATCTGGCAACGATGTCAACATTTGAACATCCATCAAGGCATGGCATTGAAGGACCAGAGCATTGCCTGTCTGCTTGTTCATGCAGGAATCACCTTCTTACAGATTCCAGATGACAAAAGTCTGCTTCAGCCTTTGATAACACTGGCCCTCCTACCACAAAATATGGCGGTATGTACACCACATCACACCTAACCCCTTCTCTCAACTCCTGTAGTATAGTTATCACAGAACATGTACACCACATCACACCTAACCCCTTCTCTCAACTCCTGTAGTATAGTTATCACAGAACATGTACACCACATCACACCTAATCCCGTCTCTCAACTCCTGTAGTATAGTTATCACAGAACATGTACACCACATCACACCTAACCCCTTCTCTCAACTCCTGTAGTATAGTTATCACAGAACATGTACACCACATCACACCTAACCCCTTCTCTCAACTCCTGTAGTATAGTTATCACAGAACATGTACACCACATCACACCTAATCCCTTCTCTCAACTCCTGTAGTATAGTTATCACAGAACATGTACACCACATCACACCTAACCCCTTCTCTCAACTCCTGTAGTATAGTTATCACAGAACATGTACACCACATCACACCTAACCCCTTCTCTCAACTCCCTTATATAGTCATTACAGAACATTGCAGTATAACGTTTGACCAAAACCCATGACAAAATTAAGTCACTGCATGTTTAAACTGAATATTTTCTATATATAAAGCAGCACTGACCTTAACCTAGACTTTCAAACAAGTATAAACATAATTGATCGTTGGTTTAGTTTGACCAAATTTCATGATAGAATGCTGTTGTTTAGTATTTAAATTGCCAAGATCCCTCTGGGATCTCTTGTTGCCTCTCATATGCCTGTGCAGATTTTATTTCAACCAAATTTAGCCTGAAACATTATTGGTAGAAGACAATCATAATTTATATAATTGAAGTTTTTTAGTCCCCAAGGGGCCAAGGGTAAGGCCAGTTACTGGAAATTAGGTGATTACTGGAATTTACACACACTTCTTTGTAGGATTTGTAACATAAGTTTTATTTTGTTAGTGTTAGATTTCTACTGCTCACATATGGACCTCCTGTTTATGTAATAAATAAATCATCTTCTCTTTGTATGGTTTGTTGATGTGGTCAGATGACCATTAAGGCACATTGGTCTTTTGTACCATGTCCAGTCCAGATATCTTCTTCCTTAGTGTTTAACCAATTTCTCGGAAAATTGGTATGCTTTAAAACCACAGCATGAAATTGTGTTCTTAAAAACAACAATATGAGTTACCAATACTGTTATATAAGCTATTACTTTGTATTGTTTTCAGTATTTTAATCGTGTCCAGAGATTTCCTCTTTCAGTTTTCAACAAATCTGTGTCATTAAAATATATAGCACTGTTTTCCTCTTGACATTTTTTACTCATTACCATTTCCACCATAACTGTATTTTCAACACAATAAAACAGGACTATTTCTCTAGCATTGCATTACTTTCCCTGTCCTCACCCATCACCTCCTGTGCCACAGTTCTCTTTTTTCTTAACAGAGAGTCAAAGATGTGATTTGGTATAAATCTTGTAGAAGTATCAAATTACTGTTAAATGCTTCTCTTTGATTTTTTCAGAGGTCCTTTTTACCCACAATGCCCCAGGATGATATGACACAAATTAAGGAGGCTCTGTTAGCAGCCAGGGATCAAACAGGTGCTGAAAATCCTGTGATTTATCGTAAGTAATCAGAAAAAGATTTGATGAAGAAAATCCTGCGATTTATCGTAAATTACCAGAATAGAGTTAGATAAAGAAAATCCTGTGATTTATCGTAAATAACCAGAATAAAGTTAGATAAAGAAAATCCTGTGATTTATCGTGTAAATTACCATAATAAAGTTAGATAAAGAAAATCCTGTGATTTATCGTAAATTATCAGAATAAAGTTAGATAAAGAAAATCCTGTGATTTGTCGTGTAAATTACCATAATAAAGTTAGATAAAGAAAATCCTGTGATTTATCGTAAATTATCAGAATAAAGTTAGATAAAGAAAATCCTGTGATTTATCGTAAATTATCAGAATAAAGTTAGATAAAGAAAATCCTGTGATTTATCGTGTAAATTACCATAATAAAGTTAGATAAAGAAAATCCTGTGATTTATCGTAAATTATCAGAATAAAGTTAGATAAAGAAAATCCTGTGATTTGTCGTGTAAATTACCATAATAAAGTTAGATAAAGAAAATCCTGTGATTTATCGTAAATTATCAGAATAAAGTTAGATAAAGAAAATCCTGTGATTTGTCGTGTAAATTACCATAATAAAGTTAGATAAAGAAAATCCTGTGATTTATCGTAAATTATCAGAATAAAGTTAGATAAAGAAAATCCTGTGATTTATCGTAAGTTACCAGAATGAAGTTTGACAAAGAAAATCCTGTGATTTATCGTAAATTATCAGAATAAAGTTAGATAAAGAAAATCCTGTGATTTATTGTGAGCAAATCAGAATGAATTTTATGGAACATATGAAAACATGGAACAATACAAAACAGACTGAAATCATACCAAATTTCAGCTAAGAGAACAGTTAATTGGACCAGATCATCCAATTCCTAACTAATCATTGGAAACAATACCATGCATGTTTTGCAATCAATTTTTTTCTTTTTTTTTTGATGACTCAGAGGCCTAGCTTAATTAGCATCTGATGATATTGATCACATTGTGTTTGATCTTTCTATAAAGGCAGTGCCTTTTTCCTCTAATGTTTGATCAGATCTGTGTTTGGGTTATAACAAAGATATACTTATGTAGTCTATACAATATACAATTGTTGTACAGTAAAGATTGTCCAAAGTGTGCTGCTACTCTAGTTATTTACTTCCAGCCTAGATGTCATTGATGGTGTGGTTTATTTCAGGTTGTCCTAATGGTCATCCATACATCATTGGAAATGTAAGTTTTTCTGAATGACAGTATATTTTATGATCTTGTAGGCCATCTGAACCAATGCTTAATTTTGTGTCATTTTTTTTTTTCTTTTTGATACATAAATATAATCTATGTGTTTCTGTTTTATATGACATTAAGGAAATCAGACTTCTGAATTTTTCATTCAGTTCTAGAAAGCCTTTGACCAGTAAATGGAAAAAGGTTTGACAGGTTTCATAAAAATTTAAAGAAATGGACACAGATTTGAGTTAAGCATAAAGTGAAGAAACCATACTTTTTGCTGTCAAGCTTAGAATTTTGGAAAATTTTGATTACCAGCTTAGTTATATTGAAAGATGTATCATGCATGTTTGTTTCAGTGTGGACGACCAGCAACAAAGGGACAATGTAAAGATTGTGGAGCAGATATTGGAGGTCTAAGTTATGTTCTCAGCCAAGGCAATGTACTGGATGATGGGTAAAATATGTACATTATGTTTACTTTGCTGCATGAATCTAGTAACGATGGAACTCACAGAGTACAATGTATGTTGAGATGGCTCACAGAACACAAGTCCCATCAGTTCTTCCTTTTAATTCCTTAGACAAGAACTTAAGTTTTAGATTTTGTTTAATTGAATGCCAATTAGATTATTGATGATAGAGCAGATTTCAGTAGGTTTACACAGATTATTTGATACCATTCTTTGGCAATGTAAACATCTGAAAAAATCAGAGTGAAATTTGAAAAAGTAGAAAGACAATTATTTCCATGGGGAAGTGATTCATTATATCGTGAAGGAATAAATCAAATGACATGATAGTTCAGGGTTTAAAGGTTTCAATTTGATGCTACTATTTATAGAAAATCATTAGTCAATACACACCTAGTTCCATTTGTTGAAATGTTATTGACTTCAGGACTGACAGGACCAAACCAGGCCACATTCTGGGACGAGCTGACCAAAGGACAGATATTATTGTGGATGAAAGAAAGATGACTGCTGTCAGTTGTGCCATACTGAGGTTCTTAACCCACATCTCAATGCTGCTTGGAACTAACGAAAATCCTCAGGTAACAATCAAGCTGATTACCTGGTATAATTCAGATTTCAGGGAAGGATAGAAATCATCATACCATTGATTGTGTTAAGATTGATTCTTCTCATGTGAACGTTGTATTTACAACGTATATCAAGTGTCCAATGTACGATAAAAGAACAAACAGTGGAGTGTTAAATGTTTTATTAAAACAACACACATGTTTTATTAAAACAACACACATGTTTTATTAAAACGATATACATGTTTTATTAAAACAACACACGTTTTATTAAAGCAAAATACATCTTTTATTAAAATGATATACATGTTTTATTAAAACGATATACTTGTGTTATTAAAATGATATACATGTTTTATTAAAACAACACACATGTTTTATTAAAACAACATACATCTTGTATTAAAATGATATACATGTTTTATTAAAACAACACACATGTTTTATTAAAACAAAATACATCTTTTATTAAAATGATATACATGTTTTATTAAAACAACACACATGTTTTATTAAAACAAAATACATCTTTTATTAAAATGATATACATGTTTTATTAAAACAACACACATGTTTTATTAAAACAAAATACATCTTTTATTAAAATGATATACATGTTTTATTAAAACAACACACATGTTTTATTAAAACAACATACATCTTGTATTAAAATGATATACATGTTTTATTAAAACAACACACATGTTTTATTAAAACAAAATACATCTTTTATTAAAATGATATACATGTTTTATTAAAACGATATACTTGTTTTATTAAAATGATATACATGTTTTATTAAAACAACACACATGTTTTATTAAAACAAAATACATCTTTTATTAAAATCATATACATGTTTTATTAAAACAACACACATGTTTTATTAAAACAAAATACATCTTTTATTAAAATGATATACATGTTTTATTAAAACAACACACATGTTTTATTAAAACAACATACATCTTGTATTAAAATGATATACATGTTTTATTAAAACAACACACATGTTTTATTAAAACAACATACATCTTTTATTAAAATGATATATATGTTTTATTAAAACAACACACATGTTTTATTAAAGCAACATACATCTTGTATTAAAATGATATACATGTTTTATTAAAACAACACACATGTTTTATTAAAACAAAATACATCTTTTATTAAAATGATATACATCTTTTATTAAAATGATATACATGTTTTATTAAAACGATATACTTGTTTTATTAAAACGATATGTATGTTTTATTAAAACGACATACATATTTTATTTTAACAACACATGTTTTATTAAAACGACATACATATTCTATTTAAACACACATGTTTTATCACAACAACACACCTGGTTTATTGAAACAGCCCACATGTTTTATTAAAACAACATACATATTTTATTTAAACAACACACATGTTTGATCAAAACGACATACATATTTTATCAAAATGATATACATGTTTTATTAAAACGATATACCGGTACTTGTTTTATTAAAACGATATACTTGTTTTATTAAAACGACATACATATTTTATTAAAATGATATACATGTTTTATTAAAACGATATGTATGTTTTATTAAAACGACATATATATTTTATTTTAACAACACACGTTTTATTAAAACGACATACATGTTTTATTGAATCAGCACACATGTTTTATTAAAACGACATACCTGGTTTATTTAAACAACACACGTTTTATTAAAACGACATACCTGGTTTATTTAAACAACACACGTTTTATTAAAACGACATACCTGGTTTATTAAAACAGCACACATGTTTTATTAAAACAACATACATAATTTATTTAAACAACACACATGTTTTATTAAAACGACATACCTGGTTTATTTAAACAACACACATGTTTTATTAAAACAACATACATCTTTTATTTAAACAGCACACATGTTTTATTAAAACGACATACCTGGTTTATTGAAACAGCACACGTTTTATTAAAACCACATACCTGGTTTATTTAAACAGCACACATATTTTATTAAAACGACATACCTGGTTTATTGAAACAGCACACATGTTTTATTAAAACGACATACCTGGTTTATTTAAACAACACACATGTTTTTTTAAAACGACATACATATTTTATTGAAACAGCACACATGTTTTATTAAAACAACATACCTGGTTTATTGAAACAACACACATGTTTTATTAAAACGACATGCCTGGTTTATTTAAACAGCACACACGTTTTATTAAAACGACATACCTGGTTTATTGAAACAGCACACATGTTTTATTTAAACGACATACATATTTTATTTAAACAACACACGTTTTATTTAGATAACACACATATTTTATTTAAACAACACACATGTTTTAATTAAACAACACACATGTTTTATTTAAACAACATACATCTTTTATTAAAATGATATACATGTTTTATTAAAACAACACACATGTTTTATTAAAACAAAATACACACATGTTTTATTAAAACGATATACTTGTTTTATTAAAATGATCTACATGTTTTATTAAAACAACACACATGTTTTATTAAAACAAAATACATCTTTTATTAAAATGATATACATGTTTTATTAAAACAACACACATGTTTTATTAAAACAAAATACATCTTTTATTAAAATGATATACATGTTTTATTAAAACAACACACATGTTTTATTAAAGCAACATACATCTTGTATTAAAATGATATACATGTTTTATTAAAACAACACACATGTTTTATTAAAACAAAATACATCTTTTATTAAAATGATATACATGTTTTATTAAAACGATATACTTGTTTTATTAAAATGATATACATGTTTTATTAAAACAACACACATGTTTTATTAAAACAAAATACATCTTTTATTAAAATGATATACATGTTTTATTAAAACAACACACATGTTTTATTAAAACAAAATACATCTTTTATTAAAATGATATACATGTTTTATTAAAACAACACACATGTTTTATTAAAACAACATACATCTTGTATTAAAATGATATACATGTTTTATTAAAACAACATACATCTTTTATTTAAACAGCACACATGTTTTGTTAAATCGACATACCTGGTTTATTGAAACAGCACACGTTTTATTAAAACCACAAACCTGGTTTATTTAAACAGCACACATGTTTTATTAAAACCACATACCTGGTTTATTTAAACAGCACACATTTTTTTATTAAAACGACATACCTTGTTTATTTAAACAACACACATGTTTTATTAAAATGACATACCTGGTTTATTGAAACAGCTCACACGTTTTATTAAAACAACATACATCTTTTATTTAAACAGCACACAAGTTTTATTAAAACAACATGCATATTTTATTGAAACAGCACACATGTTTTATTAAAACAACATACCGGGTTTATTGAAACAACACACATGTTTTATTAAAACGACATGCCTGGTTTATTTAAACAGCACACACGTTTTATTAAAACGACATACCTGGTTTATTGAAACAGCACACATGTTTTATTTAAACGACACACATATTTTATTTAAACAACACACGTTTTATTTAGATAACACACATATTTTATTTAAACAACACACATGTTTTAATTAAACAACACACTTTTTTATTTAAACAACACACATGTTTTAATTAAACAACACATATGTTTTGATCAATTTTCCTACTGTTAATAGTCTCCAAGTGGTGAAACGGGGGAGGGCTATAGTTTTCTCTCCGTCTGTAGGTGTATGAATGGATGCAACACTAAAGTTTATCGGTACTTTAGTGGCTTCATTCCCTGGGGATTCTCATGAAATTTCACAGATTAACAAAGCACTAAAAATATGTTGAGCTTAAGTGTTGTCCAATCAAGGTCAAGGTCACCATTACTGTTTTTAGGCAATCATTATTGGCTCTCCTGCTTCATTCTATATAGGTTTTGATCAAACATTACACACAAACAACCAAAACTTTCCAGACAAAGCCTCACTTGTTGAGGGATTTTCACCAAACTTTCTGATACATTTACAGCACTCAAATATTTTGAACAACTTGAGTGTCTTTGTTGTACAATCAAGGTCAAGGTGACTTAGAAACTCATTTTCAGTCCTCTAGTGGCTTCATAGGACTTTAGTTAAACCTCACACACATACAAATGACCATAACACATTATAACACATTGGTGATAAAACTGTCTGATTGTTATACTTATTTATTGTATTGTCTTATTAAAATCTACCTCAGACTAATTGTAAACTTATTTTCCAAATTAACTCCAAGTAGCAACATCTTTATATATCATAACTGTTTGATAGCTGAAGGACTGGTAGGAGACATGTGTTACTTTACTAATACTCAGGCTACTTATTTCATTATGGATTTAGGTGGTCTGCGACATGATCAAACCAGATATTCCGAATAACTCCACAGTGCAATTTCTTATCAACCACATCAAACTTGACATTGCCAGTCTTCAACGAGTCACTGGACGAAGCGTTGATGAAGTGCTGCTGTTGATGCACAGGGTCCTGTCTAGTGTCACACAGACCTACAACAATGGAGGTAAGATATCTGTAATATAACACAGGGTCCTGTCTAGTGTCACACAGACCTACAACAATGGAGGTAAGATATCTGTAATATAACACAGGGTCCTGTCTAGTGTCACACAGACCTACAACAATGGAGGTAAGATATCTGTAATATAACACAGGGTCCTGTCTAGTGTCACACAGACCTACAACAATGGAGGTAAGATATCTGTAATATAACACAGGGTCCTGTCTAGTGTCACACAGACCTACAACAATGGAGGTAAGATATCTGTAATATAACACAGGGTCCTGTCTAGTGTCACACAGACCTACAACAATGGAGGTAAGATATCTGTAATATAACACAGGGTCCTGTCTAGTGTCACACAGACCTACAACAATGGAGGTAAGATATCTGTAATATAACACAGGGTCCTGTCTAGTGTCACACAGACCTACAACAATGGAGGTAAGATATCTGTAATATAACACAGGGTCCTGTCTAGTGTCACACAGACCTACAACAATGGAGGTAAGATATCTGTAATATAACACAGGGTCCTGTCTAGTGTCACACAGACCTACAACAATGGAGGTAAGATATCTGTAATATAACACAGGGTCCTGTCTAGTGTCACACAGACCTACAACAATGGAGGTAAGATATCTGTAATATAACACAGGGTCCTGTCTAGTGTCACACAGACCTACAACAATGGAGGTAAGATATCTGTAATATAACACAGGGTCCTGTCTAGTGTCACACAGACCTACAACAATGGAGGTAAGATATCTGTAATATAACACAGGGTCATGTCTAGTGTCACACAGACCTACAACAATGGAGGTAAGATATCTGTAATATAACACAGGGTCCTGTCTAGTGTCACACAGACCTACAACAATGGAGGTAAGATATCTGTAATATAACACAGGGTCCTGTCTAGTGTCACACAGACCTACAACAATGGAGGTAAGATATCTGTAATATAACACAGGGTCCTGTCTAGTGTCACACAGACCTACAACAATGGAGGTAAGATATCTGTAATATAACACAGGGTCCTGTCTAGTGTCACACAGACCTACAACAATGGAGGTAAGATATCTGTAATATAACACAGGGTCCTGTCTAGTGTCACACAGACCTACAACAATGGAGGTAAGATATCTGTAATATAACACAGGGTCCTGTCTAGTGTCACACTTAACTTGCTGAGGACAATATGGATGGCCTTCCTGCATGTGGTTCAGTGGGGTGTAGCCATCAGCTTATATAAGACCTTGCCAGAAAATGGCATGAAATGCAATAAACAAAATCACCCAGAATTAAAAGAATGGAGGTGTATTATTTGTATAACGATGCAGATATCATGGTAAGGCTAGGCATACCAAATAGTACAGTAAGTTAGAAGGGTGACCATCTTGTTGCAGAGTACAAAAGGATGAAATATTTGTAATATTACGTTAATGTAGATGTAATAACAATATTGTTATTTTTGCTAAAAACCTGAGATTTGTGACATGAGTCTTCTTGCCCATTTGTCACCATCTAAAATGCTTTGACATATGAGTCCAAATAATGAGATTTATGACAGAGCTTCAATACAAAATAGTATTTGTATGTTAACCCTAGATCGTCGGGTGGCACAGTGGACTTTTCTATTAGGTGTCCAGGGTTTGAATTCTGGAACAGATTTGAAAAGTGATGGAGTCAGCTGCTGAACCATATGGGTTTTCCCCAAATGATCTGGTTCCTTCTCACATTAAGACATGCCGCAGGTTCCCATCTGTAGATTAATAGCATTTGAAGTAAGGTGTTCTGCCATTGTTGTTATAAATCAAGTTTAACTCAGTTTTCACGATCTCTATTCCAGGAGCACAGAAAGCAGAAATATGTAACCTGGTTACCAAGGAGGCCAGGAACCAGTGGGAGGACTTGTTTTGTAAACATTGTCTCTCACCATTGTTACAGGTAGGATTGATATTCTCTAAAATCTTCAAAATCAGTGAGCTATAGAGTTCATATAGGAAAATCTTCATGAAAAAAAGTCAGTCACTATAAGGTGGGCAGATGATTCGATAATATTCTTCATTTGATAAAGTTATCACCAGTAAACGGTAACACATTGCCACGGTAATGCATTGCCATCACTTAAGTTTTTCTCGCTGGTGACAATGTTCTTTGTATGGACACTATTGGAATATACTCAAAAAGTATCTTTATACTAGGAAAATATCCGTTTTTCACTGTTATTGTTGTAATCAATAAAATAAACAACTAATATAATTAATTTTTTGACTTGTTTTGATGTAACAGGACATGGAGAGCACAATAAAATCATGCAACTCCCAACTGAAACAAGACAAGAGACTTGGTAAGTGATTTCATGTCAAGCACTATATATTCTAGGTACAACATTTACTTCTGTGATTATTATCAATGCAATGACATTTTAATTGGAGATTTAGTAAGCACTGATAAATACAGTCTCAGGTGGTTCACAGTAATATGAGTGCCAATACCTTATTAACACTTAGGTATAGGTAGGTAGGTTTGGATCTTTATTCCTCCCACAAAGAGAAGGAAGTTAGAGAGGTATACTGGAATCAACTTCTGTCTCTCCCTAATCATAGCTTAAAACATCAGATGTTTACAAAACCATTACCTATGGCAACAAAAACGCATGATCAAATCAAAATATTGTCTGATTAAACTGAAATTTGTTTGTAAGGGATTTGAGGGGTCGCAAATGTGTTGGTTATCTTTTCCAAAACATACTGGTTATCATTTAGATATGTAAAAAAAATAAAGATTTAAGAGAGGGATTAACACCATACATGTCTGTTTTTATACATGTCTTGTTTATAACTTAACATGATGTTGACAGGATCAAACCCCTGTTTTTATACATGTCTGGTTTATAACTTTACATGATGTTGACAGGATCAAACCCCTGTTTTTATACATGTGTGGTTTATAACTTTACATGATGTTGACAGAATCAAACGCCTGTTTTATTTACATGTCTGGTTTATAACTTTATGTAATGTTGACAGGATCAAACCCCTGTTTTTATACATGTCTGGTTTATAACTTAACATGATGTTGACAGGATCAAACCCCTGTTTTTATACATGTGTGGTTTATAACTTTATGTAATGTTGACAGGATCAAACCCCTGTTTTTATACATGTCTGGTTTATAACTTAACATGATGTTGACAGGATCAAACCCCTGTTTTTATACATGTCTGGTTTATAACTTAACATGATGTTGACAGTTTTTATACATGTGTGGTTTATAACTTTAAATGTTTACCCCCTGTTTTTATACATGTGTGGTTTATAACTTAACATGATGTTGACAGGATCAAACCCCTGTTTTTATACATGTCTGGTTTATAACTTTATGTAATGTTGACAGGATCAAACCCCTGTTTTTATACATGTCTGGTTTATAACTTTATGTAATGTTGACAGGATCAAACCCCTGTTTTTATACATGTCTGGTTTATAACTTTACATAATGTTGACAGGATCAAGCCCCTGTTTTTATACATGTGTGGTTTATAACTTGACATGATGTTGACAGGATCAAACCCCTGTTTTTATACATGTGTGGTTTATAACTTGACATGATGTTGACAGGATCAAACCCCTGTTTTTATACATGTCTGGTTTATAACTTTACATAATGTTGTCAGGATCAAACCCCTGTTTTTATACATGTCTGGTTTATAACTTAACATGATGTTGACAGGATCAAACCCCTGTTTTTATACATGTGTGGTTTATAACTTAACATGATGTTGACAGGATCAAACCCCTGTTTTTATACATGTCTGGTTTATAACTTTATGTAATGCTGACAGGATCAAACCCCTGTTTTTATACATGTCTGGTTTATAACTTAACATGATGTTGACAGGATCAAACCCCTGTTTTAATACATGTCTGGTTTATAACTTTACATGATGTTGACAGGATCAAACCCCTGTTTTTATACATGTCTGGTTTATAATTTTATGTAATATTGACAGGATCAAACCCCTGTTTTTATACATGTCTGGTTTATAACTTTATGTAATGTTGACAGGATCAAACCCCTGTTTTTATACATGTCTGGTTTATAACTTAACATGATGTTGACAGGATCAAACCCCTGTTTTTATACATGTCTGGTTTATAACTTTATGTAATGTTGACATGATCAAACCCCTGTTTTTATACATGTCTGGTTTATAACTTAACATAATGTTGACATGATCAAACCTCTGTTTTTTATACATGTCTGGTTTATAACTTAACATAATGTTGACATGATCAAACCTCTGTTTTTATACATGTCTGGTTTATAATTTTTACAGGATCAAACCCCCTCTTGTGCCTCCTGTATGAGATCGACACACCAAAGGACCAGGTGTCTGCTGTAGCCCTTCATCAGGTTGCATCAGTGTGGAGGTATCGATCCCGCATCTCCATGGATCACCTGACCACAGTCTTCCATACTAAGATGGGAAAAGAACACAAAATTCTCAAACTATTTTTACAAGAGGTGAGTTCAGAAACTTTATCATTTAATACCCCAACTTTTCTTGTTTCAGAGCATTCAGTGTTACGGTTGGCTGTCATAATTTTGTTTCAGCACATTTACACTTTTAACAGCTACAGATACAAATCATTGATTCAGTATATAGTTGTATGACATGCAGGTCTAATTTCTTGATTAGGATTCAGGACAGGTTTAGTATAATCTTCTGTACAGTAAGGTGAAAAATAGCAGGACGAAATGGTGACAAGGTTATAGTGAAAACAGGTAATAATGTATTATCTCATGAAAGTCAGTTTGGCTACTTATTGTTTAAAACCTGGCTATAGATGTGGAGAGTCTATGGGCCCTTTCATCTGTGTTTAGAACCAGACTACTACAGCATATCCAGGTGGTTTCCTTAACCTCTTGAAAGGGTTGTATTCTCTAACCACTACTTTGGGATTGCCCAAGTCAATGATATGATTCTGTTGTTTGACGTGATCTGATACTTCAATCTTGTTGGTCTAGGATTGTATCCATTCTATGACATTCTGTATTTTATCCTTGGGATAGAGAAGGATATTATGGAGTGTGCAGTTTCATTGTTTGTTACAATGCCATGGCTGTGGTATATTCTCTGGGTTCTGATCACCCTCCCATGTAGGGTATGTCTACTTACTTGTTTTTGTATATTATTAGCTCACCTGCCCAAAAGGCAAGTGAACTTATGCCATGGAGAAGTGTACATCATCAGTCAAGCTTCATTTTTAAGGTAACCATGAAGTGTCATGGTGATCTATTGCAATCGCCATTTGTCTGCTGTCATGTGTTTTAAACATTCAACATTTTCAGCTTCTGGTAAACATCTGAATCGATTTCAATGAAATTTTGCAGAAACTTAGAGCCAAGGTGCACTAAAATCATAAATTATGTGGTCCCCACTCCCAGAGGCCTGGTCGGAGGGGCCAAAAAGGGTCAAATTGATTGAAATTTCAAAAATCAAATTCTCAATACCCAGATAAGGTAGAACCAAATACTCTTCATCGATGGCAGTACCTTAAATATCTCGCTTGACCAAAATTGTAAATTTAATGATTTTAAGATCTCACATTTATTTACATGTTTTTGCTATTATAAATAGTTCAGACCTGGTTTGAATTGTTACTATAGGATGATAATTTGATGATATACTTATGTTGAAACTGACTGACCAACAAGGCCTGATGGATGGGGTCAAAAAATGTTAAATTGACTGAAATTTAACAAATTTTCTTCTGAATACCCAGATAAGGTAGAACCAAATACTCTTTATGGATAGACGTTTCTTAAGGTGCTTAACAGAAATTGTAAATTTAAGGACCCCAGGGTTTCACATTTCCCCCTAGGGAGAGGGTAGATTTTACTTCAGTTATATGTTTACATATTAATCCTGGCCCTGAGGTGCTGATGGGTGGATCCAAAAGGGGTCAGATTGAATCAAGTGTTAAAGATATTCCCAATACCCAGATAAGATAGAAACTGTTAAAAACTGTTCATGGATGGAAGAGTTTATTTGGAAAATTACATTTTTTGTTATAATTTCTTTTAATTGAAGCATGATTAGAAGTGTAAGCATGGGACAGTAGTTAATGCTATATATAATATATCTATTATTATTAACAACATTATTTCTACAACTTGTTTTAAATGAACAGCATTGTAACTCAGGTGACCATTAAGACTCTTTGGCCTCTTGTTTCCCTTTAAATAATCATGTTTCTGATATTGGGTCTGTAGCATGATGAAGGGCTACCAGGTCTGTTCAAATGAAAGACCTTGACCCACTTTCATGGTCACTGGGGTCAAATGTGTAAAAATGTTTACCAGTTTCTCAATAATTAAAAAGCCCAGGGTACTGGTGTTTGGCCTTTAGCATGCTCAGATGACCTTGATCGACTTTCAAGTAATAGAAGTTATTAACAATCACCATCTGGGTTAAATATACAAATCAAAAGTTAGTGGACAGTTATTGCTGCTGTAAATTTTTTTCATTGGTCAAACAAATGTTGTGTTGCATCTTCAATGGATTGGAATATCCAGTTATTTAACTTTAATCATGACAATTTGATTTTTGTAGGATTACCACTTACGAGCAATCCGTCTGGTCCCAAGTATTCTGCGGCTCCAAAGAATGTTGATCCACAAATACCAGAGGAAGCTGGACAGGGCAGAGGCCACAGCCTTCACTGTAGAACACACTCAGATGGACTTCATACAAGGTGATCACTTCATTTTGGTCATACTAAGTTAATAACAGACCTGTGTATTTATATGTACATACTTGGTTTCATTAGGGAATTGGTTACAGGTTTTCTGTCTCTGTGACTTTTCTGATACCTAGGTGTTGTCTCACTGATGAATGTTAGTGTTCTGGCTACATAGGGCATATGATGTAGGTAACTATAGCAATCAAATGTCTGTCTTCTGTTTGTCCTCAGTCTCTGTTGTTTGTCCTTATAGTGTCTGTCTGCTGTTTGTCCTCACAGTCTCTGTCTGCTGTTAGTCTTCATAGTGTCTGTCTGCTGTTTGTCCTCACAGTGTCTGATATTTGTACTTATAGTGTCTGTCTGCTATATGTCCTCACAGTGTCTACTGTTTGTCCTTATAGTGTCTGTCTGCTATATGTCCTCACAGTGTCTACTGTTTGTCTTCATAGTGTCTGTCTGCTGTTTGTCCTCACAGTGTCTGATATTTGTACTTATAGTGTCTGTCTGCTATATGTCCTCACAGTGTCTACTGTTTGTCCTTATAGTGTCTGTCTGCTATATGTCCTCACAGTGTCTACTGTTTGTCTTCATAGTGTCTGTCTGCTGTTTGTCCTCACAGTGTCTGATATTTGTACTTATAGTGTCTGTCTGCTATATGTCCTCACAGTGTCTACTGTTTGTCCTTATAGTGTCTGTCTGCTATATGTCCTCACAGTGTCTACTGTTTGTCTTCATAGTGTCTGTCTGCTGTTTGTCCTCACAGTGTCTGATATTTGTACTTATAGTGTCTGTCTGCTATATGTCCTCACAGTGTCTGATATTTGTACTTATAGTATCTGTCTGCTATATGTCCTCACAGTGTCTACTGTTTGTCCTTATAGTGTCTGTCTGCTATATGTCCTCACAGTGTCTACTGTTTGTCCTTATAGTGTCTGTCTGCTATATGTCCTCACAGTGTCTACTGTTTGTCCTTATAGTGTCTGTCTGCTATATGTCCTCACAGTGTCTACTGTTTGTCTTCATAGTGTCTGTCTGTCTGCTGTTTGTCCTCACAGTGTCTGATATTTGTACTTAAAGTGTCTGTCTGCTGTTTGTCCTCACAGTGTCTGATATTTGTACTTATAGTATCTGTCTGCTGTTTGTCCTCACAGTGTCTACTGTTTGTCCTTATAGTGTCTGTCTGCTATATGTCCTCACAGTGTCTACTGTTTGTCCTTATAGTGTCTGTCTGCTGTTTGTCCTCACAGTGTCTGATATTTGTACTTATAGTATCTGCCTGCTATATGTCCTCACAGTGTCTACTGTTTGTCCTTATAGTGTCTGTCTGCTATATGTCCTCACAGTGTCTACTGTTTGTCCTTATAGTGTCTGTCTGCTATATGTCCTCACAGTGTCTACTGTTTGTCCTTATAGTGTCTGTCTGCTATATGTCCTCACAGTGTCTACTGTTTGTCCTTATAGTGTCTGTCTGCTATATGTCCTCACAGTGTCTACTGTTTGTCTTCATAGTGTCTGTCTGCTGTTTGTCCTCACAGTGTCTGATATTTGTACTTATAGTGTCTGTCTGCTATATGTCCTCACAGTGTCTACTGTTTGTCCTTATAGTGTCTGTCTGCTATATGTCCTCACAGTGTCTACTGTTTGTCCTTATAGTGTCTGTCTGCTGTTTGTCCTCACAGTGTCTGATATTTATACTTATAGTATCTGTCTGCTATATGTCCTCACAGTGTCTACTGTTTGTCCTTATAGTGTCTGTCTGCTATATGTCCTCACAGTGTCTACTGTTTGTCCTTATAGTGTCTGTCTGCTATATGTCCTCACAGTGTCTACTGTTTGTCCTTACAGTGTCTGTCTGCTATATGTCCTCACAGTGTCTACTGTTTGTCCTTATAGTGTCTGTCTGCTATATGTCCTCACAGTGTCTACTGTTTGTCCTTATAGTGTCTGTCTGCTATATGTCCTCACAGTGTCTACTGTTTGTCCTTATAGTGTCTGTCTGCTATATGTCCTCACAGTGTCTACTGTTTGTCCTTATAGTGTCTGTCTGCAATATGTCCTCACAGTGTCTACTGTTTGTCCTTATAGTGTCTGTCTGCTATATGTCCTCACAGTGTCTACTGTTTGTCCTTATAGTGTCTGTCTGCTATATGTCCTCACAGTGTCTACTGTTTGTCCTTATAGTGTCTGTCTGCTATATGTCCTCACAGTGTCTACTGTTTGTCCTTATAGTGTCTGTCTGCTATATGTCCTCACAGTGTCTACTGTTTGTCCTTATAGTGTCTGTCTGCTATATGTCCTCACAGTGTCTACTGTTTGTCCTTATAGTGTCTGTCTGCTATATGTCCTCACAGTGTCTACTGTTTGTCCTTATAGTGTCTGTCTGCTATATGTCCTCACAGTGTCTACTGTTTGTCCTTATAGTGTCTGTCTGCTATATGTCCTCACAGTGTCTACTGTTTCTCCTTATAGTGTCTGTCTGCTATATGTCCTCACAGTGTCTACTGTTTGTCCTTATAGTGTCTGTCTGCTATATGTCCTCACAGTGTCTACTGTTTCTCCTTATAGTGTCTGTCTGCTATATGTCCTCACAGTGTCTACTGTTTGTCCTTATAGTGTCTGTCTGCTATATGTCCTCACAGTGTCTACTGTTTGTCCTTATAGTGTCTGTCTGCTATATGTCCTCACAGTGTCTACTGTTTGTCCTTATAGTGTCTGTCTGCTATATGTCCTCACAGTGTCTACTGTTTGTCCTTATAGTGTCTGTCTGCTATATGTCCTCACAGTGTCTACTGTTTGTCCTTATAGTGTCTGTCTGCTATATGTCCTCACAGTGTCTACTGTTTGTCCTTATAGTGTCTGTCTGCTATATGTCCTCACAGTGTCTACTGTTTGTCCTTATAGTGTCTGTCTACTGTTTGTACATCAGGATTTGTTTGTTTCTGAACAGTATACAGTGAGAATGCTTACTTGCTCTAATTTGTAAACAGTCTACAGTAATGAGAACTTGTAGCTCTCCCTTGTAACAGTCTACAGTAATGAGAACTTGTAGCTCTCCCTTGTAACAGTCTACAGTAATGAGAACTTGTAGCTCTCCCTTGTAACAGTCTACAGTAATGAGAACTTGTAGCTCTCCCTTGTAACAGTCTACAGTAATGAGAACTTGTAGCTCTCCCTTGTAACAGTCTACAGTAATGAGAACTTGTAGCTCTCCCTTGTAACAGTCTACAGTAATGAGAACTTGTAGCTCTCCCTTGTAACAGTCTACAGTAATGAGAACTTGTAGCTCTCCCTTGTAACAGTCTACAGTAATGAGAACTTGTAGCTCTCCCTTGTAACAGTCTACAGTAATGAGAACTTGTAGCTCTCCCTTGTAACAGTCTACAGTAATGAGAACTTGTAGCTCTCCCTTGTAACAGTCTACAGTAATGAGAACTTGTAGCTCTCCCTTGTAACAGTCTACAGTAATGAGAACTTGTAGCTCTCCCTTGTAACAGTCTACAGTAATGAGAACTTGTAGCTCTCCCTTGTAACAGTCTACAGTAATGAGAACTTGTAGCTCTCCCTTGTAACAGTCTACAGTAATGAGAACTTGTAGCTCTCCCTTGTAACAGTCTACAGTAATGAGAACTTGTAGCTCTCCCTTGTAACAGTCTGTAGTAATGAGAACTTGTAGCTCTCCCTTGTAACAGTCTACAGTAATGAGAACTTGTAGCTCTCCCTTGTAACAGTCTACAGTAATGAGAACTTGTAGCTCTCCCTTGTAACAGTCTAAAGTAATGAGAACTTGTAGCTCTCCCTTGTAACAGTCTACAGTAATGAGAACTTGTAGCTCTCCCTTGTAACAGTCTACAGTAATGAGAACTTGTAGCTCTCCCTTGTAACAGTCTACAGTAATGAGAACTTGTAGCTCTCCCTTGTAACAGTCTACAGTAATGAGAACTTGTAGCTCTACTTTGTAACAGTCTACAGTAATGAGAACTTGTAGCTCTCCCTTGTAACAGACTGTAGTAATGAGAACTCTCCCTTGTAACAGTCTACAGTAATGAGAACTTGTAGTTCTCCCTTGTAACAGTCTACAGTAATGAGAACTTGTAGCTCTCCCTTGTAACAGTCTACAGTAATGAGAACTTGTAGCTCTCCCTTGTAACAGTCTACAGTAATGAGAACTTGTAGCTCTCCCTTGTAACAGTCTACAGTAATGAGAACTTGTAGCTCTCCCTTGTAACAGTCTACAGTAATGAGAACTTGTAGCTCTCCCTTGTAACAGTCTACAGTAATGAGAACTTGTAGCTCTCTTTGTAACAGTCTACAGTAATGAGAACAGTCTACAGTAACAGTGAGAGTAATGAGAACTTGTAGCTCTCCCCTGTAACAGTCTACAGTAATGAGAACTTGTAGCTCTCCCTTGTAACAGTCTACAGTAATGAGAACTTGTAGCTCTCCCTTGTAACAGTCTACAGTAATGAGAACTTGTAGCTCTCCCTTGTAACAGTCTACAGTAATGAGAACTTGTAGTTCTCTCTTGTAACAGTCTACAGTAATGAGAACTTGTAGCTCTCCGTTGTAACAGTCTACAGTAATGAGAACTTGTTTCTCTCTTGTAACAGTCTACAGTAATGAGAACTTGTAGCTCTCCTTGTAACAGTCTACAGTAATGAGAACTTGTAGCTCTCTTTAACAGTCTACAGTAACAGTCTCTCCTTTGTAACAGTAATGAGAACTTGTAGCTCTCCCTTGTAACAGTCTACAGTAATGAGAACTTGTAGCTCTCCCTTGTAACAGTCTACAGTAATGAGAACTTGTAGCTCTCCCTTGTAACAGTCTACAGTAATGAGAACTTGTAGCTCTCCCTTGTAACAGTCTACAGTAATGAGAACTTGTAGCTCTCCATTGTAACAGTCTACAGTAATGAGAACTTGTAGCTCTCCCTTGTAACAGTCTACAGTAATGAGAACTTGTAGCTCTCCCTTGTAAATGAGAACAGTCTCCCTTGTACAGTAATGAGAACTTGTAGCTCTCCTTGTAGCTCTTTGTAACAGTCTACAGTAATGAGAACTTGTAGCTCTCCCTTGTAACAGTCTACAGTAATGAGAACTTGTAGCTCTCCCTTGTAACAGTCTACAGTAATGAGAACTTGTAGCTCTCCCTTGTAACAGCTCTCCCTTGTAACAGTCTACAGTAATGAGAACTTGTAGTCTCCCTTGTAACAGTCTATGAGAACTTGTAGCTCTCCCTTGTAACAGTCTACAGTAATGAGAACTTGTAGCTCTCCCTTGTAACAGTCTACAGTAATGAGAACTTGTAGTCTCTAATGAGAACTTTGTAACAGTCTACAGTAATGAGAACTTGTAGCTCTCTCTCTTTGTAACAGTCTACAGTAATGAGAACTTGTAGCTCTCCCTTGTAACAGTCTACAGTAATGAGAACTTGTAGCTCTACTTTGTAACAGTCTACAGTAATGAGAACTTGTAGCTCTCCCTTGTAACAGTCTACAGTAATGAGAACTTGTAGCTCTCCCTTGTAACAGTCTACAGTAATGAGAACTTGTAGCTCTCCCTTGTAACAGTCTACAGTAATGAGAACTTGTAGCTCTCCCTTGTAACAGTCTACAGTAATGAGAACTTGTAGCTCTCCCTTGTAACAGTCTACAGTAATGAGAACTTGTAGCTCTCCCTTGTAACAGTCTACAGTAATGAGAACTTGTAGCTCTCCCTTGTAACAGTCTACAGTAATGAGAACTTGTAGCTCTCCCTTGTAACAGTCTACAGTAATGAGAACTTGTAGCTCTCCCTTGTAACAGTCTACAGTAATGAGAACTTGTAGTTCTCTCTTGTAACAGTCTACAGCAATGAGAACTTGTAGCTCTCCGTTGTAACAGTCTACAGTAATGAGAACTTGTTTCTCTCTTGTAACAGTCTACAGTAATGAGAACTTGTAACTCTCCCTTGTAACAGTCTACAGTAATGAGAACTTGTAGCTCTCCCTTGTAACAGTCTACAGTAATGAGAACTTGTAGCTCTCCCTTGTAACAGTCTACAGTAATGAGAACTTGTAGCTCTCCCTTGTAACAGTCTACAGTAATGAGAACTTGTAGCTCTCCCTTGTAACAGTCTACAGTAATGAGAACTTGTAGCTCTCCCTTGTAACAGTCTACAGTAATGAGAACTTGTAGCTCTCCCTTGTAACAGTCTACAGTAATGAGAACTTGTAGCTCTCCCTTGTAACAGTCTACAGTAATGAGAACTTGTAGCTCTCCCTTGTAACAGTCTACAGTAAAGAGAACTTGTAACTCTTCCTTGTAGCAGTCTACAGTAATGAGAACTTGTAGCTCTCCCTTGTAACAGTCTACAGTAATGAGAACTTGTAGTTCTCCCTTGTAACAATCTACAGTAATGAGAACTTGTAGCTCTCCCTTGTAACAGTCTACAGTAATGAGAACTTGTAGCTCTCCCTTGTAACAGTCTACAGTAATGAGAACTTGTAGCTCTCCCTTGTAACAGTCTACAGTAATGAGAACTTGTAGCTCTCCCTTGTAACAGTCTACAGTAATGAGAACTTGTAGCTCTCCCTTGTAACAGTCTACAGTAATGAGAACTTGTAGCTCTCCCTTGTAACAGTCTACAGTAATGAGAACTTGTAGCTCTCCCTTGTAACAGTCTACAGTAATGAGTACTTGTAGCTCTCCCTTGTAACATTCTACAGTAATGAGAACTTGTAGCTCTCCCTTGTAACAGTCTACAGTAATGAGAACTTGTAGCTCTCCCTTGTAACAGTCTACAGTAATGAGAACTTGTAGCTCTCCCTTGTAACAGTCTACAGTAATGAGAACTTGTAGTTCTCTCTTGTAACAGTCTACAGTAATGAGAACTTGTAGCTCTACTTTGAAACAGTCTTTAGTAATGAGAACTTGTAGTTCTCTCTTGTAACAGTCTACAGTAATGAGAACTTGTAGCTCTACTTTGAAACAGTCTACAGTAATGAGAACTTGTAGCTCTCTTTCTACAGCAATGAGAACTTGTAGCTCTCCGTTGTAACAGTCTACAGTAATGAGAACTTGTTTCTCTCTTGTAACAGTCTACAGTAATGAGAACTTGTAACTCTACCTTGTAACAGTCTGTAGTAATGAGAACTTGTAGCTCTCCCTTGTAACAGTCTACAGTAATGAGAACTTGTAGCTCTCCCTTGTAACAGTCTACAGTAATGAGAACTTGTAGCTCTCCCTTGTAACAGTCTACAGTAATGAGAACTTGTAGCTCTGTAACAGTCTACAGTAATGAGAACTTGTAGCTCTCCCTTGTAACAGTCTACAGTAATGAGAACTTGTAGCTCTCCCTTGTAACAGTCTACAGTAATGAGAACTTGTAGCTCTCCCTTGTAACAGTCTACAGTAATGAGAACTTGTAGCTCTCCCTTGTAACAGTCTTTAGTAATGAGAACTTGTAGCTCTACTTTGTAACAGTCTACAGTAACGAGAACTTGTAGCTCTCCATTGTAACAGTCTACAGTAATGAGAACTTGTAGCTCTCCATTGTAACAGTCTACAGTAATGAGAACTTGTAGCTCTACTTTGTAACAGTCTACAGTAATGAGAACTTGTAGCTCTCCCTTGTAACAGTCTACAGTAATGAGAACTTGTAGCTCTCCGTTGTAACAGTCTGTAGTAATGAGAACTTGTAGCTCTTCCTTGTAACAGTCTACAGTAATGAGAACTTGTAGCTCTCCCTTGTAACAGACTGTAGTAATGAGAACTTGTAGCTCTCCCTTGTAACAGTCTACAGTAATGAGAACTTGTAGCTCTCCCTTGTAACAGTCTACAGTAATGAGAACTTGTAGCTCTACTTTGAAACAGTCTACAGTAATGAGAACTTGTAGCTCTACTTTGAAACAGTCTACAGTAATGAGAACTTGTAGCTCTACTTTGAAACAGTCTACAGTAATGAGAACTTGTAGCTCTACTTTGAAACAGTCTACAGTAATGAGAACTTGTAGCTCTCTCTTGTAACAGTCTTTAGTAATGAGAACTTGTAGCTCTACTTTGAAACAGTCTACAGTAATGAGAACTTGTAGTTCTCTCTTGTAACAGTCTACAGTAATGAGAACTTGTAGCTCTACTTTGAAACAGTCTGTAGTAATGAGAACTTGTAGCTCTACTTTGAAACAGTCTACAGTAATGAGAACTTGTAGCTCTACTTTGAAACAGTCTACAGTAATGAGAACTTGTAACTTGTTGTAGCTCTACTTTGAAACAGTCTGTAGTAATGAGAACTTGTAGCTCTACTTTGAAACAGTCTACAGTAATGAGAACTTGTAGCTCTCCCTTGTAACAGTCTACAGTAATGAGAACTTGTAGCTCTCCCTTGTAACAGTCTACAGTAATGAGAACTTGTAGCTCTACTTTGAAACAGTCTGTAGTAATGAGAACTTGTAGCTCTACTTTGAAACAGTCTACAGTAATGAGAACTTGTAGCTCTAAATGAGAACTTGTAGCTTTGTAATGAGAACAGTCTCTACTTGTAACAGTCAGTAATGAGAACTTGTAGCTCTACTTTGAAACAGTCTACAGTAATGAGAACTTGTAGCTCTACTTTGAAACAGTCTACAGTAATGAGAACTTGTAGCTCTACTTTGAAACAGTCTGTAGTAATGAGAACTTGTAGCTCTACTTTGAAACAGTCTACAGTAATGAGAACTTGTAGCTCTACTTTGAAACAGTCTACAGTAATGAGAACTTGTAGCTCTACTTTGAAACAGTCTACAGTAATGAGAACTTTGTACCATCTATCATTATTAATCAATATAGGAGACCAACAGTAAAACATATTGAGCAGGTGATAAACCATACCAAATAAGTAAGATGAACAAGTATTAAACCCTCTCATTAATGCCTGAGAGAAGGGCCAAAAAGGTTTTAAGTGGGAAAGCATTCCACAATATTCCTTGATTTTATCTAAACACTCTAACACCAAATACTCTTGATACGTGGAGATATTTATGTTTTATAAGCCCTTACAAACAAATTGTCATATTATCTGTTAATGACTATTCTGTTTTATTGGTTTGATTATTTCATAATTACTTTTTTTGATAATAGCATTATTGTTAACCCACTATTATCAGATAGTGGGCTATTTTAATTGCCCTTACATCTGTCATCTTTTTATTCGTCCATCCACAATCCTGGTGGTTATGGGAGTAATTAGAAAAGTAAAATGGCTGAGAGGCAGACGTCGTAGATTTTCACAATGAAGAGGAACATGTTAATATATATATCCCAATATATTTGACTGATTGTACACTTCTTTTTTCAGCTTGTCCAATATTTCCTGGTATTGCCAGGGTCTCTAAGGAGTTCTGTTCCAAACAGATAACAGACAACACACCAATCTCTATGTTGTTACCAACCAAGAGAGACGCTGGTCTCTGTTCCTATGTACTTGTATACTTCCTCTTGAAGAAACAGAAAAGTTTTCTAGAAGATTACTGCAAGGCCAAAAGACAAAGGTAAAGTACAATGTGCTGGTAGTCACCACTTACTGAGCTTGGTGAGGGACAATAAGGGGGAACTGGTCCCACTCACTGAGCTAGGTGAGGGACAATAAGGGGGAACTGGTCCCACTCACTGAGCTTGGTGAGGGACAATAAGGGGGAACTGGTCCCACTCACTGAGCTAAGTGAGGGACAATAAGGGGGAACTGGTCTCACTCACTGAGCTTGGTGAGGGACAATAAGGGGGAACTGGTCTCACTCACTGAGCTTGGTGAGGGACAATAAGGGGGAACTGGTCCCACGCACAAAGCTTGATGAGGGACAATAAGGGGAAACTGGTCCCACTCGCTGATCTTGGTGAGGGACAATAATGGGGGAATTGGTCCCACACTGAGCTTGGTGAGGGACAATAAGGATAGGGAACTGGTCCCAATCACTGAGCTTGATGAGGGACAATAAGGGGGAACTGGCTTCACTCACTAAGCATGGTGAGGGACAATAAGGGGGAACTGGTCCCATTTACTGAGCTTGGTGAGGGACAATAAGACTAGGGAACTGGTCCCGCTCGCTGATCTTGGTGAGGGACAATAAGGATAGGGAACTGGTCCCACTCACTGAGCTAGGTGGGGGACAATAAGGATAGGGAACTGGTCCAAATCACTTAGCTTGTTGAGGGACAATAAGGACAGGGAACTGGTCCCAATCACTGAGCTTGGTGAGGGACAATAATGGGGGAATTGGTCCCACTCACTGAGCTTGGTGGGGGACAATAAGGATAGGGAACTGATCCCACTCACTGAGCTTGGTGGGGGACAATAAGGATAGGGAACTGGTCCAAATCACTGAGCTTGTTGAGGGACAATAAGGATAGGGAACTGGTCCCAATCACTGAGCTTGGTGAGGGACAATAAGAAAGGGGTACAGGTCCCACTTACTTCGCTTGGTGAGGGACAATAAGGGGGAACTGGTCCCATTTACTGAGCTTGGTGAGGGACAATAAGGGGGAACTGGTCCCACTTACGCTTGGTGAGGGACAATAAAGATAGGAAACTGGTCCCACTCACTGAGCTTGGTGAGGGACAATAAGAAAGGGGTACAGGTCCCAATATACATGGAGGGAAGTAATAAGGAGGAGAAACTAACCACACACAATATCTAAACGCTCAGAATGGCAAATTAACTCAAATACTTCTGCATTGAGATCACTCTGTCCACAGCTCATGGGGGTGAATTTTTTTTCAAAAATTAATGTCTGCCTTTATTTAAAGAAAATTATTAGTTTCCTATTTTAGGCAAATAACTTAAACGTTTTCTCAATTGAATATGAGCTATGATTCATTTACAGTGTGTCAGACTTACCAAAGGTTAAAGTTCATGACCTGAGTCCTGCCCATCTGATAAGCTACCATCCTGACAGAGACATTCTGCCAATTGTCCTTGCTAACTGCAACTACTCATTTGAGGTTGGCAAAGGTACCAAGATTGAATATGACTTTGGAAATATAGAAAGGCAACTAGGCGACAGATTTTTATTTGCGAAATCGGACATTGACATAGATGAGGTAAGTAATGCTTTCAGAAAAACTTGTCTGCATTGTACAAGTATTACAGAAAGGTAGATGATGTGGCATCCATCTGTTTGGCGTTGGTTGGTTTGATAGCCTGGTTAGTTTACTTTCTATGACATTTCCCAAACTTTTACACATTGTATGGTATGTCCCAAACTTTTACACTTTTGTGTTGTATGACATCGCCCAGACTTTTACCCTTTGTATGACCTATCTCAAACTTTTATCTTTTGTATGACATCTCTCAAACTTTTACGTTTTGTATGACATTTCCCAGACTTTTACATTTTGTATGACATCTCCCAGACTTTTACATTTTGTATGACATCTCTCAAACTTTTACCCTTCGAATGACATCTCCCAGACTTTTACACTTTTGTATGACATCTCCCAAACTTTTATACTTTGTATCACATTTCCCAGACTTTTACACTTTGTATGACATCTCCCAGACTTTTACACTTTGTATGACATATCTCAAACTTTTACACTTTGTATGACATCTCCCAACCTTTTACACATTGTATGACATCTCTCAAACTTTTACACTTTGTATGACATCTCCCAGACTTTTACATTTTGTATGACATCTCCCAGACTTTTACATTTTGTATGACATCTCCCTGACTTTTACATTTTGTATGACATCTCCCAGACTTTTACATTTTGTATGACATCTCCCAGACTTTTACATTTTGTATGACATCTCCCAGACTTTTACACTTTGTATGACATCTCCCAGACTTTTACACTTTTGTATGACATCTCCCAAACTTTTATACTTTGTATCACATTTCCCAGACTTTTACACTTTGTATGACATCTCCCAGACTTTTACCTTTTGTATGGCATCCCCCAGACTTTTACCTTTTGTATGACATCTCCCAGACTTTTACACTTTGTATGACATCTCCCAGACTTTTACACTAAATATGACATATCCCAGACTTTCACACTTTGTATGACATTTCCCAGACTTTTACAGTTTGTATGACATCTCCCAAATTTTTACACTTTGTATGACATCTCTCAGACTTTTACACTTTGTATCACATCTCCCAGACTTTTACACTTTGTATGACATCTCCCAAATTTTAACACTTTGTATGACATCTCCCAGACTTTTACCTTTTGTATGGCATCCCCCAGACTTTTACACTTTGTATGACATCTCCCAAACTTTTACATTTTGTATGACATCTCCCAAATTTTAACATTTTGTATGACATCTCCCAGACTTTTACAGTTTGTATGACATCTCCCAAATGACATCTCCCAATTTTTTACACTTTGTATGACATCTCCCAGACTTTTACCTTTTGTATGGCATCCCCCAGACTTTTACACTTTGTATGACATCTCCCAAACTTTTACATTTTGTATGACATATCAAAGACTTTTACCTTTTGTATGGCATCCCCCAGACTTTAACAGTTTGTATGACATCTCCCAGACTTTTACACTTTGTATGACATCTCCCAGACTTTTACACTTTGTATGACATCTCCCAGACTTTTACCTTTTGTATGGCATCCCCCAGACTTTTACCTTTTGTATGACATCTCCCAGACTTTTACTTTTGACATCTTTTGTATGTATGACATCTCCCAACCTTCCCAACCTTTTACACTTTGTATGACATCTCCCAACTTTTACACTTTGTATGACATATCCCAACTTTTACACTTTTTTTACACTTTGTATTACATCTCCCAGATTTTTTCCCTTTGTATCACATCTCTCAGACTTTTACACTTTGTATCACATCTCCCAAACTTTTACACTTTGTATGACATCTCCCAAACTTCCATGCTGTGTATGACATCTCCCAGACTTTTACACTTTGTATGACATCTCCCAACCTTTTACACATTGTATGACATCTCTCAAACTTTTACACTTTGTATCACATCTCCCAGACTTTTACACTTTGTATCACATCTCCCAGACTTTTACATTTTGTATGACATCTCCCAGACTTTTACACTTTGTATGACATCTCCCAGACTTTTACATTTTGTATGACATCTCCCAGACTTTTACATTTTGTATGACATCTCCCTGACTTTTACATTTTGTATGACATCTCCCAGACTTTTACATTTTGTATGACATCTCCCAGACTTTTACATTTTGTATGACATCTCCCTGACTTTTACATTTTGTATGACATCTCCCTGACTTTTACATTTTGTATGACATCTCCCAGACTTTTACATTTTGTATGACATCTCCCAGACTTTTACACTTTGTATGACATCTCCCAGACTTTTACATTTTGTATGACATCTCCCAGACTTTTACATTTTGTATGACATCTCCCTGACTTTTACATTTTGTATGACATCTCCCTGACTTTTACATTTTGTATGACATCTCCCAGACTTTTACACTTTGTATGACATCTCCCAAACTTTTATACTTTGTATAACATTTCCCAGACTTTTACACTTTGTATGACCTATCTCAAACTTTTTCCTTTTGTATGACATATCCCAACCTTTTACACTAAGTTTGAAATATGCCAGACTTTAACACTTTGTATGACATCTCCCAGACTTTTACACTTTGTATGACATCTCCCACACTTTTACACTTTGTATGACATCTCCCACACTTTTACACTTTGTATGACATCTCCCAATCTTTTACACTTTGTATGACATATCCCAGACTTTTACATTTTGTATGACATCTCCCAACCTTTTTACAGCTTGTATGACATCTCCCAAATTTTTTCCCTTTGCATCACATCTCTCAGACTTTTACACTTTGTATCACATCTCCCAGACTTTTACACTTTGTATGACCTATCTCAAACTTTTGCACTTTTGTATGACATCTCCCAACCTTTTACACGATATATGACATATCCCAGACTTTTACACTTTGTATGACATCTCCCAATCTTTTACACTTTGTATGACATATCCCAGACTTTTACACTTTGTATGACATCTCCCAGACTTTTACACTTTGTATGACATCTCCCAACCTTTTACACATTGTATGACATCTCTCAAACTTTTACACTTTGTATGACATCTCCCAGACTTTTACACTTTGTATGACCTATCTCAAAATTTTGCACTTTTGTATGACATCTCCCAACCTTTTACACGATTTATGACATCTCCCAATCTTTTACACTTTGTATGACATCTCCCAGACTTTTACCTTTTGTATGGCATCCCCCAGACTTTAACAGTTTGTATGACATCTCCCAGACTTTTACACTTTGTATGACATCTCCCAGACTTTTACACTTTGTATGACATCCCCTAGACTTTTACAGTTTGTATGACATCTCCCAAATTTTTACACTTTGTATGACCTATCTCAAACTTTTTCCTTTTGTATGACATATCCCAACCTTTTACACTAAGTATGAAATATCCCAGACTTTCACACTTTGTATGACATCTCCCAGACTTTTACACTTTGTATGACATCTCCCAGACTTTTACACTTTGTATCACATCTCTCAGACTTTTACACTTTGTATGACATCTCCCAGACTTTTACACTTTGTATGACATCTCCCAGACTTTTACCTTTTGTATTTTTGTATCTCCCAAACTTTTTTGTATGACATCTTTTGTATGACATCTCCAGACTTTTACACTTTTACCTTTTGTATGACATCCCCCAGACTTTTACACTTTGTATGACATCTCCCAGACTTTTACACTTTGTATGACATCTCCCACACTTTTACACTTTGTATGACATCTCCCACACTTTTATACTTTGTATGACATCTCCCAAACTTCCATGCTGTGTATGACATCTCCCAGACTTTTACACTTTGTATGACATCTCCCAAACTTCCATGCTGTGTATGACATCTCCCAGACTTTTACACTTTGTATGACATCTCCCAAACTTCCATGCTGTGTATGACATCTCCCAAACTTCCATGCTGTGTATGACATCTCCCAAACTTCCATGCTGTGTATGACATCTCCCAGACTTTTACACTTTGTATGACATCTCCCAAACTTCCATGCTGTGTATGACATCTCCCAGACTTTTACACTTTGTATGACATCTCCCAAACTTCCATGCTGTATGACATATCCCAGACTTTTACATTTTGTATGACATCTCCCAAACTTTTACACTTTGTATGAAAGTTCCCAGACTTTTACACTTTGTATGACATCTCCCAAACTTCCATGCTGTGTATGACATCTCCCAAACTTCCATGCTGTGTATGACATCTCCCAAACTTCCATGCTGTGTATGACATCTCCCAAATTTCATGAAATTATTCTTGATGCAGGAGGATGAAATGTTCTAAAGTGACATATACAAGGTATTCAAATATGCTCGACAGATTTCAGCAGACCTTGGGTGATGCCTTCCTCATATACAAATAGTGATAGAGTAACTACTCGGACAAAACAATCAAAATATAGACTGCCTTTATACTAGCCTGATATAAATATGTCTGTAAGCATTTAATATCTGAATTACCCCCAAACCTACCTCAAACCCCTTCCACCCCTATAGTGTTTCATTGATTCTTACAACAAAACAGGTATCTGATATTAACAATGAAACCTTGTCTAACTTTCCAGATTGAAGTGATGACCTACAGGTCAGATGTCACCAATGCAGTTGTCTTCAAAACCTTACGAGAGAAAATACCACAGGTATATAGTCTGCTTGACTCAGCAATGTGACAAAAAAAAGTTCATTTTCAAAAAAAGTAGTTTCTTTTCTGTTTATGTCTTACTAATGATCTCGTTTTCCAATATTGATTCAGTAATAACAAATAGTACCACACAAACTACACCTGCATTATTCAATAAAAACACCTCTCTGGTTTGAGAGCTTTTCATGGGAGCAGTCACTTGGGATAACACTCAAGTCAGGAAACTCTGTTGTTAGTGATTCAATGACTAATCACAAAGGACACAGAGAACACCACTCTGCCTAGTTCAAAGGTCATTTAAACATGACCCCTTACATAATGTATGATGAATTGATTGATTTGAATACTTTTTATATAACAATGGAAGGAAGCATTTTACTGATCAGGTTTTCAGGGTTCATGAATCTTCAAGACACTAACATAACCACTGCCAGGTAATGGTAAAAAACATTTTGATATTTTAGTTTTTCAGACCATTAACCATTTTATTTGTGGATGATAGTGAACTATACTTAAATCTCTTAACACTGTACAGCTTGTCCTGCCGGTAAGGTACATCCTCAAATCTAACATAACCATTGACCAGTCCCAAGGTACATCCTCAAATCTAACATAACCACTGACCAGTCCCAAGGTAAGGTACATCCTCAAATCTAACAAAACCACTGGCTTGTCCCAAGGTAAGGTAAACCCTGAAATCTAACATAACCACTGGCCAGTCCCAAGGTAAAGTACATCCTATAATCTAACATAACCACTGATCAGTCCCCAGGTACATCCTCAAATCTAACATAACCACTGGCCAGTCCCAAGGTAAGGTACATCCTCAAATCTAACATAACCACTGACCAGTCCCAAGGTAAAGTACATCCTCAAATCTAACATAACCACTGACCAGTCCCAAGGTAAGGTACATCCTCAAATCTAACATAACCACTGACCAGTCCCAAGGTAAGGTACATCCTCAAATCTAACATAACCACTGACCAGTCCCAAGGTACATCCTCAAATCTAACATAACCACTGACCAGTCCCAAGGTAAGGTACATCCTCAAATCTAACATAACCACTGACCAGTCCCAAGGTAAGGTACATCCTCAAATCTAACATAACCACTGACCAGTCCCAAGGTAAGGTACATCCTCAAATCTAACATAACCACTGACCAGTCCCAAGGTAAGGTACATCCTCAAATCTAACATAACCACTGACCAGTCCCAAGGTAAGGTACATCCTCAAATCTAACATAACCACTGACCAGTCCCAAGGTAAGGTACATCCTCAAATCTAACATAACCACTGACCAGTCCCAAGGTAAGGTACATCCTCAAATCTAACATAACCACTAACAAGTCCCCAGGTACATCCTCAAATCTAACATAACTACTGACCAGTCCCCAGGTACATCCTCAAATCTAACATAACCACTGACAAGTCCCCAGGTACATCCTCAAATCTAACATAACCACTGACCAGTCCCAAGGTAAGGTACATCCTCAAATCTAACATAACCACTGACAGTCCTAAGGTAAGGTACATCCTCAAATCTAACATAACCACTGACAGTCCTAAGGTAAGGTACATCCTCAAATCTAACATAACCACTGACCAGTCCCAAGGTAAGGTACATCCTCAAATCTAACATAACCACTAACAAGTCCCCAGGTACATCCTCAAATCTAACATAACTACTGACCAGTCCCAAGGTAAGGTACATCCTCAAATCTAACATAACCACTGACCAGTCCCTCAAATCTAACATAACCACTGGTAAGGTACATCCTCAAATCTAACATAACCACTGACCAGTCCCAAGGTAAGGTACATCCTCAAATAACATAACCACTGACCAGTCCCAAGGTAAGGTACATCCTCAAATCTAACATAACCACTGACCAGTCCCCAGGTACATCCTCAAATCTAACATAACCACTGACCAGTCCCAAGGTAAGGTACATCCTCAAATCTAACATAACCACTGGCCAGTCCCAAGGTAAGGTAAATCCTCAAATCTAACATAACCACTGACCAGTCCCAAGGTAAGGTACATCCTCAAATCTAACATAACCACTGACAGTCCCAAGGTAATGTACATCCTCAAATCTAACATAACCACTGACCAGTCCCAAGGTAAGGTACATCCTCAAATCTAACATAACCACTGACCAGTCCCAAGGTAAGGTACATCCTCAAATCTAACATAACCACTGACCAGTCCCCATCTAACAACATAACCACTGACCAGTCCCAAGGTAAGGTACATCCTCAAATCTAACATAACCACTGACCAGTCCCAAGGTAAGGTACATCCTCAAATCTAACATAACCACTGACCAGTCCCAAGGTAAGGTACATCCTCAAATCTAACATAACCACTGACCAGTCCCAAGGTAAGGTACATCCTCAAATCTAACATAACCACTGACCAGTCCCAAGGTAAGGTACATCCTCAAATCTAACATAACCACTGACCAGTCCCAAGGTAAAGTACATCCTCAAATCTAAATCTAACATAACCACTGACCAGTCCCAAGGTACATCCTCAAATCTAACATAACCACTGGCCAGTCCCAAGGTAAGGTACATCCTCAAATCTAACATAACCACTGACCAGTCCCAAGGTACATCCTCAAATCTAACATAACCACTGACCAGTCCCAAGGTACATCCTCAAATCTAACATAACCACTGACCAGTCCCAAGGTAAGGTACATCCTCAAATCTAACATAACCACTGACCAGTCCCAAGGTAAGGTACATCCTCAAATCTAACATAACCACTGACCAGTCCCCAGGTACATCCTCAAATCTAACATAACCACTGACCAGTCCCAAGGTAAGGTACATCCTCAAATCTAACATAACCACTGACCAGTCCCAAGGTAAGGTACATCCTCAAATCTAACATAACCACTGACAGTCCTAAGGTAAGGTACATCCTCAAATCTAACATAACCACTGACCAGTCCCCAGGTACATCCTCAAATCTAACATAACCACTGACCAGTCCCAAGGTAAAGACCAGTCCCAAGGTACATCCTCAAATCTAACATAACCACTGACCAGTCCCAAGGTAAGGTACATCCTCAAATCTAACATAACCACTGACCAGTCCCGAGGTAAGGTACATCCTCAAATCTAACATAACCACTGACCAGTCCCAAGGTAAAGTACATCCTCAAATCTAACATAACCACTGGCCAGTCCCAAGGTAAGGTACATCCTCAAATCTAACATAACCACTGACCAGTCCCAAGGTAAAGTACATCCTCAAATCTAACATAACCACTGACCAGTCCAAAGGTAAGGTACATCCTCAAATCTAACATAACCACTGACCAGTCCCAAGGTAAGGTACATCCTCAAATCTAACATAACCACTGACCAGTCCCAAGGTAAGGTACATCCTCAAATCTAACATAACCACTGACCAGTCCCAAGGTAAGGTACATCCTCAAATCTAACATAACCACTGACCAGTCCCAAGGTACATCCTCAAATCTAACATAACCACTGACCAGTCCCAAGGTAAGGTACATCCTCAAATCTAACATAACCACTGACCAGTCCCTCAAATCTAACATAACTGACCAGTCCCAAGGTAAGGTACACATCCTCAAATCTAACATAACCACTGACCAGTCCCTCAAGGTAACATAACCACTGACAAGGTACATCCTCAAATCTAACATAACCACTGACCAGTCCCTCAAATCTAACATAACCACTGACCAGTCCCAAGGTAAGGTAAACCCTCAAATCTAACATAACCACTGACCAGTCCCAAGGTACATCCTCAAATCTAACATAACTACTGACCAGTCCCAAGGTACATCCTCAAATCTAACATAACCACTGACCAGTCCCAAGGTAAGGTACATCCTCAATTAACATAACCACTGACCAGTCATAACCACTGACCAGTCCCAAGGTAAGGTACATCCTCAAATCTAACATAACCACTGACCAGTCCCAAGGTAAGGTACATCCTCAAATCTAACATAACCACTGACCAGTCCCAAGGTAAGGTACATCCTCAAATCTAACATAACCACTAACCAGTCCCCAGGTACATCCTCAAATCTAACATAACCACTGGCCAGTCCCAAGGTACATCCTCAAATCTAACATAACCACTGACCAGTCCCAAGGTAAGGTACATCCTCAAATCTAACATAACCACTGACCAGTCCCAAGGTAAGGTACATCCTCAAATCTAACATAACCACTGACCAGTCCCAAGGTAAAGTACATCCTCAAATCTAACATAACCACTGACCAGTCCCAAGGTAAGGTACATCCTCAAATCTAACATAACCACTGACCAGTCCCAAGGTAAGGTACATCCTCAAATCTAACATAACCACTGACCAGTCCCAAGGTAAGGTACATCCTCAAATCTAACATAACCACTGACCAGTCCCCAGGTACATCCTCAAATCTAACATAACCACTGACCAGTCCCAAGGTACATCCTCAAATCTAACATAACCACTGACCAGTCCCCAGGTACATCCTCAAATCTAACATAACCACTGACCAGTCCCAAGGTAAGGTACATCCTCAAATCTAACATAACCACTGACCAGTCCCAAGGTACATCCTCAAATCTAACATAACCACTGACCAGTCCCCAGGTACATCCTCAAATCTAACATAACCACTGACCAGTCCCCAGGTACATCCTCAAATCTAACATAACCACTGACCAGTCCCAAGGTAAAGTACATCCTCAAATCTAACATAACCACTGACCAGTCCCCAGGTACATCCTCAAATCTAACATAACCACTGACCAGTCCCAAGGTAAGGTAAACCCTCAAATCTAACATAACCACTGACCAGTCCCCAGGTACATCCTCAAATCTAACATAACCACTGACCAGTCCCCAGGTACATCCTCAAATCTAACATAACCACTGACCAGTCCTAAGGTAAGGTATTAAGGCACATACTAAAAAATCTGACTCATTGTTTTGACAATTACATTTGTGATACACTTAGAAGTGAAATGCTTCTGGAGTTTTTAGTTGTCATTTAGAATTCTTGCTATCAGTAGATTCAGGTATCAGAATCAATTTAGACCATAAGAGCAAACGTTTATACAGAATAAATTGTATTGTGGTAAGTTCTTGTCTATACATTGATGTTGATGATTTTGCTTGGATCTCCCCAACAGTCCAGGGCTGTATGTCAGTGTCAACATGTCCAGTGTCTGTGGCTGACTCTGGCTCAGGAGAAGACAAAGCGTCTGGCGAAACATAAGAAGGTAATGAATGTTTAATAATATATCTAGTCCATCATTATCATGATGATGTTGTGTTGTTCAAAAAGAGTTTTGTTTACATAATTATGCATTCCTCCATGAGTTGATATGCAATTCTATTTCCACTGACTCACAGGTAAAAATTTAAAGAACAGCAGAAAACTGCAATGATCCTGTTGGTACATAGTTGTGCTCGTAGAAGAGACCAGAAATACGTTGTAGCCATGGATTGTCAGGAATTATTGGAGAGAAAACAATGAGTTTTGAGTAATTTGAATAGTTCAGAAAAATGGAGGTCTATCTGGCTGGATTATTTATAGATATTGTATCAATGGGTTATGGCCTTAATATACATCAATTATATACCATTGACATTCCATGATTTGGTTGTCCCAGAATATAGGCTAAAAAGTGTCTGTATTTACAGGATGTGTTTGACAGCCTTGGTGAAGAGTTCAGAAAGGAGTTGTCAGATCAACAAAGACAGAGTCTACAATATTTCTGTGATGGACTCCAGGCAGATAAAGTGGACTTCCTCATGGAATTTCTCTTTGAGTGTATAATGTTGATGATAGCCATCCCACAGAATCAAGATGATGAGGACTATATTGATATACTTGGACAAAGGTAAACATCACTTAGACTGCTTAGTACGTGTTATGCTCCTATGGATCTACATTTTATGTTTTATATACCCTGTGTTGGAACGCTTTTGAAATGTGAGCTTGATTAGAACTATATATATATAGAAATAAAAGTGTTAAAGAGAACCATTGTAACTCTCATTTACTTTGTCTTCTTACTTTTCTCAGCCTTCAAGACAATCTGCAAGGTTATCTGTACAGTCCCATGTATGATGAGGAACCTATTCTCCCTGACTGGATGGCAGAGGTCATCACAAGACTGGATATAGACAATGGAGAGAAACTTCTCGTGTCACAGTGTGTTGATGTGTGGCTTTTCTTGTTCAATGCTCTCCACATCAAGGAGACAGAGAGGAGATTCTAAGTATTTCTGGTATTACAAAGTGTTGACCTCTACTTGTTTATAACATAAAGACTTATTTCTTGATTGATTGACACATTAACTGATATGACTAAGAGAAATGGAGAGTTTTGTTTCCTGTCCAGAGACACAGTGTACCTATAAATGACACTGTACACATCGTATTATATGTTATAGATACAGACTTTGTATTGTCATTGTTATGTGTTAGGAAACGATGATTGATGATGATGATGATGATGATGATGATGATGATGATGATGATGATGATGATGATGGTGGTGGTGGTGGTGACGATGGTGATCATCAATCATATTTTATTCTGTGAGTTCTGTATAAAAGTGTCTGTAATTAGCCTTACACTTTTATCAGGACAAATATAAACCTTTATCATTGATATAGTTATTTGCCTGTAATTTTATACAATATGATAGACTTCCTTTTGATGACAATCGTAATTTAATATAATTTCAACATCAGTGTATTTGCCCTTAGATTTGTTACATAATGATTGTGGATATTTGCCTGTACTTTTGTTAAATAATGATAGTGGATATTTGCCTGTACTTTTGTTACATAATGACAGTGGATATTTGCCTGTACTTTTGTTAAATAATGATAGTGGATAATTGCCTGTACTTTTGTTAAATAGTGATAGTGGATATTTGCCTGTACTTTTGTTACATAATGATAGTGGATATTTGCCTGTACTTTTGTTAAATAATGATAGTTGATAGTTGTAGTTTGGTTCTACTATGTATTTTGATATAAATTTGTATTATAGCTAGGTCTATTTTTATAGCATCAGTAGTATATGTTGTAGTAGCAGATTATCTCATTATTAACAAGACATGTAACAGCTTTGCTGTCATGTTAAAATGAGATATGCTACAAGAAGCTATAAAGCCATGCTTGTTTTTGACGTTCAAAGTGTATTTGGCTTTTGTAGAAATTTTGACCAGCTTATTGTTACCTTTACATTCTGTAATCTGATAAGATTGCATGGTCCTACTTATCTGTGAAGTGTATATTCATAAATATATCAGTAATATCTTTTGCATTATCATACAAAGGAACTTTATCAATACTAAGGGAGACAATCTTGCATAACTATAATCTACCTGTCTATTGTATTGTACTACACATGAAATACTAAGGGAGACAACCTTACATAACTATAACCTACCTGTCTATTGTATTGTACTACACATGAAATACTAAGGGAGACAACCTTACATAACTATAACCTACCTTTCTATTGTATTGTACTACACATGAAATACTAAGGGAGACTACCTTACATAACTATAACCTACCTTTCTATTGTATTGTACTACACATGAAATACTAAGGGAGACAACCTTACATAACTATAACCTACCTGTCTATTGTATTGTACAACACATGAAATACTAAGGGAGACTACCTTACATAACTATAACCTACCTGTCTATTGTATTGTACTACACATGAAATACTAAGGGAGATAACCTTACATAACTATAACCTACCTGTCTATTGTATTGTACTACACATGAAATACCAAGGGAGACTACCTTACATAACTATAACCTACCTGTCTATTGTATTGTACTACACATGAAATACCGAGGGAGACAACCTTACATAACTATAACCTACCTGTCTATTGTATTGTACTACACATGAAATACCGAGGGAGACAACCTTACATAACTATAACCTACCTGTCTATTGCATTGTACTACACATGAAATACTAAGGGAGACAACCTTACATAACTATAACCTACCTGTCTATTGTATTGTACAACACATGAAATACTAAGGGAGACAACCTTACATAACTATAACCTACCTGTCTATTGTATTGTACTACACATGAAATACTAAGGGAGACTACCTTACATAACTATAACCTACCTGTCTATTGTATTGTACTACACATGAAATACTAAGGGAGACAACCTTACATAACTATAACCTAACTGTCTATTGTATTGTACTACACATGAAATACTAAGGGAGACAACCTTACATAACTATAACCTACCTGTCTATTGTATTGTACTACACATGAAATACTAAGGGAGACAACCTTACATAACTATAACCTACCTGTCTATTGTATTGTACTACACATGAAATACTAAGGGAGACTACCTTACATAACTTTAACCTACCTGTCTATTGTATTGTACTACACATGAAATACTAAGGGAGACAACCTTACATAACTATAACCTACCTGTCTATTGTATTGTACTACACATGAAATACTAAGGGAGACAACCTTACATAACTATAACCTACCTGTCTATTGTATTGTACTACACATGAAATACTAAGGGAGACTACCTTACATAACTATAACCTACCTGTCTATTGTATTGTACTACACATGAAATACTAAGGGAGACAACCTTACATAACTATAACCTACCTTTCTATTGTATTGTACTACACATGAAATACTAAGGGAGACTACCTTACATAACTATAACCTACCTGTCTTTTGTATTCTACTACACATGAAATACTAAGGGAGACAACCTTACATAACTATAACCTACCTGTCTTTTGTATTGTACTACACATGAAATACTAAGGGAGACAACCTTACATAACTATAACCTACCTGTCTATTGTATTGTACTACACGTGAAATACTAAGGGAGACAACCTTACATAACTATAACCTACCTGTCTATTGTATTGTACTACACGTGAAATACTAAGGGAGACTACCTTACATAACTATAACCTACCTGTCTATTGTATTGTATTGTACTACACATGAAATACTAAGGGAGACTACCTTACATAACTATAACCTAAATGTCTATTGTATTGTACTACACATGAAATACTAAGGGAGACTACCTTACATAACTATAACCTACCTGTCTATTGTATTGTACTACACATGAAATTTCATGTTCCTCTATGATCTCTTGTTTAAGTTATATATATATACAACATATGTGATGTACACAAGACATTATAAGATAAACATGTCTACATATAAAACATTCACAATCATGCAGCTATATTTTTAACTTAGTTCAGCATTTTAATATGATTTATTGATGTGCTTTGATTGGTCAATAGTTATGTTGACATAGTAAGTGGGTAGCCAATCAACATTTTGAAAGAGGAAAAATTAGGATATTTATTTTTTATAGTTTACTAGGGGTATTGATAGGAGTTCAAAGACAGTTATATCAATATTTAGGCAGTAAGTCTGGTAATAAGCCCATCCTATTTACTGCTGCAAAGGATGATAACCAACAAATGCTGTTTTATTGTCCTGTAATAAACCTTGACTCCTGATCTTGAGATAAAGACAATGTGATGGACCCATTACAGAAGATACTATTTTAAAGTCCAATAACCCTGGAACATTAGCTATATATTTCAAAGATTTATAAAATATGAGCTGTAACAATAACAGTGGTACAAAGTCTATTGAGCTTAGTCTATATTTACTTTGTTATGCCCATGATATGTACTTTACATATGTCCTTGGTGTAATTTGGATGATTCTATTTACTGGACAGCTAGACTTGTACTCTAGACATATCCTGTATTATAAATCCTGAATATTTCTTTATCACTTGTATATACTGTACAGGATTACAAAACGTTCAAGTTTCTCATCTTGTAAAACACTGAATTTAAATTGAATTGAAGTTTCGATTGTGTGTTCTATTTGTTTTTGCAGAAATTACAATTGCTAATTTACAATGATATCCATGTGCTTTTTATAGCGATTTGTTACAGAGACTAATAACTAGCATTATAGTAAATGATTTCTTCTACTGTATTTTGTTTGACTTTTCAGTTTTACTAGAGGTGGAAGTAGTCACACTGTATGATGTACCATGATTTAAGTGAAAATATGTCACATGAGAGCTTACAAGTATTTTTTGCTAACTTTTCTTTTTTTTTCTAACTTTCTGTTAATATTGTGTGTTTATCCTATATTGACTTTGTTATGATGAAAAGTCTTCACACTGGTACTGTGGAGTCCAATTCTGTCACACCCAGTGATATATTGGAGGAGTACATGAAGTTTAGGTTGTTGAGTTTTACAGGTCCTCATCATAGTTTGGTCTTCAGTTGCCCAGTGATGTTTTAACTAGTTGTTTGTAATTCACCTTGATCAGTGCCCTACTTTTTTTTTCCATCTTCTGCAACTTTTGTTGAAGTCTCACCAATAGAAATTTCATCTAACGCTAACATTCCATATGAGTCCTGGGCTGGAATGTAACTAATCCTACCCATCAGCTGGTGTAACGTTATGGTGAGATTTTCTATGTTTAAATCCCAGTTGCAGTAAACTTGTTCAGGAAAACCACCAGGCACTAATACTTACAATAAGTAAACCTGTTCTTCTTAACATTTCAGTAAAGTTAATTATGTATCAACAGTTGGCGGTTTTATACTAAAACATTCTTTTTGATTAAGATGACGATTTATTTTTTAAACTGCAATATTTTGTTGTGTATTATTAAATAGTATGAGATTATGAAATAAACCCTGCTTCATACATATATGGAACTTGTTTTCATCTTTCATTTCAAACTATTGTCATCTTGTGAAATATTAGCGTGATTAGAGCTCAGCAATAATGGAGTTCAGCAACACAACAAATCATGAGCTCAGCAACATTACCACTGGAGTTCTCAGTTAACACAACACTAAAGATCGGCAACATTACCGCTGGAGTTCTCAGTTAACACAACACTAAAGATCAGCAACATTACCACTGGAGTTCTCAGTTAACACAACACTAAAGATCGGCAACATTACCGCTGGAGTTCTCAGTTAACACAACACTAAAGATCAGCAACATTACCACTGGAGTTCTCAGTTAACACAACACTAAAGATCGGCAACATTACCGCTGGAGTTCTCAGTTAACACAACACTAAAGATCGGCAACATTACCGCTGGAGTTCTCAGTTAACACAACACTAAAGATCGGCAACATTACCGCTGGAGTTCTCAGTTAACACAACACTAAAGATCGGCAACATTACCGCTGGAGTTCTCAGTTAACACAACACTAAAGATCGGCAACACAACACTAAAGATCGGCAACATTACCGCTGCTGTTAACACAACACTAAAGATCGGCAACATTACTGCTGGAGTTCTCAGTTAACACTAAAGATCAGCAACATTACCGCTGGAGTTCTCAGTTAACACAACACTAAAGATCGGCAACATTACCGCTGGAGTTCTCAGTTAACACAACACTAAAGATCAGCAACATTACCACTGGAGTTCTCAGTTAACACAACACTAAAGATCGGCAACATTACCGCTGGAGTTCTCAGTTAACACAACACTAAAGATCGGCAACATTACCGCTGGAGTTCTCAGTTAACACAACACTAAATATCGGCAACATTACCGCTGGAGTTCTCAGTTAACACAACACTAAAGATCGGCAACATTACCGCTGGAGTTCTCAGTTAAGACAACACTAAAGATCGGCAACATTACTGCTGGACTTCTCAGTTAACACTAAAGATCAGCAACATTACTGCTGGAGTTCTCAGTTAACACTAAAGATCAGCAACATTACTGCTGGAGTTCTCAGTTAACACAACACTAAAGATCAGAAACAATAATGCTAGAACTATGCAAAACAAAACACTGGAACTCAGGAAGACACTGTTTTATTTCCTTTACAGAATGTTGATAACAACACACCATTGTTCAAAATACCTGTAAATGTTCTGAAGGATTTGTTTCCTGTTGTAACAAAATTAATCTTTTATCTCAATGATTCCAAAATGGCTTCAGCTTTCCATTCACAGTTTAAAAACTTTCTACTTAAACTTGGGAGGTAACCGAAATTAGTCAACTGAAACTGAAACATTTTAAATTATGGGAATAAAACATTAAACTCAACAAGATTGAAGTTCCATAGTGATAAATTTAGCATTCTTCCATGATTGTGATAAATACTTATAGATAACAGACAAGATAAACCAATGTTTGTATTAATAGGATAAAATAGTATCTGTCAAAACTAATGAGTAAATAACTACAAAACAGACAATTTACAGGAATGTAGGGCTTGGTACACTATACATAACTTATAGGATTATATACAAATACAAGATTGTACATTTTCTCACCTTTCGCGATCATCCCTTGGCTTTGGTGACACAGAAAATATGTATTTTTATACCTCCATTTTAATTACTAGATAATAATTCCTATATTTTAAAATTTACCATAATTTATGATTAAACATTTAAAATTCTTTTCTCTCCACTATATATATTCTTATTTCTCTCCGCAATATTTTCCCCATAAAAAAATTCTTTTTCTTTTAAAAATATTCTGAGGAAACTGATGCTAATTTGAGCCTCAAAGGAACAATGGAGAACAACAGAGAGTTGTCTATTAGATTGTCCACAAAAAATATCAAATACAATGAAATAAAACAGAAATACTTAAAAAATTATAGTATTACCCCGTCCTAAATCTCAAGTGGCAATAAGGCTGGCTACTACAAGCAGCTTATTTTACATAAAGTATTAAAGTATTGCACTAACAATTAACTCTTCAACAAGTCTTGTATAAAAATGACATTAAGATTCCTGCATTATTTGTGCAAAAAAAAAAATGAAGATCACTTACAAGAGATTATATGACTAATGTCACCTCATCTTACACAGCACAAAAGCAGTGCTTTGTACTTACTACATTCTTATAATACATATATAAATATGATATAAATTTATAATGTACTAAAATATCATTTAAGTAAATTCAAAACAGTTTAATAGTTTTTTCAAATGATCCAATATGGTAGATTCCAAAATTACAGAACAAAATAATCTTACAGTTTATGGACATACCGTATTAACTGATTTACATTTCATTCTTCCCCAAAAAATGTCAAATTTTTCAGCAGAAGAAGATAGATTTGAAAATCTTTTATTCAACTAATTATCATACACCATATTTTTTATTTAAACAGGATCTAAAAACCCTGAAACTTTATCCATGATTTTCTATGATTTAAATGAGTTATAAATACATACAATCGGAACACAAGACTCACATGATTTGAAATATAAAAATGAGAATATGTCACAAACTTCTCTTTTTCAAGTGTTGTACTTGAATTGAAAATGGCTTTGTCATTTGGCTAAGAATACAATCAAATTAAGTACATTAATATTGACTACTGGTAAAGGATATAACAATAGCAGGTGTAAATGTAGCTTATCATAGAGGAGTGGAAAAAGATCAACATATGCAGACAATTGTATATTTTTAGGTACTGTGGATAATTATGTAGAAAATATAAAATACACAGAACATGTAATGTACAACATCAGTGAGCAGTCCCGAGACTGAACACTTGATGTACAACATCAGTGAGCAGTCCCGAGACTGAACACTTGATGTACAACATCAGTGAGCTGTCCCGAGACTGAACACTTGATGTACAACATCAGTGAGCTGTCCAAGCCTGAACACTTGATGTACAACATCAGTGAGCTGTCCCGAGACTGAACACTTGATGTACAACATCAGTGAGCAGTCCCGAGACTGAACACTTGATGTACAACATCAGTGAGCAGTCCCGAGACTGAACACTTGATGTACAACATCAGTGAGCTGTCCCGAGACTGAACACTTGATGTACAACATCAGTGAGCAGTCCAAGAACACTGATGTACAACATCAGTGAGCTGTACAACATCAGTGAGCTGTCCCGAGACTGAACACTTGGTGTACAACATCAGTGAGCAGTCCCGAGACTGAACACTTGATGTACAACATCAGTGAGCAGTCCTGTGGCTGAACACTTGATGTACAACATCAGTGAGCTGTCCCGAGACTGAACACTTGATGTACAACATCAGTGAGCTGTCGATGTACAACATCAGCAGTCCCGAGACTGAACACTTGATGTACAACATCAGTGAGCAGTCCTGTGGCTGAACACTTGATGTACAACATCAGTGAGCAGTCCCGAGACTGAACACTTGATGTACAACATCAGTGAGCTGTCCCGAGACTGAACACTTGATGTACAACATCAGTGAGCAGTCCCGAGACTGAACACTTGATGTACAACATCAGTGAGCAGTCCTGTGGCTGAACACTTGATGTACAACATCAGTGAGCTGTCCAAGCCTGAACACTTGATGTACAACATCAGTGAGCAGTCCAAGACTGAACACTTGATGTACAACATCAGTGAGCAGTTCTGACAGGGAACTTACAAAGTCCAGGCCTGTGTTGATACATTTATATAAATAAACGGCCATGGGAACAGATAAGTTATATGCCTTGTACCTATCCATTAAAAGGTTCGTTAAACTCAAATGCAAAATTTTAATCATTTGGGTTCATGATTCCATGAATGTTTGATGTGAACATTATCTATGGTCACAATTTTCTAGAGAAAATATTACTAGACAATGGTATGCTGGTTTGCTGCGGACAAATTTGATCTAAAATGGATTTTTGAGATGGAAAAAAAAGTATGCTACTAACAAAATAAAATCATTAATTAAATGAAATATTTTATGATTAAAAATCAATACCAAAGGAAATGAAGATAAAATTCAAGGTGTACAACAACAAACATCCACTTATATATATCAGACAGCTGATACAGAACACACTGACTCCATGTTTATACACAGGACAAATTATTGGTTAATACAAAAATTAGTTCAGTATTGTACGAAATACGATGGTCTTAAATGTCAGTTTCAGTAATGTATCTGATACAACACACTAATATCAACAACATACAGGCTTTTCTATCTATGATGTGAAGAGCACCTTTATATCTATTTGCTGTACAACATTATAAGAACCTATAACAGCTCTCAGACTGTTGATGACGGGCACAAGTATTGTCTGTGTTAGATTCAATAGATTGTCAACTTTGTGTTCAGTACAGCTCTTGGGACAAAACATTGTGGAACATATTGTAAAAATAAATGACAATGAGATAACTGAAGAGATTGTTATTACCAAGATTATCTCTGACAATGTAAATACTAAGTAATATCTTCACGACCTTCTTTGTGAAAAATACACCTTCATCATACAGACGATTTAAACAATAAAAACAAAATGAGATTCCACGACGAGAAAATGCAACCCAATAACAGAGTATAATGACATTTGTACAAACAGTAGTTGTAGTCTACAGAATATATCTCGGGATCATGAAAACAGTCCAACATCTAAAACAATTCCTTAACTTCGATCAGATACAACCTCTGTTACAAAAATATTATTTTATATCAAACTGTTGTACTTCTATTCAACGTTTAAGTTTGACAAATTGATTTATCTGATACATGCCTATAGTGGCAATTAGCATATTAATTAGATAAATCAGATGACAAGAATTTAAAAAAAAAAAAGAGAGAAAACATATCTAATAACAATATATCCTCTGTTAAACACACAGATGTTTCTGTATCAACTTCACACTAAAATGTATTCATACATGTCAAACAAAAATTCATCACTCCTTTCAGGCCAGAACCAACTTGATCTTGGGTATTATACTGAAGTATTATGCCTTATTCAAAAAGAAGAAAAATATTTAGATGACAATATATGAATACTTGAGCAAAAGATTTAGTCAGTGGAACATGTCTAAAAGTAGCTTTTTCTACTGACCAAACAACCATCGATAAACAGAGTTTTAAAATCTACCTTGTACAATGATTTTAGAGAAACTCTAAACTCAAGTTACATTGATAAGGGGTAGGTTTAAAGTTTACCGTTGTATTATAAATATGATATAGAGATATATAAAGCCTGTAAGACAATTACTCAAGTCACCACAAGTCTTAATACTCCAGGGGCAGTTCTAGAATAATCTTACTGGTCGAACCAGTATTATGGCAACAAGCTCATCTCTTACACACACAAGTTACACATGTATCCAGACTGACATGAGAGTGTTTCCTTTGTGTATTAAACACTATTCATACACAATTTTTCAAACCACTTACACAAGGGATACCTTGTGTAGTAGAAGTGTAACATAGAACGCATTTCTTACTTACATTTAGGTGTACACAATACAATGTATAAAAAATTTAAAAATAGAATTGGCTACTATACTAGAAAGACATTTGTAAAATGATGTGAGTTTGACAGAGAAGGCAAATGGAGTATGGAGGGATTAATTATACACAACCCTTTGCAGGAGAATTATCAAAAGTCCCATGGTACTAGAAATTCAGCAGACACTTTTCAGACTCACATATGTAACAGCCTACAACTTAAAACAGCTTAGTTTCCTTCTGTCAATGATACTGCAGGACTTTCTCCAGCAAACTTGCGCTGGAATGAACACACTGTTGGTATCATTTAATAATTCCAACAAAATTTTGTCTCACTTCTGTAGATGTTTCCGTGTTATTACCAATACCACTGCTTCTCACTCTCTGAACCATGAGATATTCAAGTATTTCAAATTCCTGCCTCATACACATGTTATTTGAATTAATGTCTTTGAGAGGCAGCATGTTCGGCTACACCTCAGTTGACGGACTTTCTCCAGGCTTTCGATTCACTAATGTCATACTTCCAAGGTCGGTAGTATGATAACGCCGAACTTCGTCATCCATTATAGTTTCCATTATATCATCTACATTCTCCCCATGTGCACGAAGCATCTCCGTCTTGATGACAATTTCATTGGAAATGTAATTCTCTCGACGAATCTGTACCTTGAGTTGGTGAGGCACATCAGGAATGACATAAGCTATCAGACCGGTGATGACAACAATCAGATTCTGAAACATACAGTACTCATCTGTAATTATCAAAAGTTTAGAAGGCCATCAGGCAAAAAGACAAACCTAGCATTAATGTTTACCAGTACATCACTGCTACATACCTCAAATACCACCACAAAGACAAACCTAGCATTAATGTTTACCAGTACATCACTGTTACATACCTCAAATACCACCACACAGACAAACCTAGCACTAATGGTTACCACTACATCACTGTTACATACCTCAAATACCACCACAAAGACAAATCTAACATTAATGTTTACCAGTACATCACTGCTACATACCTCAAATACCACCACACAGACAAATCTAACATTAATGTTTACCAGTACATCACTGTTACATACCTCAAATACCACCACACAGACAAATCAAACATTAATGTTTACCAGTACATCACTGTTACATACCTCAAATACCACCACACAGACAAATCAAACATTAATGTTTACCAGTACATCACTGTTACATACCTCAAATACCACCACACAGACAAATCTAACATTAATGTTTACCACTACATCACTGTTACATACCTCAAATACCACCACAAAGACAAATCTAACATTAATGGTTACCACTACATCACTGTTACATACCTCAAATACCACCACACAGACAAATCTAACATTAATGTTTACCAGTACATCACTGTTACATACCTCAAAAACCACCACACAGACAAATCTAACATTAATGGTTACCACTGCATCACTGTTACATACCTCAAATACCACCACACAGACAAATCTAACATTAATGTTTACCAGTACATCACTGTTACATACCTCAAATACCACCACAAAGACAAATCTAACATTAATGGTTACCAGTACATCACTGTTACATACCTCAAATACCACCACAAAGACAAATCTAACATTAATGGTTACCACTGCATCACTGTTACATACCACAAATACCACCACACAGACAAATCTAACATTAATGGTTACCACTGCATCACTGTTACATACCTCAAATACCACCACACAGACAAATCAAACATTAATGGTTACCACTACATCACTGTTACATACCTCAAAAACCACCACACAGACAAATCTAACATTAATGGTTACCACTGCATCACTGTTACATACCTCAAATACCACCACACAGACAAATCTAACATTAATGTTTACCAGTACATCACTGTTACATACCTCAAATACCACCACAAAGACAAATCTAACATTAATGGTTACCAGTACATCACTGTTACATACCACAAATACCACCACACAGACAAATCTAATATTAATGGTTACCACTGCATCACTGTTACATACCACAAATACCACCACAAAGACAAATCTAACATTAATGGTTACCACTACATCACTGTTACATACCTCAAATACCACCACACAGACAAATCTAACATTAATGTTTACCAGTACATCACTGTTACATACCTCAAATACCACCACACAGACAAATCTAACATTAATGTTTACCAGTACATCACTGTAACATACCTCAAATACCACCACACAGACAAATCTAACATTAATGTTTACCAGTACATCACTGTTACATACCTCAAATACCACCACACAGACAAATCTAACATTAATGTTTACCAGTACATCACTGTTACATACCTCAAATACCACCACACAGACAAATCTAACATTAATGTTTACCAGTACATCACTGTTACATACCTCAAATACCACTACACAGACAAATCTAACATTAATGTTTACCAGTACATCACTGTAACATACCTCAAATACCACCACACAGACAAATCTAACATTAATGTTTACCAGTACATCACTGTTACATACCTCAAATACCACCACAAAGACAAATCTAACATTAATGTTTACCAGTACATCACTGTTACATACCTCAAATACCACCACAAAGACAAATCTAACATTAATGGTTACCACTACATCACTGTTACATACCTCAAATACCACCACAAAGACAAATCAAACATTAATGTTTACCACTACATCACTGTTACATACCTCAAATACCACTACACAGACAAATCTAACATTAATGTTTACCACTACATCACTGTTACATACCTCAAATACCACCACAAAGACAAATCAAACATTAATGGTTACCACTACATCACTGTTACATACCTCAAATACCACTACACAGACAAATCTAACATTAATGGTTACCACTACATCACTGTTACATACCACAAATACCACTACAAAGACAAATCTAACATTAATGTTTACCACTACATCACTGTTACATACCACAAATACCACTACAAAGACAAATCTAACATTAATGGTTACCACTACATCACTGTTACATACCTCAAATACCACCACAAAGACAAATCAAACATTAATGGTTACCACTACATCACTGTTACATACCTCAAATACCACCACACAGACAAATCTAACATTAATGTTTACCAGTACATCACTGTTACATACCTCAAATACCACCACAAAGACAAATCTTGCAGCAAAGATGTGCCAGTACATCTCTGTGAACTCGTATTTATCATCACTCCAAGGAGGGTTTCTCAAATCTCGGTACCTGAAGAAAAACATCATCAGAAAGTGAGTTTCAGTCTGACCTAAATAGAACTGATAATGTAAAATGTAATGTAAAAAGAGATATTCTTGTTATTAAATAGAATTGATAATAAAAAGAGATATTCTTGCTATTAAATAGAATTGATAATAAAAAGAGATATTCTTGCTATTAAATAGAATTGATAATAAAAAGAGATATTCTTGCTATTAAATAGAATTGTGATACCAAGATGATTACTTTATTTTATTCAACCCTTTAATTTGTGTCATATGGTATTTATAAATACACTGCTAAATGATATCCTTGTTACCACATATTTACATTATAGAAGCATTACTTCATTAGTATCAAAATACACTTCATTTATCAACCACTATGCTGGTCACTCTTGTTGGCCCAGTATCTCACAGGTGGTTTGATGATGGGGGGAAAACTAGAGTGTCCCAAAAAAACCATGTGGTCAGGTAAGCGACCTCGTGGCTTTTTACAACTATTAGCAGAATCCAAAACACAAGCCACAATATTACCTGACATACAAAACATTCCCCAATACCCTCACTGCACTGCCTATGAATTGTTGAATTATAAAGACACAGTTTAAAGTGTCATTATTTTCCAACACTTTATGCTGTGCTGTCAATATTTCTGAACAACACCTATTAAACTGTGAATATTTTATAACACTTTATGCTGTGCTGTCAATAGTTCTGAACAACACCTATTAAACTGTGAATATTTTATAACACTTTATGCTGTGCTGTCAATAGTTCTGAACAACACCTATTAAACTGTGAATATTTTATAACACTTCATGCTGAGCTGTCAATAGTTCTGAACAACACCTATTAAACTGTGAATATTTTATAACACTTCATGCTGAGCTGTCAATAGTTCTGAACAACACCTATTAAACTGTGAATATTTTATAACACTTCATGCTGAGCTGTCAATAGTTCTTTATAAAACCTGTAAATCTTTCTGAATTGCAAATATATTGTAGAGCGCCTATTAAACTGTCAGCCTTTTCAAATACTTCCCTCTGCACTGTCAAAAAATAGTTCAGACACCTATTAAAGTAAATCTTTTAAGGATTCTTGTCTATGATTTCTTCCACAAATTATAAACAATGAAGTGAAAAGTTTCAGACAATAGACATTTTGTTGTGACTTAAATGTTTATTGAGGCTAAGTAATCCAATAATACCCGTCAGAATTCTGCCATAGTTTTGTATCAGTAATGAACACATGTTATAGAGTGTATTAGACCAAAGATAAGCATGGTACTCTCCAAAGAGATACTTATATACAAAGCCTTTGTAGACAAAGTGCACAAGATATGACTAAGTGATCCACAAAGGAGAAACATTATCCTATAAATGTTGTGGAGATTACTTGAAGGTTAACGAGGTTACACATACTGACATTTACCTGCAGAGCTCAACCAACTCACTACCAGCATAGTTAGGTCTATTTTCAGGGCTGAAGTCGGTGGTGTTGAAAAAGGACAGGGTAGCATTTGTATAGCCCCTTAGGGAACCATCTGGACTGTAGGCTTGCTCATACACCAAACGGGGAATGAAGTCTGATGTTAAAGCAATGATGAAAGCCTGAAATTAAGATATTATTTCATACATCAAATATTCTTTATCTATCAGGTTTTATTTCTGCCATTACGGCCTTTGGAGAACACAAGTATTTCAGACCTAAAAGTCTAATACATGGAAAATATTTGTTTTATTGTAGCTAATTATGAGACTTATTGTGAGAACCCCTTGCCTTCTATTTCTGATAGATGATAGGTATCATTTTTGGAGAGGGGCAATTTCAAATAAAATGATGACAAAAGTACTTACATTTGAAATAATGGCAATTCTAGAAATTCCATAGAGAATATTGTACCATACACCTGTAACAAAGATGAGAATTTTATGTAAAAGAGTTAACCATCACTGGTCGAGTCACACTACTGGTATTTGGAGTTAGTTTGACTGTGAGAGAGCTAACCATCACTGGTGAAGTGACCTTACTGGTATTCTGAGTAAGTGTGACTGTGAGAGGGCTAACCATCACTGGTGAAGTCACCTTACTGGTATTTTGAGTTAGTGTGACTGTGAGAGGGCTAACCATCACTGGTCAAGTCACCTTACTGGTATTCTGAGTAAGTGTGTCTGTGAGAGGGCTAACCATCACTGGTGATGTCACCTTACTGGTATTCTGAGTAAGTGTGTCTGTGAGAGGGCTAACCATCACTGGTGATGTCACCTTACTGGTATTTTGAGTTAGTGTGACTGTGAGAGGGCTAACCATCACTGGTCGAGTCACACTACTGGTATTCTGAGTAAGTGTGTCTGTGAGAGGGCTAACCATCACTGGTGATGTCACCTTACCGGTATTATGAGTAAGTGTGACTGTGAGAGGGCTAACCATCACTGGTGAAGTCACCTTACTGGTATTTTGAGTTAGTGTGACTGTGAGAGGGCTAACCATCACTGGTCGAGTCACCTTACTGGTATTCTGAGTAAGTGTGTCTGTGAGAGGGCTAACCATCACTGGTGATGTCACCTTACTGGTATTCTGAGTAACTGTGTCTGTTAGAGGGCTAACCATCACTGGTGATGTCACCTTACTGGTATTCTGAGTTAGTGTGACTGTGAGAGGGCTAACCATCACTGGTAATGTCACCTTACTGGTAATCTGAGTTAGTGTGACTGTGAGAGGGCTAACCATCACTGGTGATGTCACACTATTGGTATTCTGAGTCAGTGTGACTGTGAGAGGGCTAACCATCACTGGTGATGTCACACTATTGGTATTCTGAGTTAGTGTGACTGTGAGAGGGTTAACCATCACTGGTGATGTCACACTATTGGTATTCTGAGTTAGTGTGACTGTGAGAGGGTTAACCATCACTGGTGAATTCACCTTACTGGTATTCTGAGTTAGTGTGACTGTGAGAGGGCTAACCATCACTGGTGATGTCACCTTACTGGTATTCTGAGTAAGTGTGTCTGTGAGAGGGCTAACCATCACTGGTCGAGTCACCTTACTGGTATTCTGAGTAAGTGTGTCTGTGAGAGGGCTAACCATCACTGGTGATGTCACCTTACTGGTATTCTGAGTAAGTGTGTCTGTGAGAGGGCTAACCATCACTGGTGATGTCACCTTACTGGTATTCTGAGTTAGTGTGACTGTGAGAGGGCTAACCATCACTGGTCGAGTCACCTTACTGGTATTCTGAGTAAGTGTGACTGTGAGAGGGCTAACCATCACTGGTGATGTCACCTTACTGGTATTCTGAGTAAGTGTGTCTGTGAGAGGGCTAACCATCACTGGTGATGTCACCTTACTGGTATTTTGAGTTAGTGTGACTGTGAGAGGGCTAACCATCACTGGTCGAGTCACCTTACTGGTATTCTGAGTAAGTGTGTCTGTGAGAGGGCTAACCATCACTGGTGATGTCACCTTACTGGTATTCTGAGTAAGTGTGACTGTGAGAGGGCTAACCATCACTGGTGAAGTCACCTTACTGGTATTTTGAGTTAGTGTGACTGTGAGAGGGCTAACCATCACTGGTCGAGTCACCTTACTGGTATTCTGAGTAAGTGTGTCTGTGAGAGGGCTAACCATCAGTGGTGATGTCACCTTACTGGTATTCTGAGTAACTGTGTCTGTTAGAGGGCTAACCATCACTGGTGATGTCACCTTACTGGTATTCTGAGTTAGTGTGACTGTGAGAGGGCTAACCATCACTGGTGATGTCACACTATTGGTATTCTGAGTTAGTGTGACTGTGAGAGGGTTAACCATCACTGGTGATGTCACCTTACTGGTATTCTGAGTTAGTGTGACTGTGAGAGGGCTAACCATCACTGGTGATGTCACACTATTGGTATTCTGAGTTAGTGTGACTGTGAGAGGGCTAACCATCACTGGTGATGTCACACTATTGGTATTCTGAGTTAGTGTGACTGTGAGAGGGTTAACCATCACTGGTGAATTCACCTTACTGGTATTCTGAGTTAGTGTGACTGTGAGAGGGCTAACCATCACTGGTGATGTCACCTTACTGGTATTCTGAGTAAGTGTGTCCGTGAGAGGGCTAACCATCACTGGTGATGTCACCTTCCTGGTATTCTGAGTAAGTGTGTCTGTGAGAGGGCTAACCATCACTGGTGATGTCACCTTACTGGTATTCTGACTAAGTGTGTCTGTGAGAGGGCTAACCATCACTGGTGATGTCACCTTACTGGTATTCTGAGTTAGTGTGACTGCGAGAGGGCTAACCATCACTGGTCGAGTCACCTTACTGGTATTCTGAGTTAGTGTGACTGTGAGAGGGCTAACCATCACTGGTGATGTCACACTATTGGTATTCTGAGTTAGTGTGACTGTGAGAGGGTTAACCATCACTGGTAATGTCACCTTACTGGTATTCTGAGTTAGTGTGACTGTGAGAGGGCTAACCATCACTGATGATGTCACACTATTGGTATTCTGAGTTAGTGTGACTGTGAGAGGGCTAACCATCACTGGTGATGTCACACTATTGGTATTCTGAGTTAGTGTGACTGTGAGAGGGTTAACCATCACTGGTGAATTCACCTTACTGGTATTCTGAGTTAGTGTGACTGTGAGAGGGCTAACCATCACTGGTGATGTCACCTTACTGGTATTCTGAGTAAGTGTGTCTGTGAGAGGGCTAACCATCACTGGTGATGTCACCTTACTGGTATTCTGAGTAACTGTGTCTGTGAGAGGGCTAACCATCACTGGTGATGTCACACTATTGGTATTCTGAGTTAGTGTGACTGTGAGAGGGCTAACCATCACTGGTCGAGTCACCTTACTGGTATTCTGAGTAAGTGTGACTGTGAGAGGGCTAACCATCACTGGTGACGTCACCTTACTGGTATTCTGAGTAAGTGTGTCTGTGAGAGGGCTAACCATCACTGGTGATGTCACCTTCCTGGTATTCTGAGTTAGTGTGACTGTGAGAAGGCTAACCATCACTGGTGATGTCACCTTACTGGTATTCTGAGTAAGTGTGACTGTGAGAGGGCTAACCATCACTGGTGATGTCACCTTACTGGTATTCTGAGTAAGTGTGTCTGTGAGAGGGCTAACCATCACTGGTGATGTCACCTTATTGGTATTCTGAATTAGTGTGACTGTGAGAGGGCTAACCATCACTGGTGAAGTGACCAACACCTACACCGTATTTTTTAATAATAACATGAAGATAAGGCATGATAAATGGTAAACACAAATGTCATAAAAGTCACAAAACCGTTACATTTGTACACTTTTAAATGAATGATCAATTGTTTCCTAAAATGTTCATACCAATGTTAGGAGTCCTCTCAGCAAGGGGACGACGAAGATGGGTAATGAACTTAGCAGCGTCAAAACGGATCTCCAACAGGTTGTTGAGAAGAGCAAACAGTGGTCCCAGAGGGAAAGCAGCCACAAACAAGGTCAGAAATCCAAACTGCAGGACTGCAAGTGTAAATTACAAGGTCAGAAATAAAACTTTTAGGCTGGAATTGTAAATTACAAGGTCAGAAATAAAACTTTTAGGCTGGAATTGTAAATCACAAGGTCAGAAATAAAACTTTTAGGCTGGAATTGTAAATCACAAGGTCAGAAACTCAAGTGTAAATTAGAAAGATAACAATATTATCACCATTCAGTTGACACCTTTTCCCTAGGCAATTAATACCTACCCATTTCCAGGTATTCATGGAACAAAGCTGCTGTGGATGTAGCATCCAATTTGTAGTCCTTCTCCCAAGGCGTCCTTGACATTTTCTTTTCTTTGCTCTCCTTCCAAATCATCCTCTTTATCCATTTAATTATTTTCCTGAACATCAGTATTTTAAGAATATATTAATATTTGGAACTTAACATGAAACTCTCTTTCCAACAAAAGGGGAACAATTACAGGAAGACAGACAAATGTCCCTTACAATGGGACAAACTGACAGGAAGACAGATTAATGTCCCTAATTATAGGACACACTGACAGGAAGACAGACTAATGTCCCTAATTATAGGACACACTGACAGGAAGACAGACAAATGTCCCTTACAATGGGACAAACTGACAGGAAGACAGATTAATGTCCCCAATTATAGGACACACTGACAGGAAGACAGATTAATGTCCCTATTTATAGGACACACTGACAGGAAGACAGAATAATGTCCCTAATTATAGGACACACTGACAGGACGACATACTAATGTCGCTCACAATGGGACAAACTGACAGGAAGACAGACTAATGTCCCTAATTATAGGACACACTGACAGGAAGACAGACTAATGTCCCTAATTATAGGACACACTGACAGGAAGACAGACTAATGTCGCTCACAATGGGACAAACTGACAGGAAGACAGACTAATGTCCCTAATCATAGGACACACTGACAGGAAGACAGACTAATGTCCCTCAGGAAGACAGATTAATGTCCCCAATCATGGGACACACTGACAGGAAGACAAACTTATGTTCCTTACAATGGGACAAACTGACAGGAAGACAGATTAATGTCCCCAATCATGGGACACACTGACAGGAAGACAGACTAATGTCCCTAATTATAGGACACACTGACAGGAAGACAGACTAATGTCCCTAATTATAGGACACACTGACAGGAAGACAGACTAATGTCCCTAATTATAGGACACACTGACAGGAAGACAAACTTATGTTCCTTACAATGGGACAAACTGACAGGAAGACAGATTAATGTCCCCAATCATGGGACACACTGACAGGAAGACAAACTTATGTTCCTTACAATGGGACAAACTGACAGGAAAACTGACTAATGTCACTCACAATGGGACACACTGACAGGAAGACAAACTTATGTTCCTTACAATGGGACAAACTGACAGGAAAACTGACTAATGTCACTCACAATGGGACAAACTGACAAGAAGACAGACTAATGTCCCTAATTATAGGACAAACTGACAGGAAGACAGACTAATGTCCCTAATTATGGGACAAACTGACAGGAAGACAGACTAATGTCCCCAATTATAGGACACACTTACAAGAAGACAAACTTATGTTCCTTACAATAGGACAAACTGACAGGAAGACAGACTAATGTCCCCAATTATGGGACAAACTGACAGGAAGACAGACTTGTATATGTCTTCTACATTAGCCCTAGAAGCCAAAGTATCAGTATTGCATGAATAAGTGTTAGCAATATCAACCCAAAATTTATAACACTGTCAGTATGGTAAATATACAGGGTTTTGGTTGATAAAACTACTTACGGTAGAAGGACCTCTGTACAGTTGTTCATGATGAGTTGTTTCCCAGTCATGATGATAGCCAGTTGTATACACAATTCAATGAGGCAGCCTCCAGACCCACACTGCAAAAAACAGTATATCTGATCAACACACGAAGCAGATCAACACTCAATGTTCTACCTCTGTAACACACCATATAGCTGATTAATACTCAATGTTCTACCTGTATAACACACCATATAGCTGATTAATACTCAATGTTCTACCTGTATAACACACCATACAGCTGATTAATACTCAATGTTCTACCTGTATAACACACCATACAGCTGATTAATACTCAATGTTCTACCTGTATAACACACCATACAGCTGATTAATACTCAATGTTCTACCTGTATAACACACCATATAGCTGATTAATACTCAATGTTCTACCTGTATAACACACCATACAGCTGATTAATACTCAATGTTCTACCTGTATAACACACCATACAGCTGATTAATACTCAATGTTCTACCTGTATAACACACCATATAGCTGATTAATACTCAATGTTCTACCTGTATAACACACCATATAGCTGATTAATACTCAATGTTCTACCTGTATAACACACCTGTATAACACACCATACAGCTGATTAATACTCAATGTTCTACCTGTATAACACACCATATAGCTGATTAATACTCAATGTCCTACCTCTGTAACATATCATACAGCTGATTAATACTCAATGTTCTACCTGTATAACACACCATATAGCTGATTATCACTAAATGTTCTACCTGTATAACACACCATATAGCTGATTATCACTAAATGTTCTACCTGTATAACACACCATATAGCTGATTATCACTAAATGTTCTACCTGTATAACACACCATACAGCTGTATAACACACCATACAGCTGATTAATACTCAATGTTCTACCTGTATAACACACCATATAGCTGATTATCACTAAATGTTCTACCTGTATAACACACCATACAGCTGATTAATACTCAATGTTCTACCTGTATAACACACCATACAGCTGATTAATACTCAATGTTCTACCTGTATAACACACCATATAGCTGATTATCACTAAATATTCTACCTGTATAACACACCATATAGTTCTAGCTATAGCTGATTATCACTACTCAATATTCTACCTGTATAACACACCATATAGCTGATTATCACTAAATGTTCTACCTGTATAACACACCATATAGCTGATTATCACTAAATGTTCTACCTGTATAACACACCATACAGCTGATTAATACTCAATGTTCTACCTGTATAACACACCATATAGCTGATTATCACTAAATATTCTACCTGTATAACACACCATATAGCTGATTATCACTAAATATTCTACCTGTATAACACACCATATAGCTGATTATCACTAAATGTTCTACCTGTATAACACACCATATAGCTGATTATCACTAAATGTTCTACCTGTATAACACACCATATAGCTGATTATCACTAAATATTCTACCTGTATAACACACCATACAGCTGATTATCACTAAATATTCTACCTGTATAACACACCATACAGCTGATTAATACTCAATGTTCTACCTGTATAACACACCATACAGCTGATTAATACTCAATGTTCTACCTGTATAACACACCATATAGCTGATTATCACTAAATATTCTACCTGTATAACACACCATATAGCTGATTATCACTAAATATTCTACCTGTATAACACACCATATAGCTGATTATCACTAAATATTCTACCTGTATAACACACCATACAGCTGATTATCACTAAATATTCTACCTGTATAACACACCATATAGCTGATTATCACTAAATATTCTACCTGTATAACACACCATATAGCTGATTATCACTAAATATTCTACCTGTATAACACACCATATAGCTGATTATCACTAAATATTCTACCTGTATAACACACCATATAGCTGATTATCACTAAATATTCTACCTGTATAACACACCATATAGCTGATTATCACTAAATATTCTACCTGTATAACACACCATATATTATCACTAAATATTCTACCTGTATAACACACCATACAGCTGATTATCACTAAATATTCTACCTGATTATCACTAAATATTCTACCTGTATAACACACCATATATAGCTGATTATCACTAAATATTCTACCTGTATAATACACCATACAGCTGATTATCACTAAATATTCTACCTGTATAACACACCATACAGCTGATTATCACTAAATATTCTACCTGTATAACACACCATACAGCTGATTATCACTAAATATTCTACCTGTATAACACACCATACAGCTGATTATCACTAAATATTCTACCTGTAGCTTGCAGTAATTTGTGGTAGATAATCATATTAATTGAAACTTAGTATACGCAAGGGATTTTTATACCACTCAAAACAAAATAAACAATGCCAGTTTATAAGCAGGATCACATGATGCATCACAAAGTATATGTAATTTTCTTGCAAAATCAATGATACAAGAATTGTTAATTGAAATATTCCAATATAACTCACCTCCTCCTGACGCCCTCCAAACAGATGATTGTAATTTCCTGGACGGCCAAGGATTCTAGAAGAGATAAAAATCACAGGACCAGCTTAAAGACAATGATCCATGATCACAACATCATTTGTACAGTAAAACAAGAATATTATAATGAACACATATATAGCAATTTCACACTTAGAACAAGTTGAGGTTCGTGTCCCCGGCTGTCTATATTACAGTTTTGTAATACTTATAATAACTTCCCGTGTGGTACAAAGTATCGTAATTAAAAGGTCTGCTACACAACAATACGCATGCTATGCACTAATGCTAATGGACCAAACAATTTGATTTATTTTTGTTTGGTTTATACAAATATTCATCAGTTTGATGAATGATGTATACAAATATTCATCAGTTTGATGAATGATGTATACAAATATTCATCAGTTTGATGAATGATGTATACAAATATTCATCAGTTTGATGAATGATGTATACAAATATTCATCAATTGATGAATGATGTATACAAATATTCATCAGTTTGATGAATGATGTATACAAATATTCATCAGTTTGATGAATGATGTATACAAAATATTCATCAATTGATGAATGATGTATACAAATATTCATCAGTTTGATGAATGATGTATACAAATATTCATCAGTTTGATGAATGATGTATACAAATATTCATCAGTTTGATGAATGATGTATACAAATATTCATCAGTTTGATGAATGATGTATACAAATATTCATCAGTTTGATGAATGATGTAATGTAGTATGAATTACTGGGTATAACAAAATGATTAGTATAGCCCTCTGGGATACATCATTACTGTGTTTTACTGCATATGTTTCGTACCTTTTCTGTTACAAACCATTCTGTTATAATCAGGGAAAGGGGAAGGGAAGTAATACTGAATATTTACCTCAGAGTGTAAGATTGAGTACAGAATTTGTACTTACCTCCCTTTGAAGAAGGCAATGTACACGATGGAAGAGTAATAGTTGACAAACTGGAGGGCAAAAAGCTTGACAGTGATGCTGTCATCATAATCTTTCTGTGTACGGATAGTCTCCTGGTCTGTCAGCCAAAATGCAACCCGGGTATAGATCTAAGAGAAGTAAAACATATAAATATTATCATATTTCTTCAGTGTACAGATAGTTTTCTGGTCTGTCAGCCAGAACACAATCCCTGTTTAGATCTGAGATAAGTAAAAAAGAGAAAAGTGAAAAGAAAGTTGGGTCACATGTCTGACCATGTGGGCTCCCACACGTACTCCATTAAGACCCCAATGTTTACATTCAGGCCACCATGAGTGATTGGTATAAGTTGCATTAACTTGTTTCACAATTATTGTATGATAAATAATGTTTACATTACATTAAACTGAGTTCAGATCAATTTCCTATAATGAGTATGAATCCCATACCATATTGATTATGAATCCAATATTATGATCTCCTTGTGTAAAGTTTGGTCCCATTACCATGTTGTGTACGGACCTCTTACCATGGATAACAGAGCCCTTACCATGTTGAGTACGGACCTCTTACCATGGATAACAGAGCCCTTACCATGTTGAGTGCGGACCCCTTACCATGTTGAGTACAGACCCCTTACCATGTTGAGTATAGACCCCTTACCATGGATAATGGACCCCTTACCATGTTGAGTATAGACCCCTTACCATGTTGAGTATAGACCCATTACCATGGATAACGTACCCCTTACCATGTTGTGTACGGACCCCTTACCATGTTGAGTACGGACCCCTTACCATGGATAACGGACCCCTTATCATGTTGAGTACGGACCCCTTACCGTGTTGAGTACAGACCCCTTACCATGTTGAGTACAGACCACTTACCATGTTGAGTATAGACCCCTTACCATGTTGAGTATGGACCCCTTACCATTTTGAGTACGAACCCCTTACCATGTTGAGTATAGACCCATTACCATGGATAACGTACCCCTTACCATGTTGTGTACGGACCCCTTACCATGTTGAGTATAGACCCCTTACCATGGATAACAGACCCCTTCACATGTTGAGTATGGACCCCTTACCATTTTGAGTACGGACCCCTTACCATGTTGAGTACGGACCCCTTACCATGTTGAGTATAGACCCCTTACCATGGATAACGGACCCCTTACTATGTTGAGTACGGACCCCTTACCATGTTGAGTATAATGATGAACAGCAGGTTGAGACAGGCTGCAGTAATGGTAGTGACCACGCTGGCGTTCTGGTAGATAAGAGCTTTAGTCGTAGCCAGTGTTGAGTTGTCATTACTTGTATTTTCATCTCTGGTAAAAGCCTGGAGAGCAGCTAACAAGGCAACACGATAGGCTATCACTCCTATCACAGCACTGATGGCCAGTAACCCCTGTACATAGAACAGCTGGCCTTACACAAGTCAAATCTACGGGTACTCTTCATGAAATGATATCACATAATTTACACTGTTTATGGTTGTATTCAATCACTATTTACAGGGATGTTGATCTGAGTATATGTTGTCGTGTATATTGACACAATCCTTACAAAATCCACATATAGATATCATTGAAGAGATGATAATAATATAACACTATGGAACATATATAGTTAGGAACATATTAATATTATCACCGTTTTTAAATTAACACATACATGGCTTAAATTCAATGGTTTGTAAAGAAGATACTGTCCACATACCATAAACAACATGACAGAATAGGAGGCCAAGAAAATAGGAAATCTTTTTCTCCAAAACGGCATGTATGGTTCCTTCATCTGAAGTGAGAAATAGATTTACAACAGTAAGTTACAGATAGTGAATATATCTCAAATACCAATCTATAGCAGATTAACTTCCCAAATGTCAATAAAACAAATTTAATTCAGGAATACAAGGCAGCTGTTTCTTAAGTTAGACCTATGTACCATATCTCATCAAGGCTATTTCCTCTAAGTTTGACCTGTGTAATGTCCTATGTACCATATCTCATCAAGGCTATTTCCTCTAAGTTTGACCTGTGTAATGTCCTATGTACCATATCTCATCAAGGCTATTTCCTCTAAGTTTGACCTGTGTAATGTCCTATGTACCATATCTCATCAAGGCTATTTCCTCTAAGTTTGACCTGTGTAATGTCCTATGTACCATATCTCATCAAGGCTATTTCCTCTAAGTTTGACCTGTGTAATGTCCTATGTACCATATCTCATCAAGGCTATTTCCTCTAAGTTTGACCTGTGTAATGTCCTATGTACCATATCTCATCAAGGCTATTTCCTCTAAGTCTGACCTGTGAAATGTGTCGTTCTGTGGTATTTCCTATAAGTCTGACCTGTGTAATGTGTCATTCTGTGGTATTTCCTCTAAGTCTGACCTGTGTAATGTGTCATTCTGTGGTATTTCCTCTAAGTCTGACCTGTGTAATGTGTCATTCTGTGGTATTTCCTCTAAGTCTGACCTGTGTAATGTGTCATTCTGTGGTATTTCCTCTAAGTCTGACCTGTGTAATTTGTCATTCTGTGGTATTTCCTCTAAGTCTGACCTGTGTAATTTGTCATTCTGTGGTATTTCCTCTAAGTCTGACCTGTGTAATTTGTCATTCTGTGGTATTTCCTCTAAGTCTGACCTGTGAAATGTGTCATTCTGTGGTATTTCCTCTAAGTCTGACCTGTGTAATTTGTCATTCTGTGGTATTTCCTCTAAGTCTGACCTGTGAAATGTGTCATTCTGTGGTATTTCCTCTAAGTCTGACCTGTGTAATTTGTCATTCTGTGGTATTTCCTCTAAGTCTGACCTGTGAAATGTGTCGTTCTGTGGTATTTCCTATATGGTCATCTGACTACAAAATCATTCAGCAGGGAAAAGGGTTATTTTTCTACTCTGAATGAAAGCTTACTAAAAAGCTGTTTTCCATGATGCAGATGGTAGTTTTGGTCAGGAGTAAGAAACTGTAACAAGTATTACCCATTTTTTGACAGTAAAGTTGAAACTTTAGAAGAAGTTTGAAACAGTTGTTGCACAGGAAAACCAAATCATGTTACAAAATGGCCTCCCTGGCTGCCATATTGAAGTTTTGACAAGATAGAAAAATAACAACACTTTGTTTGCTACCTTTTCTTATCATTCCCATTAATTTTTAGCTCAATGGCACCAGTAGAACTAGAGAAGAAGCTCAAAATACATTTTTTAAGATGGCAACCATCTTGGATTTCAGACATACCTGAAAAAATAACAACACTTGGTCAGGACCACCTCAGGATCATTTCATGCAAGTTTGAGCTCAATCCCACTCCAGTTTTTTTGGAACTTGAGAAGTTTGAAATGTCAAAAGTTTACGTACGGCGGACGACGACGAACAAAGCATGATGGATATAACCAGCTGATCTGAAGGACTCTCAAGAAAGCCCAACCCATACTAATTATTAGGCAATTTACAACTTAAGATTTATTTATATTTTTTAACAAATTCTTTGTGACCTTACCCCAGTTACTGGATGGATTTTGTAGGTATCACAGTTTGACAGCTTGGCAAGATATTCTGGTCGAGGTGGTTGCTGTAAAAAGAAATATCACCTTTATTTCATCTGGAACATTACACTTCAAATGTCATAATGAACAATTCATTAATTTCACAAAACACAGGTATGGGGTATCTACCAGCACCTACCAGCAAATCTTTACCCATCCAAGTCGAAGATGGAGCAGATTGAAAGATGAGGCTTTGTTTAATTGACTATCCCATGGTGAGGCAGAAGATTTCTACCAGATGTCCCCAATGCCCAATTTGTAAGAAACAATGAAACCTGGGACCATTGCTCTTCTTTTGTAATCAACCGTTTTTGGTTCTCTTATGTCTCCCTTGACACTGACTCACTTTTGGCCTTCAGTTTAATGTTCGCCCTTGTGCAGAAGAATTTGGGTTCTGTCTGTGAGCGAAGATGTACCAAAGTGTTAAAAGAAATGTAGTCACAACTTTCTGCTTAACACTCATCATCTTGATAGTGTAACAATTTGTTCACCCACTCTGCTGGAGGCATTTAGCAGTATACTATTCACCCACTCTGCTGGAGGCATATAGCAGTATACTATTCACCCACTCTGCTGGAGGCATTTAGCAGTATACTATTCACCCACTCTGCTGGAGGCATATAGCAGTATACTATTCACCCACTCTGCTAGAGGCATTTAGCAGTATACTATTCACCCACTCTGCTGGAGGCATTTAGCAGTATACTATTCACCCACTCTGCTAGAGGCATTTAGCAGTATACTATTCACCCACTCTGCTGGAGGCATATAGCAGTATACTATTCACCCACTCTGCTGGAGGCATTTAGCAGTATACTATTCACCCACTCTGCTGGAGGCATATAGCAGTATACTATTCACCCACTCTGCTGGAGGCATATAGCAGTATACTATTCACCCACTCTGCTAGAGGCATTTAGCAGTATACTATTCACCCACTCTGCTGGAGGCATATAGCAGTATACTATTCACCCACTCTGCTGGAGGCATTTAGCAGTATACTATTCACCCACTCTGCTGGAGGCATTTAGCAGTATACTATTCACCCACTCTGCTGGAGGCATTTAGCAGTATACTATTTACCCACTCTCACTATAATGTGACTGAGTGAAGTGTCCTGCTGGTTTCCTTTAGCAGTGCACTTCAGAGAGGTAGCTCTAATAAATTCAACTTCAGTTCCACACAAAGAAATTTACCCAAATTTATTGCAGTGTCCTGAAAGTATGTGCACACAACACATGCACTACCTGGCATACCTTGACCATAGGGCTTTGGACAAATGAAAATCAAACCAAATCCCATAGCAATGGAAGAAACAGTAAACTTCACTCAAGTTTACTTTCAAGATTCCAGTGGTACTAGTCCAGTGTTACCAAAAGCTTGACACAAATGAATCTATCTTACCACAAAACCACCAACATGTTCTGATAACAGTCACACAGCAAATATTGATCTGCTACTAAAATTTCAGTTTTTTGTCAGTTATTGCCAAATCAAGAAAAACTGCCTGTTTTCTTAATATATCCTAGAGTTATAATAAAACTAAATTTGACACAATTTATCACCACAAAAATCAAATTCACAGAGAATGAATCTATTATCTATGCCCATTATAGTCCAAAAAGTGCAGGTCTGAATCACACAAACTTACTTCTTCACGGTGGAAGTCTGTTAGGTCCCATCTATACTGGAGAGTGGCTTCCTTTCGTTTCCAAAACTCCAGAAACAATGTGCCTAAAATATCAGACCAATAAAATAAAAATTTACAGTTTTAAATTACAGAAGATTTGGAAAATGAAATTCATGAAGAAAACATATCTATTTTCACATGAGTGGTGAAACAAATCATTCCAGCTTAAATTAATCAGTGTTCCAGTCAAGATCTTAACAGACACATTCCCTGGACCACAGGATGAAACATTTCTGGCTACAACATTAACAGACACATTCCCTGGATCACAGGATGAAACATTTCTGGCTACAACATTAACAGACACATTCCCTGGACCACAGGATGAAACATTTCTGGCTACAACATTAAAAGACACATTCCCTGGATCACACGATGAAACATTTCTGGTTACAACATTAAAAGACACATTCACTGGACCACACGATGAAACATTTCTGACTACAACATTAACAGACACATTCCCTGGACCACACGTTGAAACATTTCTGATTACAACATTAACAGACACATTCCCTGGACCACACGATGAAACATTTCTGGCTACAACATTAACAGACACATTCCCTGGACCACAGGATGAAACATTTCTGACTACAACATTAACAGACACATTCCCTGGATCACAGGATGAAACATTTCTGGTTACAACATTAACAGACACATTCCCTGGACCACACGATGAAACATTTCCGGTTACAACATTTCTGGCTACAACATTAAAAGACACATTCCCTGGACCACACGATGAAACATTTCTGACTACAACATTAACAGACACATTCCCTGGACCACATGATGAAACATTTCTGGCTACAACATTAACAGACACATTCCCTGGACCACAGGATGAAACATTTCTGGCTACAACATTAACAGACATATTCCCTGGACCACAGGATGAAACATTTCTGGCTACAACATTAACAGACACATTCCCTGGATCACAGGATGAAACATTTCTGGCTACAACATTAACAGACACATTCCCTGGACCACAGGATGAAACATTTCTGACTACAACATTAACAGACACATTCCCTGGACCACAGGATGAAACATTTCTGACTACAACATTAACAGACACATTCCCTGGACCACAGGATGAAACATTTCTGGCTACAACATTAACAGACACATTCCCTGGACCACACGATGAAACATTTCTGGTTACAACATTAACAGACACATTCCCTGGATCACACGATGAAACATTTCTGACTACAACATTAAAAGACATATTCCCTGGACCACACGATGAAACATTTCTGGCTACAACATTAAAAGACACATTCCCTGGACCACAGGATGAAACATTTCTGGCTACAACATTAAAAGACATATTCCCTGGACCACACGATGAAACATTTCTGGCTACAACATTAAAAGACACATTCCCTGGACCACAGGATGAAACATTTCTGGCTACAACATTAACAGACACATTCCCTGGACCACAGGATGAAACATTTCTGGTTACAACATTAACAGTCACATTCCCTGGATCACACGATGAAACATTTCTGACTACAACATTAAAAGACAAATTCCCTGGACCACAGGATGAAACATTTCTGGCTACAACATTAACAGACACATTCCCTGGATCACACGATGAAACATTTCTGACTACAACATTAAAAGACACATTCCCTGGACCACAGGATGAAACATTTCTGGTTACAACATTAACAGACACATTCCCTGGACCACAGGATGAAACATTTCTGGCTACAACATTAACAGACACATTCCCTGGACCACAGGATGAAACATTTCTGGCTACAACATTAACAGACACATTCCCTGGATCACACGATGAAACATTTCTGACTACAACATTAAAAGACACATTCCCTGGACCACAGGATGAAACATTTCTGGCTACAACATTAACAGACACATTCCCTGGACCACACGATGAAACATTTCTGACTACAACATTAAAAGACACATTCCCTGGACCACAGGATGAAAACTTTCTGGCTACAACATTAACAGACACATTCCCTGGACCACAGGATGAAACATTTCTGGCTACAACATTAACAGACACATTCCCTGGACCACAGGATGAAACATTTCTGGCTACAACATTAACAGACACATTCCCTGGATCACACGATGAAACATTTCTGACTACAACATTAAAAGACACATTCCCTGGACCACAGGATGAAACATTTCTGGCTACAACATTAACAGACACATTCCCTGGACCACACGATGAAACATTTCTGACTACAACATTAAAAGACACATTCCCTGGACCACAGGATGAAAACTTTCTGGCTACAACATTAACAGACACATTCCCTGGACCACAGGATGAAACATTTCTGGCTACAACATTAACAGACACATTCCCTGGATCACACGATGAAACATTTCTGACTACAACATTAAAAGACACATTCCCTGGACCACAGGATGAAACATTTCTGACTACAACATTAACAGACACATTCCCTGGACCACAGGATGAAACATTTCTGACTACAACATTAACAGACACATTCACTGGACCACACGATGAAACATTTCTGGCTACAACATTAACAGACACATTCCCTGGACCACACGATGAAACATTTCTGACTACAACATTAACAGGCACATTCCCTGGACCACAGGATGAAACATTTCTGGCTACAACATCTTTAGAAAAAGTGTATTTCATCACAAGTCTCTTACCCCAGAATGCCATGAATATAGCAAAGAAGACCGTCCCTCCATTATCAAAGATACGACTGGCTTTGGCATTAGCACACGTGTCATGGAGATTCCAGTAGGGGCACTGATAGTCACACAATGGACACATGGTGAAATTGTTCTTTTCATCACAAATCTCGACTCTGCAATGATAAATATAGTTGAATTATTTAAACTTAAAAACAATATTATATAAGCACCTTGGATTGACCTCTGTTGTGTTTGATATATCTATACATTGACCTGTGTCATATGTTATAAGTATAGACTGACCTTTGTGATATATTATAACTATAGACTAACCTCTGTGATATATTATAACAACAGATTGACCTCTGTGAGATATTACAACAATAGACTGACCTCTATGATATATCATAACTATAAACTGACCTCTATGATATATTATAACTATAGACTGACCTCTGTGATATGTTATAACTATAGACTGACCTCTATGATATATTATAACTATAGATTGACCTCTGTGAGATATTACAACAATAGACTGACCTCTATGATATATCATAACTATAAACTGACCTCTATGATATGTTATAACTATATACTGACCTCTATGATATATTATAATTATAGATTGACCTCTATGATATATTATAAGTACAGATTGACCTCTATGATATATTATAATTATAGATTGACCTCTATGATATGTTATAACTATATACTGACCTCTGTGATATATTATAATTATAGATTGACCTCTATGATATATTATAATTATAGATTGACCTCTATGATATATTATAATTATAGATTGACCTCTATGATATATTATAATTATAGATTGACCTCTATGATATATTATAACTATAGATTGACCTCTATGATATATTATAATTATAGATTGACCTCTATGATATATTATAAGTACAGATTGACCTCTATGATATATTATAATTATAGATTGACCTCTATGATATATTATAACTATAGATTGACCTCTATGATATATCATAACTATAGATTGACCTCTATGATATATTATAACTATAGATTGACCTCTATGATATATCATAACTATAGATTGACCTCTATGATATATTATAACTATAGATTGACCTCTATGATATATCATAACTATAGATTGACCTCTATGATATATTATAACTATAGATTGACCTCTATGATATATCATAACTATAGATTGACCTCTATGATATATTATAATTATAGATTGACCTCTGTGATATATTATAATTATAGATTGACCTCTATGATATATTATAATTATAGATTGACCTCTATGATATATTATAATTATAGATTGACCTCTATGATATATTATAATTATAGATTGACCTCTGTGATATATTATAAGTACAGATTGACTTACCCTGGATAACTTGAGCCAGAGATTGCACAGCCATATATGAACACGATAAGTCCTACAACAGAGGCTGGAATCAACATCTGGGTGTAGAACCCAAGCCAGGTAAAGTAGATTCCAATCTTTTCACCAAAGTAACTCCTGAAAAACACAAGTATTTATGTACCATTTCAGTTGATGACAATTTGAATGTCATAAAAAAATTAATGGTTAATTTCCTGAAGCAATTTTTAGTCTGATGTTACATCTATACGGCAACAAACCTGACATGATCAAGAGGCTGGAACTTAAAGAAACAGCGTAAGTTAGCCCAGTGGTCATACAGTCGCTTTCTCTCATTCTCAGCAGATCCAGCCTTCCAATGGCCCTGTAACAAGAGTCAGGTAAGTATCAGTTATCATACAAAGATCCAGCCTTCCAATGGCCCTGTTATTAAAGTCAGATAAGTATAAATTATCATACAAACAAGTCAGATAAATATCAATTATCATACAAACAAGTCAGATAAGTATCAGTTATCATACAAACAAGTCAGATAAGTATCAATTATCATACAAACAAGTCAGATAAGTATCAGTTATCATACAAACAAGTCAGATAAGTATCAGTTATCATACACACGAGTCAGATAAGTATCAATTATCATACACACGAGTCAGATAAGTATCAGTTATCATACACACGAGTCAGATAAGTATCAATTATCATACAAACGAGTCAGATAAGTATCAATTATCATACACACGAGTCAGATAAGTATCAATTATCATACACACGAGTCAGATAAGTATCAATTATCATACACACGAGTCAGATAAGTATCAATTATCATACAAACGAGTCAGATAAGTATCAATTATCATACAAACGAGTCAGATAAGTATCAGTTATCATACAAACGAGTCAGATAAGTATCAATTATCATACAAACGAGTCAGATAAGTATCAATTATCATACACACGAGTCAGATAAGTATCAATTATCATACAAACGAGTCAGATAAGTATCAATTATCATACAAACGAGTCAGATAAGTATCAATTTCATAAGTATCATATCATACAAACGAGTCAGATAAGTATCAATTATCATACAAACGAGTCAGATAAGTATCAATTATCATACAAACGAGTCAGATAAATATCAATTATCATACAAACAAGTCAGATAAGTATCAATTATCATACAAACAAGTCAGATAAGTATCAGTTATCATACAAACGAGTCAGATAAGTATCAGTTATCATACACACGAGTCAGATAAGTATCAGTTATCATACACACGAGTCAGATAAGTATCAATTATCATACACACGAGTCAGATAAGTATCAGTTATCACACAAACTATGTAACAACAAAAAATGAATAACATCAGTCTTAACTTATATACAGATCTACATCAAGCAGAGCAAACAAAAAAGTCCTTGTAGCTGGTATCCCTACATGATTACCGTAAGACAAACAACATGTCAGTATTTGGTATATAAGTAGAAACTGTTAGTATTTTGGATTAATGAGATGAATTACCTCATGTAAGGGATAAGCAGCAGTGTAATATTCATCTGCAATCATCTTGTTGATACCTGTAAAACAACAAAATATCTTTTACTGATCTACAAAACTGTCATGTAGATGTATACAGAGCTAACACCTAAGTTATTAGCAGATTTTTTTTTACAGAATTTCAAGATGTCTAGCAGTAAAATCAATGTAATACACCAGATTTCATACAAATTATTAACTCATTCAAACAAAACATCATCAATATAGGCAATTCTTCAATGAGGCAAAAAACTGGAAACAAACAAACACCATGTTCTACAAAATTAAATGAAATAAAAGTGTCAGGAATGACTAAAAACCAGATCTAACATAAACATGTGCTGGTGTATGTGGAATGACTAAAAACCAGATCTAACATAAACATGTGCTGGTGTATGTGGAATGACTAAAAACCAGATCTAACATAAACATGTGCTGGTGTATGTGGAATGACTAAAACCAGGTCTAACATAAACATGTGCTGGTGTATGTGGAATGACTAAAAACCAGATCTAACATAAACATGTGCTGGTGTATGTGGAATGACTAAAAACCAGATCTAACATAAATATGTGCTGGTGTATGTGGAATGACTAAAACCAGGTCTAACATAAACATGTGCTGGTGTATGTGGAATGACTAAAAACCAGATCTAACATAAACATGTGCTGGTGTATGTGGAATGACTAAAAACCAGATCTAACATAAACATGTGCTGGTGTATGTGGAATGACTAAAAACCAGATCTAACATAAACATGTGCTGGTGTATGTGGAATGACTAAAACCAGATCTAACATAAACATGTGCTGGTGTATGTGGAATGACTAAAAACCAGGTCTAACATAAACATGTGCTGGTGTATGTGGAATGACTAAAACCAGGTCTAACATAAACATGTGCTGGTGTATGTGGAATGACTAAAAAACCAGGTCTAACATAAACATGTGCTGGTGTATGTGGAATGACTAAAACCAGATCTAACATAAAGATGTGCTGGTGTATGTGGAATGACTAAAAAACCAGGTCTAACATAAACATGTGCTGGTGTATGTGGAATGACCAAAAACCAGGTATAACATAAACATGTGCTGGTGTATGTGGAATGACTAAAACCAGGTCTAACATAAACATGTGCTGGTGTATGTGGAATGACTAAAAAACCAGGTCTAACATAAACATGTGCTGGTGTATGTGGAATGACTAAAAACCAGATCTAACATAAACATGTGCTGGTGTATGTGGAATGACTAAAAACCAGATCTAACATAAACATGTGCTGGTGTATGTGGAATGACTAAAAACCAGATCTAACATAAACAAGTGCTGGTGTATGTAGAATGACTAAAAACCAGGTCTAACATAAACATGTGCTGGTGTATGTGGAATGACTAAAAACCAGGTCTACCATAAACATGTGCTGGTGTATGTGGAATGACTAAAAACCAGATCTAACATAAACAAGTGCTGGTGTATGTAGAATGACTAAAAACCAGGTCTAACATAAACATGTGCTGGTGTATGTGGAATGACTAAAAACCAGGTCTAACATAAACATGTGCTGGTGTATGTGGAATGACTAAAAAACCAGGTCTAACATAAACATGTGCTGGTGTATGTGGAATGACTAAAAACCAGATCTAACATAAATATGTGCTGGTGTATGTGGAATGACTAAAACCAGGTCTAACATAAACATGTGCTGGTGTATGTGGAATGACTAAAAACCAGATCTAACATAAACATGTGCTGGTGTATGTGGAATGACTAAAAAACCAGGTCTAACATAAACATGTGCTGGTGTATGTGGAATGACTAAAAACCAGATCTAACATAAACATGTGCTGGTGTATGTGGAATGACTAAAACCAGGTCTAACATAAACATGTGCTGGTGTATGTAGAATGACTAAAAACCAGATCTAACATAAACATGTGCTGGTGTATGTGGAATGACTAAAAATCAGGTCTAATATAAACATGTGCTGAGGTCTGTGGAATGATGTAAAAAAAGTTAAACTTCTATTACTGAAGCCATGATGTGACCAGATAAAAGTACTCACCAAATGCATACTCTTGGTTTTTATCGTCTGAAAACGCCTTCCTTCTCAGGATGAAATTAACAATACGACTTCGATCCACCACAGAGAATAAAGATTCACGGTCTTCAGGAAAATCATATCTGAAGTTTTAACAAAAGACCTTATTCAAATAGTAAGATCTGAGTACATTGTATGAAGATACATGTCCTTCAGTTCAGGGTGGAGAATATAATCATTGTCTGATACCAGGAATATGTGTATGAAATACAACAAAATCAAAATTGGCCTTGTCATATTCTGAAAGATGTCCATGGTAATAGAGCTGTTATCTAAAGTCAACTTGGTGCCTTGACACCTTCATAACAATTGTCAAAATCATTGTATTGTTATAATTCATTTGTCCTAGAGTACAGAGTTATAATTACACTTACTAGTATTCTTTTGTCCTAGAGTACAGAGTTATAATTACACCCACTAGTATTCCTTGGTCCTAGAGTACAGAGTTATAATTACACTTACTAGTATTCCTTTGTCCTAGAGTACAGAGTTATAATTACACTTACTAGTATTCCTTGGTCCTAGAGTACAGAGTTATAATTACACTTACTAGTATTCATTGGTCCTAGAGTACAGAGTTATAATTACACTTACTAGTATTCCTTTGTCCTAGAGTACAGAGTTATAATTACACTTACTAGTATTCCTTTGTCCTAGAGTACAGAGTTATAATTACACTTACTAGTATTCCTTTGTCCTAGAGTACAGAGTTATAATTACACTTACTAGTATTCCTTTGTCCTAGAGTACAGAGTTATAATTACACTTACTAGTATTCCTTTGTCCTAGAGTACAGAGTTATAATTACACTTACTAGTATTCCTTTGTCCTAGAGTACAGAGTTATAATTACACTTACTAGTATTCCTTTGTCCTAGAGTACAGAGTTATAATTACACTTACTAGTATTCCTTTGTCCTAGAGTACAGAGTTATAATTACACTTACTAGTATTCCTTTGTCCTAGAGTACAGAGTTATAATTACACTTACTAGTATTCCTTGGTCCTAGAGTACAGAGTTATAATTACACTTACTAGTATTCCTTGGTCCTAGAGTACAGAGTTATAATTACACTTACTAGTATTCCTTTGTCCTAGAGTACAGAGTTATAATTACACTTACTAGTATTCCTTTGTCCTAGAGTACAGAGTTATAATTAGGCTTACAATTATATACAAGTATTCCTTGGTCCTAAAGGTACATACAAGTATTCCTAGGTCCTAAAGGTACTTACAAGTATTCCTAGGTCCTAGAGTACAGAGTTATAATTACACTTACTAGTATTCCTTGGTCCTAGAGTACAGAGTTATAATTACACTTACTAGTATTCCTTTGTCCTAGAGTACAGAGTTATAATTACACTTACTAGTATTCCTTGGTCCTAGAGTACAGAGTTATAATTACACTTACTAGTATTCCTTTGTCCTAGAGTACAGAGTTATAATTACACTTACTAGTATTCCTTTGTCCTAGAGTACAGAGTTATAATTACACTTACTAGTATTCCTTTGTCCTAGAGTACAGAGTTATAATTACACTTACTAGTATTCCTTTGTCCTAGAGTACAGAGTTATAATTAGGCTTACAATTATATACAAGTATTCCTTGGTCCTAAAGGTACATACAAGTATTCCTAGGTCCTAGAGTACAGAGTTATAATTACACTTACTAGTATTCCTTTGTCCTAGAGTACAGAGTTATAATTACACTTACTAGTATTCCTTGGTCCTAGAGTACAGAGTTATAATTACACTTACTAGTATTCCTTGGTCCTAGAGTACAGAGTTATAATTACACTTACTAGTATTCCTTGGTCCTAGAGTACAGAGTTATAATTACACTTACTAGTATACCTTGGTCCTAGAGTACAGAGTTATAATTACACTTACTAGTATTCCTTTGTCCTAGAGTACAGAGTTATAATTACACTTACTAGTATTCCTTTGTCCTAGAGTACAGAGTTATAATTAGGCTTACAATTATATACAAGTATTCCTTGGTCCTAAAGGTACATACAAGTATTCCTAGGTCCTAAAGGTACTTACAAGTATTCCTAGGTCCTAAAGGTACTTACAAGTATTCTATGGTCCTAAAGGTACTTACACATATTCCTAGGTCCTAAAGGTACATACAATTATTCTATGGCCCTAAAGGTACTAACAAGTATTCTATGGTCCTAAAGGTACTTACAAGTATTCTATGATCCTAAAGGTACTTACAAGTATTCTATGGTCCTAAAGGTACTTACAAGTATTCTATGGCCCTAAAGGTACTTACACGTATTCCTAGGTCCTAAAGGTACTAACAAGTATTCTATGGTCCTAAAGGTACTTACAAGTATTCTATGATCCTAAAGGTACTAACAAGTATTCTATGGTCCTAAAGGTACATACAAGTATTCCTAGGCCCTAAAGGTACTTACACGTATTCCTAGGTCCGTAAGATACTTACAAGTATTCTATGGTCCTAAAGGTACATACAAGTATTCTATGATCCTAAAGGTACTAACAAGTATTCTATGGCCCTAAAGGTACTTACACATATTCCTAGGTCCTAAAGGTACTTACAAGTATTCTATGGTCCTAAAGGTACTTACAAGTATTCTTTGGTCCTTGAGTAGGGTAAGGTAAATCTCCTGGGTATGGGGGGCATAACCTCCTTGTCCAATTCAAACGGAGCAAACAACTTCTTCACCATGCCAGTTAAGGTAGCCCAGAGTCTGGCACTCATTGCTTTCATGGGATTCTAGTTAGGAAAGAGAAGTCTGTATTTAAATCAATGTAAAAAGTACAGTGAACAGGTGTTCATAATTATAAAACACTATTTAGGTTTATCAATGTCAATCAATTAACATTCAAAATTTCACTTAACAAATTAATAAATCCACTGAAGTCTTTTTTGTTTATATATCCATAGTTCATACAAAATGAAACTTTTATCTTGTCTTTCAAGTTAACAATTAACATTTTGGTATAATTTAGTCTCATTTTCTTACATGATGAAACATTTATTTTTCCTGCGAAATACAGTCTAAAAATTCACAGAGAGCGAGAGAACCACATCATTGAATGGAAAGACTCCTATAACGAAGTGATATCCTGAACGACTGTAGTTTACACAGCTTGTGTATAGAGAATCATTGTTAATGTAGCTGAAGTGTTGTTTATTTCCAATTGTTTAAAGGAAGGAAAGATAATAGAGAAAACAAAGGGATTGAGCTATGTGAACACTGAAAACCCGGGAACATGCCACTCAGGTGACACAACTTAAGCTGGGCAGGAGGAAACATCCAAATCAGATACATCACTAGCAAACTAAAACTCAATCATCTTTCAACTCCAAATTTCTTATGTAAAGCAACATTTCATGTTCAGCCAGATTCCTCATTCACAGACTATAACCATCACCACTTACTCTTGGAATGAAGTCCTCAATTCTCATCACATTTCCTTTATAAATTATTTTTGTCATCATTCTCTGTACTTAAGTCTTATCTTAAACAATCAAACAAGCTAAGAATATATGTTTTACAGTTATGAGTGTTTTAATAAACCATTCAAAATTTCTTTTGATCCTTCAGAAAGTGTATTATCTTTCCAGTAAATAACTACATTTTGAAAACAGACATACATCTACAGTTGCGTTGAGAACTAATTATGAAATAAGAATGAAATTTTAAAAGAAACACTGACAAGAATACAGACTAGGTAGTTCTGACTGAATAGTTCACATCTTCAGCTGTTACTTAATCTCTAACCATTACAACTTTTATCAAATAAAGAAAAATGTTTATCATTAAAGCTACCTATTACTCCATTCAAAATCATGCTAAACCATGTGAATTCCTACAAGTCTGTATGACATTTAGTGTTGTCAGTGGTAACTCTGGGTTTATTGACATGCTAAACATTTGTTTCCATTATAAACAAAATTGAAGATAATCAAAATAGGACAAGTTGTAATGTTTTATATCACCAGATAAAAAATTACTTTCCTATAAGTCTGGCAAACAGCAGACAGATTACCCCGTTTTTATCTCCAAACTATCATATATGACCGACAACTTTTACATATAACTATGTGAAGGGAGGTAATCCAATATGGCAGACGCAGAACTCTGGAATGATAACCCAAAGAATGGCATGTTCTTGCGTATAATGCGCACCCCCTTTTTGACACGATAGTTTTAGCTTAAAAAAGTGCACACTATACGCAGAAATTTACGGTAATTAATGCTCCTGCTGTAAATACCACAACCAGGAAACTACTTTTTCTCTTATAAAGTTATCACAATGTTCAACATAACCTATAGTAATATGTACACAAAGACTTGCAGGAATTCTCATCCAATGATCAGGCAACGACAAAATCATAACATGTCTAATATCACAGGTTTGTACAACATTTACCAAGGAAAGGATGGCTACATAACATGGGGTTTCACTGAACAGTCAAATATAGCACAACACCGGTGATATCACAGGCTAATATACCATACAGAAACAAAAACATGTTAATTGCTGGTAATTTGGTATCAAATTTATAAGAATTACTTATGGTTCTCTATACTCAGGTCTAATCACATGGTACAGGAGTATATTGGCCCAGTGATGTCACTTTCTGTTTAATACACAATGCTGGAACAAAAGCATGATAAGTGTTGGCATCAGGTAATCTGAACACTGAGGACACAATTCCAACATGCATGACAACTTAAGTCCACTGTGTCAACTGTAAAGCCTAAATCCAAAAAAGCTAACGTAAAAGTGCCCTGATCATACCAAGAACTGGTCAAAAGCAGACTCCTCGCCCTTATGATAAACTTCCTAAAACAAGCAAAGAGGAGTGAGAGATAACAAAGAACATTGTTAAACAGAGCTGTACCATAACCTGTACTACCAAGGTGTATCCTTTCCAAGAATTCTTCAACGTTTACATCAGTTATACAAATTTACACCTATAGAGTGACAACTTGAAGAAAGAATGGGTTTAGAATCAACACCAACAGTTTTCCCATTGCGGGTGTTTCTAATCTAGGGCTACAATTAACTGATAATTGAGAGGGAATAATTTCAGTGTGTTATTTTCATTAAATTGGACCTCATTTGTACAGAACGTACAGATATTGATGGAAGAGGATACTTATTGGTAGGAATCATGTACCATTAGAATACTTTTCAGAGAGAGGACACAGAAATATGGAATCAAGTACTATGAGAATATTTTTCAGAGATAGGGAGCAGGTTTTTCAAGGAATCATGTACCATGGGAATATTTTTCAGAGAGAGAACACAGAAATATCTACGTGAAAGAATCACCATTGTCATATTCTTCAGTTACTAGAGTGGAATCATCAAAGCAGCAAATCAACATAAATAAGCACATTTTAAAAAGACTGTCAGCCAAAAACCAAGGAAAACCCAAATCCAAAATGGCTACTGAACATGTTCAATTAAGAACTTGAGTTGATAACTGATTTCTCCTCCATTCTAACAATAAAGGAGCATGTACCTGCTGCTTTGTAAGAAACATTTACCATCGAGAAATAAAGACGTAAATAAATAAACTTACACATGTTAATTAAAAAGATTGGTTTTAACATTTCGTTAATTGCATCAACTTACATTCGTTATTCTACCTTGTGCAGACTCACACTAAAAAACAGCAATGTGCTTGGTTACAATGATCAGTAAGACTTCTATACATACACACCACTTTCATAATGATACAGGTATTGGCAGGGTCAAAAAGTCCCAACAACTTCTCCATGTACAAATATGGAATCAAAGCTTTTTGCTCCCATAAAGATGATTGATTTGTTGTTGATCTTCAGGTCAATAATAAAACTATATAATAATGATTTTTTAATTTTTTTTTTCTCATTTTCTACTTTTCTAAAATATACATAACAACCACAAGGATCAACTTTATCATAAACTATGTGTAAAGTTTGCCAAAATGACAAAACATTTCCATTGCTACATGAAGAAATTGTGAGACGCTTGGTCTAAAACTTTCAAACAAGAATCTCACCCATTCTCCTGTCCAAGAATTATATAATTGCTACAGACAGAAACAGAACGAGTCACTCTAGGCAGTAGGAACACAATGTATATAGTTAAATGTTAAAATACAGAAACCAACACTAATACCAGGAAAACTAGCTATATACCTGATCCTGTGTGTAAGAAAAGAAAATCAATCTTGATAAATTTACAATTACAAATATTTACATCAAAAATGCTCAAAATGTATATATGATATAGTTAATGATATAAATATTGATCTGCTGATTGGAAAGGATAGGGAAATCTTATCAATACAATATAAATACAGAAATATATCATATGTTGGGAAAAGATGTTTCACCAGTCTATATCACAATGGCTGACAGGGGGAATGAGATATATTTCACCAGTCTATATCACAGTGGCTGACAGGAGGGAATGAGATATATTTCACCAGTCTATATCACAGTGGCTGACCGGGGGGAATGAGATATATTTCACCAGTCTATATCACAGTGGCTGACAGGGGGAATGAGATATATTTCACCAGTCTATATCATAATGGCTGACCGGAGGGAATGAGATATATTTCACCAGTCTATATTACAGTGGCTGACAAGGGGGAATGAGATATATTTCACCAGTCTATATCACAGTGGCTAACAGGGGGGAATGAGATATATTTCACCAGTCTATATCACAGTGGTTGACAGGGGGGAATGAGATACATTTCACCAGTCTATATCATAATGGCTGACTGGGGGGAATGAGATATATTTCATCAGTCTATATCATAATGGCTGACCGGGGGAATGAGATATATTTCACCAGTCTATATTACAGTGGCTGACAGGGGGGAATGAGATATATTTCACCAGTCTATATCACAGTGGCTGACAGGGGGGAATGAGATATATTTCACCGGTCTATATCACAGTGGCTGACAGGGGAAATAAGATATATTTCACCAGTCTATATCATAATGGCTGACCGGGGGGAATGAGATATATTTCACCAGTCTATATCACAGTGGCTGACAGGGGGGAATGAGATATATTTCACCAGTCTATATCACAGTGGCTGACAAGGGGGAATGAGATATATTTCACCAGTCTATATTACAGTGGCTGACAGGGGGGAATGAGATATATTTCACCAGTCTATATTACAGTGGCTGACAAGGGGGAATGAGATATATTTCACCAGTCTATATCACAGTGGCTGACAAGGGGGAATGAGATATATATATACACCAGTCTATATCACAGTGGCTGACAAGGGGGAATGAGATATATTTCACCAGTCTATATCACAGTGGCTGACAAGGGGGAATGAGATATATTTCACCAGTCTATATCACAGTGGCTGACAAGGGGGAATGAGATATATTTCACCAGTCTATATTACAGTGGCTGACAAGGGGGAATGAGATATATTTCACCAGTCTATATCACAGTGGCTGACAAGGGGGAATGAGATATATTTCACCAGTCTATATCACAGTGGCTGACAAGGGGGAATGAGATATATTTCACCAGTCTATATTACAGTGGCTGACAAGGGGGAATGAGATATATTTCACCAGTCTATATCACAGTGGCTGACAGGGGGAATGAGATATATATATATATATCTGATGTAAATTAATATGGATTTTGAGAAGGAAACATACATTACTTAAGTAACTAACAAATGTGTTGTTAACTGAAATTCACTTTTGCATTGATCTTTCAAAAATTAATTAATGGATCAATGTGTTGTTGTGATGAAATTTAAGAAGAAGATAACAAAATCAGGAACAGAGAATAAAATATCAAAACCACCCTCAACTATAACACTTATCTGAAGATTAAACATTTAGGCAGCATCAGAGTCTCAGAAGTTCCAACACCTACTAAATACAAAACTACAGCTGAAAAAAAAAAGAAAAAGTTTGGAAACCATTCTACACATTAAACTTCACTTTGACAGATGTTGTCTTCTAAAATATTACATTATTATATAAAATCACTTTTTACATTTTATTAAAGAAAACAACTTTTATTTGTTTTATGTTAACTAGTTATTCTATTTTATTGGCTACAATGACATGTACCAACCACTGAGATTAGGCTTTACTGATGGTCTGTATGGGTCTGTATCTTAAACAGTGTTATAATCAGGTGGTTGTTTGGTATTAGTAAGACATGTACCAACCACTGAGATTAGGCTTTACTGATGGTCTGTATGGGTCTGTATCTTAAACAGTGTTATAATCAGGTGGTTGTTTGGTATTAGTAAGACATGTACCAACCACTGAGATAAGGCTTTACTGATGGTCTGTATGGGTCTGTATCTTAAACAGTGTTATAATCAGGTGGTTGTTTGGTATTAGTAAGACATGTACCAACCACTGAGATTAGGCTTTACTGATGGTCTGTATGGGTCTGTATCTTAAACAGTGTTATAATCAGGTGGTTGTTTGGTATTAGTAAGACATGTACCAACCACTGAGATTAGGCTTTACTGATGGTCTGTATGGGTCTGTATCTTAAACAGTGTTATAATCAGGTGGTTGTTTGGTATTAGTAAGACATGTACCAACCACTGAGATAAGGCTTTACTATGGTCTGTATGGTCTGTATGGTCTGTATCTTAAACAGTGTTATAATCAGGTGGTTGTTTGGTATTAGTAAGACATGTACCAACCACTGAGATTAGGCTTTACTGATGGTCTGTATGGGTCTGTATCTTAAACAGTGTTATAATCAGGTGGTTGTTTGGTATTAGTAAGACATGTACCAACCACTGAGATTAGGCTTTACTGATGGTCTGTATGGGTCTGTATCTTAAACAGTGTTATAATCAGGTGGTTGTTTGGTATTAGTAAGACATGTACCAACCACTGAGATTAGGCTTTACTGATGGTCTGTATGGGTCTGTATCTTAAACAGTGTTATAATCAGGTGGTTGTTTGGTATTAGTAAGACATGTACCAACCACTGAGATTAGGCTTTACTGATGGTCTGTATGGGTCTGTATCTTAAACAGTGTTATAATCAGGTGGTTGTTTGGTATTAGTAAGACATGTACCAACCACTGAGATTAGGCTTTACTGATGGTCTGTATGGGTCTGTATCTTAAACAGTGTTATAATCAGGTGGTTGTTTGGTATTAGTAAGACATGTACCAACCACTGAGATTAGGCTTTACTGATGGTCTGTATGGGTCTGTATCTTAAACAGTGTTATAATCAGGTGGTTGTTTGGTATTAGTAAGACATGTACCAACCACTGAGATAAGGCTTTACTGATGGTCTGTATGGGTCTGTATCTTAAACAGTGTTATAATCAGGTGGTTGTTTGGTATTAGTAAGACATGTACCAACCACTGAGATCAGGCTTTACTGATGGTCTGTATGGGTCTGTATCTTAAACAGTGTTATAATCAGGTGGTTGTTTGGTATTAGTAAGACATGTACCAACCACTGAGATTAGGCTTTACTGATGGTCTGTATGGGTCTGTATCTTAAACAGTGTTATAATCAGGAGGTTCTTTAGTATTAAGTGATAAGACAATTATTAACCACTACCAGCAGGCTTTACTGAAAGATAAAGATATTCCTAATATGTTGGTTGTTTGGTTACTATATGACCACTACTAAAGATAATTACCGGTATTGACAGGGCTATATTACTTAAACTACCTAGAGAAAATTCTAGCAAGCATGTTAGTAATACAGGGCATAAAGAAGATGTATACTTATGTACAAGCAAGGCAAATAGCTAACCTCAAGCTTTGCATACTTCTTCTGTATGTTGGTCAACACCAGTGACTGCATATGACGTCCAAAGGAAAGCATGGGTAAAAAGTAAACTTGTTAATTTTAATACATCATGTGTAGGTTATATCCTTCATCATTTGGGAAACAAAGATTTTTCAGCATTTTAATTTCTGTTCCAAAGTGCCATCATTTACAGTTAAAAAGAAAATAAAGTAACAAAACATTGACACCAGTTGTTGGTGAGTACCAACAAGGGGAGGTAATTAGATATAATGTGTTCCTAGTTCCTGTGCTTTTCAGTTACTTTTCTTTATTTCATTTGACTGCATGCATATACAATGTCATACAGAGTCCTGACTGCTTGTACATAAAATATAAGATTTTTCCCATATTTCAAGATTTTGATTTTCCTTAAATGAAAACCATTCCAGTGACATTTTTACTGAAACCCTCGATCAAAAATAGATTTACACTGACTAGTGTATGATACATTTTTCAGATATAAGGAATCCATATTGATATCAGGATACAGAAATTAAAATCTGATAAACCATGTGACAAATCCCAAATGCTTGTGCAAATATCGTGTGATAACATTTATAAATTATAATACAGTAACTCACCGGAAAATATATCATTGTCATTGTGTACTAATGTATGTTAGTAAACAGGTACATGTATATGACAAACACTTTTTGAACAAAAGATTTTTAAAATCTTTTTGAAGAATCAAATAGCATTTTATGTAAACACTTCAAAGGAACTATATATTTAGATTTTACCGACTGAAAATATTGTCAAAAGATTTGCCATATCAACATATCCCATTATAGTGCACTTTCTTCACTCTCCATATACAGCTTTGGCCATGTGAGTGATGTGACTTGAGAACCAGTATAATACAGTTATCTCCCTTCTCTGACACAGTACAAAGTAATAATCTCCCTTTAATGATGTTGGTTTTGCATTCTGGTCCATGTGATATTCAATTTTCTGATGTTCTCATTTTGATCTAATAATCACTTGATATTGAGCAATAGTATCTGTCCCATGGTTTGATTTGTTGAAATCTGCATTGATAAGTCTGTGAAGTTTTGTAAGACAGCTCTGACATGGCCTCAATCCTGTTGGGAGAATCAGACCAAACCACATATACTGCAGACTAATGTGTATTGAGTGTGAAAGTGTTCATGTATTAACCTTAATACATTGTACTGGTTCCCAATAACATCCATCCACTGTGGCTCACTTCTTATATCACATCTAACTACAGCTACATACCACTGGAAGCGTACCTTCAGATTTACCGTTATTTCCGCAAACTTTCTTTTGAATTTGAAACGCTTCAAACGTAAGTTCACAAGAAAAATGAAATATTGATTGGTTTGAACTTTTTTCTCATCCTTGAAAAGGAAAAAAAAAATGTGGTCTATTTTTCAATATGTAGTCTGGTTAGCTGTTGTAGTGACTATGACAAAATCTGACATTATTGAAACATTACAACTATTGTCATACATTTACAGGAGATAAATCAATATATTATAGGCATGCTATATGATTAGAATAATACCAATAATGTACATTATAACAATATTACCAGCGTTGTGTTTCAGATGCTATCATAAAACCACAATATTTGTCAGTTTAGCTGAAAGCACCACATTAGTGGGAATATATCTTATGATAGGATATATGATAAGCTCCTCCTATACAGGCATCATACACTCTGTGACCTTGTACTGACCTCCCTATGCTAAAGCACTTCATCATAAGTAAACCTCACGTTTAATGAATCCTCAAACAGACAGACAGAAGTACATACTGTCCTTCATCAATATTGAGATTTACTCTATAATTGTTGTCATTAATTGTATTTATTCTCCAATAACTTTAACAAAACAGAAATTGAAAGTAATCCTTAACTGTCTTATGCCTATAGTGACTCATCATTTAAGTTATCATTAAGTTTCAAGCTTCTACGTCAAAAACTCTTGGAGTTGATTCTACAAAACTGGTACCCCTTTTCCCCACCCGCCCGGCCAGCCGCCTGCCCGACATTCACCATACTATAACCCTGATTTGCACTATGTGCAACCCAGCCAATTAAGATTGATTTTTTTAAAACTCTTTGTACCAAGTACTTTAAATTGTACATAACAAGAACAAAACTCTTGCTAAGACTGTGTACTGATACTGCAGCTTGGCCACCAGTAACACAATGTCAGCACCTGTGCTATAATGTTATTAGTAAGATATGATCATGCAGTATCCTGTCCCAGTATAACTATGTAAATATCATGCATGTTTTAGTAGGAAGGGACCTTCTTCCCAAGGAATTCTAATCATTATTTAGTGAGTATATGAATCAGTCCCCATTCCCATGTACCTTCGTGTGATCTTGTCTGGATTCTTATCAAAGACAATTCATCTTTTTTCTAGCTTTTCAAATAAGTGTTAAATACTTGGAGTATAAGTTGTAATAGCCTAAAGGAAATAACTCTCTCATAAATCTAAACTGGAGCTTTTTAATTTAATCAATTCAACAGCATGAGAAGACAAACCTTTCACATCTTACAGATGTGGTTTAACAGAATCATAATATTAAGTCTATACTATGAAGAAGTCTTGAAATGAGCACATATATTAACCTTTTTAACTGGCACTTTGACCTTGAGGATCTCAGCGTATCTGGTCAGCACTTCCCATGGTATGTGAACCTTCACATATTTTGCCTCGCCTTCCCTCTGTAACACAAATGTAACCACATGTGTTATCAATCAGTTAAAGTACCAATTAGTAAACAGTCCTTCATCAGTTTGATGAAATTGTAACCTAGCTATAACAACACAGTCCTTCATCAATTTGATGAAATTGTAGACTAGTTACAACAACACAGTCCTTCATCAGTTTGATGAAATTGTAACCTAGTTATAACAACACAGTCCTTCATCAGTTTGATGAAATCGTGGCCTAGATATGACAAAACAATCCTTCATCAGTTTAATGAAATTGTGGCCTAGTTATGACACTTTGTAGCCTAGTTATGACACTTTGTAGCCTAGTTATGATAATCTGTGGCCTAGCTATGACACATTGTAGCCTAGTTATGATAATCTTTGGCCTAGCTATGACACTTTGTAGCCTAGTTATGATAATCTTTGGCCTAGTTATGACACATTGTAGCCTAGTTATGATAATCTTTGGCCTAGCTATGACACTTTGTAGCCTAGTTATGATAATCTGTGGCCTAGCTATGACACTTTGTGGCCTATTTATGATAATCTGTGGCCTAGTTATGACAATTTGTAGCCTAGTTATGATAATCCGTGGCCTAGTTATGACAATTTTTGACAAATTTTGTAAATAAATGAGTAATTTAATCAGTTTGCTTTAGTTTTGTAAATAAAGCTGTCAGTGTATATGTTCATCTATGCCTAAAAGAGCACTACCTATCTCAAATCCAATAAGACAATCTTCCAAATCGATCCTCTAATCAGGCTTATAAAACATGATACTTTACACCTTTTAAATCTAATTGATGATACTATCCTTTAAAACACAAATTTTTAATTCTGTAAAAGTGCTTTTTCCATCACCTGATCATACTCCAGTAGGAGCCCCTCAGAGACTAGGTTTCGTTCAAACACTTCCCGAGCTAGACGTGCCTCTTCCACTTCTTCTGCCTTTCCATCTTCATCCACCACATATGCTAGGATGTAGTCAATGCGACGGCGCCCATCTTTGAAAAACAATTTTCGACCCTAAAAGAACAAAACAGTAAACTGAAGTCAAATGCAATCTGGAAGCATACATACCTATACAGTAACATTGATTTTTACGTTCAGTTATTAATAATCCAATAATCAACATTATCCACTTACACATTGCTACATAACCTCTAAATGGACTTGATTCTAAGGAACTATTTTCATGAAAGAAATTTTCACTATGAGCAGGTGACAATATCAGATCCAATATTCAAAAAATTTTCAAATTGTTCATCATCTTAAAAATCAAAATATGCAATTAACAAAATGATAGTTTTGTGAAAAAGCAAATTTAGTTTAAACACAAATATCTATTCACTGTTAGATAAAAATGTTACCTTGACAAAGACAGGTAAATGTAACTAAAGGTAGTAACAGGTACTGGCAGGGATGAGGAATGAAGCAGTGTTGTTGTTTGGTAAGACTAATCAGCATTGTGAACTTGTTACTTGTCTACTACACTGTAGCTAAACATCCGACACTCTACTCAATATATTACTCATGAATTATACAAAATATTTCTAGATTTTACATGTAATATCTAATATATTCTATCTAGGAAGTGAGTTTCTTAACCATTAAAATCCCTGAGTAAGGATTTCATGGTTATCATTACAGATTTCTTACTTGTAGATAAATTGCATCTTACTGAATTTTAAAATGTATGATTCTTTTAGTGAATTTTGAACCAGAACAACTTCAGCACTACACTTCACAAAGTACAGTACACATACAAATACATAGATATGTCATTGATATCACAAATCTATTACATTTACCAAACCCTTAAAATGTTAGAATAGATCAAAACTCAATACTTTATCTCTTAGTCTAGTAAGATTCTTGAGATTAGGAAAAGATTCTAATGACAGTTAAAAATTAAGAAGATCCCTCTTTCAAACTAATTGCAGTGTCATCAATAAGTGAAAGCAAGAGAAAGATTTTATTGACGGTGAAAATAGACTGGTATCTGATGTGCATGTATCTGTATAACAGTACATGTACCTAAAGAATACTTGTGCTGTTTTAGATTGAAAGCAAAAATCCAAAGCCATCTAAAAGGAACTTTCAAAAACACTGTGTATACTGTATCTTACCTTAACGTCGACAGGTCGCTTCAAACGACAAGTATAAAGCTACAGTGACTGATACTAAACCAATTATACCATGACCTTTTAATGTTTAAATATGGTCATATCAAATAATAAAATCTCTACAAATAAGGTAACAGGTACAGGTATTGCTTGTCAGTAACATATAGTAAACCGCCGTTATTAGCTGACACCGACAACCACAACCAAAACCAGCATAGTCATAGTCCCATAATATATATCCACCACTGAGTAATCAGCTGTTAGATCTGTAGGACTATTTCTGTGTCATCAAAGGTTCCACACCTAGTGGGATAACCTGGGCATTAGTTTATCTGGGACAGTCAAGACACTTACACTAAATGAGGGTTGGGGTTGGGGGTAGTGGGGGTAGTAGGAGTGGGGGTGGGGAGAAACAGTGATGCAAAGTTGTCATAGGATCCAAGGATCATCATAATTGGTATTGATATTTGCACTAAGACTACCATATGTATTTTTATACTCTCATACATGGTAGTGACATTTCAGTATTACAGAATGGTGTACATGTATCCCTGTATGTATTTTTATACTCTCATACATGGTAGTGACATTTCAGTATTACAGAATGGTGTACATGTATCCCCGTATGTATTTTTATACTCTCATACATGGTAGTGACATGTCAGTATTACAGAATGATGTACATGTATCTGATAGACTTTAACTTGTCCCAGTTTTCTATTAATTGATTAATATAACCTAGACAGACCATGTGATGATATCTGTACCGAAGGTAGGAGGTCTGAAACAAAACATTTTATGAGTGTGTTTGTACTTGCAACATACCACACCCTTTCTTTTACTGACAGTTAAAGCATTGTAGTCTGCTTATGGTTGTGAATATTTAGACATACTGGAATACTGGATCCCTGAAGAAAGATGTAGGGAATAACTAGCATGCATTTCAGAAAGAGAGAACACCTAGCGGTATATAACAAAACATTTACATATCAAGTTACCATGGAGATACACTTATTTGTTTCATAAAAATATACAAATTTACTTTATATCTTATGCCAAACAAAAGTTACAAACATTTGATTGAAAAAAAAACAGTATCACATTTTCTTAACCTTTATCATGAATCATAACAACAAATATCAAATTTTCTCTTTGATGGACATAATTAACTTTTTATTACACATTAATACCGCCAATCAGAAAATCCATGCAGTAGAACTTTTTGGTAGTAAGACTTGGGATGAACCACAGGTGATGAAAACAAATAGAGTGTATTGTCAGAGTTTACAGATTTGGACATGCACATGATGCATACAATTTAAATGATGCACTACTCAGCACTAACTTTACCTTAACATCTGGATCTTGTACATCTTGCTGTTGATTACAATTAAAACAAGCTTCACAACACCGACACATATTTCTACATGAACTTGACAAGACTTAAACAACATTACACTGGACTATTTTCGTACATCAATATCAGGATCCATCTAATATCAATAACTATAAAATAGCCTCTATGTTTCTATGACAACAAGAAAGTGAAAGACACACAACAATAACATATCTATACAATTACAGCTCATCACAATCTATCATTCTTATCTACCTTGGCATGCTTTAAACAACTTAAAAAACCTACAATACAATCTCATCATGCATTATGATAAATATATCAATGCAAATTTAAAACTGATTGATGTTGACTGTAATGTCTAGTGCTATGTAATAATGTAAACAGAGTGTGTTTCTTTTAACCCTTACCTGTACACTTCTATCTTGTGTATCTGCGTCACCATCCTCGTGGTCATCATCTCTGTCCCCCCCAGTACCATTGGGACTGACCTCTGAAGGCTTTCCCTGGTCTGATCCATCCTTAACAGCTACTGTTATATCATCAAGGTCATCTGTAGTATAAAAAAGGAAACAAGATGTATAAAAGCAGGTTTAAGACTTAGACAAAGCCAGGATCTTTTCTATATACTGACCAAACATGTGGTACTCTACAGATGAAAGGCCAAACATTTTTCACTATTCTCACTGCACTTTACCCCTGGGATTTATCTGTCCTGATTAAAGTCTGTATCATATACTACTATCATATTTAATGAAGGAGAACTGTCCTCAGAGTTATCATATGTCTGATCTAAGTCTTCCTGTACACCTATACACCTACTATATTGGTGCATATGTCTGATCCAAGTCTTCCTGTAAACCTACTATATTGGTACATATGTCTGATCACTTCCTGTACTATATTGGTACATATGTCTGATCCAAGTCTTCCTGTACACCTACTATATTGGTACATATGTCTGATCCAAGTCTTCCTGTACACCTACTATATTGGTACATATGTCTGATCCAAGTCTTCCTGTACACCTATACACTACTATATTGGTATATATGTCTGATCCAAGTCTTCCTGTACACCTACTATATTGGTACATATGTCTGATCCAAGTCTTCCTGTACACCTACTATATTGGTACATATGTCTGATCCAAGTCTTCCTGTACACCTACTATATTGGTACATATGTCTGATCCATTTCCTGCACAGAGAACACTACTATATAACAAAACATATGTACATATCAAGTCTTCCTGTACACATACTATATTGTTACATAAAAATGTACAAATTTACTTTATATCTTCCTGCACACCTATACACTACTATATTGGTAAAAATGTCTGATCACATTTCTTCCTGTACACCATACTATATTGGTACATATGTCTGATCCATAATTAACTTTTTATTACACATATACACCTACTATATTGGTACAACTTTTTGGTATAAGTCTTCCTGAACACAGGTGATGAAAACAAATATATTGTATTGTCTGAGTTTACAGATTTGGACTGCACACCTGTACATACATATTTAAATATGCACTCTAGCACTAACTTTACCTTAACACCTGGACACTCTATATTGTACATATGTCTGATTACAATTAAAACAAGTCTTCCTGTACACCGACTATATTTCTACATGAACTTGACAAGACTTCCTGCAACATTACACTACTATATTGGTACATATGTCAGGATCCATCTTCCTATCAATAACTATAAAATAGCCTACTATGTTTCTATGACAACAAGTCTTGAAAGACACACAACAATAACATATTGGTACATATGTCTGATCACAAGTCTTCCTGTATCTACCTATGCTTTACAACTTAAATTGGTACATACAATCTCATCATGCATTATGATAAATATATCATTGGTAATTTATGTCTGATTGATGTTGACTGTAATGTCTAGTGCTATGTAATAATTGTAAACAGATGTGTTTCTTTTAACCCTTACCTGTACACTTACTATATTGGTACATATGTCACCATCTTCCTGGTCACATCCTGTACCCCCCAGTACCATTGGGACTGACCTCTGAAGGCTTTCCTGTCTGACATCCTTAACAGCTACTGTTATATCATCAAGGTCATCTGTATAAAAAAGGAAACAAGATGTATAAAAGCAGGTTTAAGACTTATGACAAAGCCAGGATCTTTTCTATATACTGACTATATTGGTACATATGTCTGAAAGGCCAAGTTTTCACTATACACCTACTATATTGGTATTTATGTCCTGATTAAAGTCTGTACATATACTACTATCATATTTAATGAAGGAGAACTGTCCTCAGAGTTATCATATGTCTGATCTAAGTCTTCCTGTACACCTATACACCTACTATATTGGTGCATATGTCTGATCCAAGTCTTCCTGTACACCTATACACTACTATATTGGTACATATGTCTGATCCAAGTCTTCCTGTACACCTGTACACTACTATATTGGTACATATGTCTGATCCAAGTCTTCCTGTACACCTGTACACTACTATATTGGTACATATGTCTGATCCAAGTCTTCCTGTACACCTACACCTATATATGGTACATATGTCTCAAGTCTTCCTGTACACCTACTCCAAGTCTTCCTGCAAACCTATACGCTACTATATTGGTACATATGTCTGATCCAAGTCTTCCTGCACACCTGTACACTACTATATTGGTACATATGTCTGATCCAAGTCTTCCTGTACACCTACTATATTGGTACATATGTCTGATCCAAGTCTTCCTGTACACCTATACACCTACTATATTGGTACATATGTCTGATCCAAGTCTTCCTGTACACCTACTATATTGGTACATATGTCTGATCCAAGTCTTCCTGTACACCTACTATATTGGTACATATGTCTGATCCAAGTCTTCCTGTACACCTACTATATTGGTACATATGTCTGATCCAAGTCTTCCTGTACACCTACTATATTGGTACATATGTCTGATCCAAGTCTTCCTGTACACCTATACACCTACTATATTGGTACATATGTCTGATCCAAGTCTTCCTGTACACCTACTATATTGGTACATATGTCTGATCCAAGTCTTCCTGTACACCTACTATATTGGTACATATGTCTGATCCAAGTCTTCCTGTACACCTACTATATATGTTTTAGATATACAGTTTTACAATAAAGTACTTCAATTCATTATCTAGTCAGAATTGTCAATCTGACAGTCTCAATATCCTTTCTATATCCCAACACAGTAAAGTGTGGAGGACAGAGGGAACTGAATAACAGGGAGTTTTTTAACCTTTCTTGTGTTGACTTTTGAAAATTTTGATTATATACAAAGATACAGATTGTCAAACAGCTGTCGTCTACAGATACTTTCAACAAAAGAGTGTCTAGATATTCAGATGTTTTTTTCTTCTTTAGACCTGACACAAATCCTAATCTTGATTTCAACATTAAACACTTGTTATATTATTTAAAGACAGGACAACTATTTCCAGACAAGAGTGGTATTAATTCAGTTTAAACATCACCAGTTCTCCATGCATTTTTAAAGAATGAATCATTTGTTTTACATCCAGCAAAAATCTCTGTGTATATTGGGTGTGCTGACTTCACCTTGAGACACAGAGGGTCAACAGCTGATCAACAATGTTATCATGCACTTCATATCAAGTACACAACCAAAGAAACTAAGTTGATAACCCTGTCAATATTGGGCTATCAAGGCTAGAGGTGCCCACAATCATTACATCCTGTTGACTGTGCTACAACCCTGCCTATCAAGTTCTCTAATGGTTGAGACCCTGCTCCTCAGAAGGCTATCTCATTCAATACTATGTGACACATGCCAACAAGACAACTGCATCAGTCTATTACAAGTGTTGCCAGATCTTAGTTTTTGAAAGTGACTTTGAAAGAAGTGTTGAATGAAAGGATTTATCTGTTGTCATTACGCATGAAATCCTGAGTATTTCCACTTTAATGTCGTGTATAGGGATTTGTACCCACACTCACTATTATCTGAACACAGCCTAACAGGAAATTACATAAATATTGATAGGATTGACATTTTGGTTATAAAGGAAATATCTACACAATATAAACAGAATATCCTTTCCAGGAGCTAAATCTATCTTACAAAGATCCAAGACATTGTATCAACACTACATCTAGAATCAAGGTCATAAAATGTACATTTAACATAGAATCAGAATCTCTGTCAAGGTAAAATCTAAGGGATTATTTGGTTTGTTATGAGCATGTACGTATAATTCTAAGTATTTACATGAATAACACTGATTTGATGTTATATTCATCAGCCATGCTGATCTATACATCCACGCTGAAAGGACTGTACTGGGAACAAGATTTACAACCAGTTTTCATCTACATGATTCACTACCTGGATTCACAACATGTAACACATTATCTCTTTGCTCAATTATAACCACACTATATAATTCACACACATTACTCAACAATCATTACCAATACCCTTTACTTTAAGGACAGAGTTTTTGTCTAACTCGTGGCAATATCACCTTTTATTGAATTAAACACCCACATATCATATACAATATACATCAATCTTAGACCTGAAATTTTGGGTGTTTGCCATTAAATGGACTACCAGGTGCTCCTTTACGTATACTATGGTGTTTTCCTAATCTGACACAAAAAAGCAGAATCTTACAAGAGTTTGCATCGGAGATATGATTTATGAAACAAGTCTAACATTTTTTTAATTTTCACTAAAATAAAAACTGTATGTGAAGAGTTGCATGAACCCCACACGAAAAAGAAATGAATTCAGACCCTTTTGATCAAATGATGAAGTATTCTAACAAATAATGAAGAAAACAAACATTTCTACGTCAAACTTAAAGTCATATGGGTGCTATGTATATGATATCCATTGTTACATCTAAATGCACTCTTTAAGTGTATTGAATACCAGGGAAATCCCTTGATACAGCATAAATATCTGCAATTTTTTTTTATTTCCAGTAATGTGAATTCTGTCCATCAAATATGTGAAGAAACAATGACAAAGATTCTTATCTCAAAACATTACAATTATAGCACTCATTCAGTAGTGACCAAAAACTTATGACGCAAAGATGGAGGTGGCCAAACTTCTGGACAGTAAGTTCAGACAGATTAGTATTTTCAATGAAGCACTGGAGACATGGATAGGTTTTTTTTCAACAGAAAATAAGAGTTTACAAATTATAAAAAATTGGAAAGTACAAACAATCTAAAATGTTTATCAAATATAGAAACTGTAGATTTATCTATTCTTTCTAGTACACAGGAAATAAAATGTATGATAAATATAGAACTGTATATTTATCTATTCTTTCTAGTACACAGGCAATAAAATGTATGATAAATATAGAACTGTATATTTATCCATTCTTTCTAGTATACAGGCAATAAAATGTATATATATAGACACTGTAGATTTATCTTTTCTTTCTAGTATACAGGCAATAAAATGTATGATAAATATAGAAACTGTAGATTTATCTTTTCTTTCTAGTACACAGGAAATAAAATGTATGATAAATATAGAACTGTAGATTTATCCATTCTTTCTAGTACACAGGAAATAAAATGTATAATAAATATAGAAACTGTAGATTTATCCATTCTTTCTATTACACAGGAAATAAAATGTATGATAAATATAGACAGTAGATTTATCTATCCTTTCTAGTACACAGGCAATATTTATAAATATAGACAGTAGATTTATCCATTCTTTCTAGAACACAGGAAATAAAATGTATGATAAATATAGAACTGTATATTTATCTATTCTTTATAGTACACAGGCAATAAGATACAGTAGATTTATCCATTCTTTCTAGGAAATAAAATGTATGATAAATATAGAACTGTAGATTTATCTATTCTTTCTAGTACACAGGAAATAAAATGTATAATAAATATAGAACCGTATATTTATCTATTCTTTCTAGTACACAGGCAATAAAATGTAACCATAACTAAGAAGAAATGAAACTTACATGTAGTACAAATTATATGGTTAAATACAAACTTGGACACAGTTACAAACAGTAAACCTGATTATAAAATCCATCATATATAGTATATAAAGTTATCTCTTTCTACATACATGAAGCTTTATATATATATTTGTGTGTGTGTGTGTGTGGGGGGGGGGGGGGGGGGGGGGGTACATGCATGAATGTAAGACTGAAAATGAGATGAAAACCCGGAACATCCAGAAACATATACAAGATAAGTTAAGTATACATATGATAATTAAAAAGCACCCTGTATTAAAAGATACTGAAAAAGAAGCATGGCATTGCAATAACATTGACAATGACGGTCATATTAGAAATAATGATCTCTGAAGGTTTTTTGTCGTTTCTGTTTATTTCATCTTTTTCCTTACATCTGATATGACTTTCTTATATGTTTATCATCAAGATAAACTATAACAACAGTATTTTTATTTCTCCAAGCAATAATGGAGCAAGTAACATTGAAAGATTTATCATCAACAAGTTAAAACAGCTATGTTCATTATAGAAACACATGAGAAGTTGTTGGGGTTTTAAAAAAATAAGCACCCACTACAAAACCTTCAGTCAAATATCTATCTGACTATATCACTACTCATGTTAACCAGTATACTAGGATAACCTGGCTGACACAGTGCATGTAGGAGGTATACCACCCACCTATTACAGCCATAGGATTAAAGGATTCTGCAAATCGTGTCATCTGAGCATAAGAAGTCCTATTTCGGGACGGCATATCCCAAAGAGGCTCTCTGGAGTTCTGTCTATCCATGTTTGTAGTTAGTTAGGCTGAAAGTGATGCATTACATTGGAAAACAAATTCATTACAATATAAAACAAGAGATATTTCAGGTAATTTTCAATCCTATTTGACCACATAAAACCCCAAATGAAAAAGTTCATTACAGAACAAGATCAATATAACAGTAACACCACCACAATGCTGATATACTCATTCCTGCTGCATATACATAGGTGTAAGACAGGATCTAAATATGTTAATACAGTAGAATATCATAGTTTCTGTTTAAATATGATAAATGCTTCCTCATTGTTCAGATAGGATCGGTCTTTATTGACTAACCTTAAGTTCTTTGAATGTCGTCAGTTCTTTCATTTGACTGTATAAAGAGAGAACAATGTTTGCAATTTGAAACAGAAAAATGTCATAACTACTGAGGTTCCACTGTCATACAGCACCATTGTAAATTAAAATCATTTGCATTTACCTGTCCTTATATGTGTACTGGAGAAGCGATATGTATTTTTTAGGTAATTTATCTTTTGAACTATTTAAACCATTATAGATTGGTTTATGTTACAAGTAAATGGTGGCCAATTAACTGTTCTGGCCTTGTACAGGTAATGTTCAGTCCTAGTACAGGTAATGTTCTGGCCTAGCACAGGTAATGTTCAGGCCTAGTACAGGTAATGTTCAGTCCTAGTACAGGTAATGTTCTGGCCTAGCACAGGTAATGTTCAGGCCTAGTACAGGTAATGTTCAGTCCTAGTACAGGTAATGTTCATGCCTAGTACAGGTAATGTTCAGTCCTAGTACAGGTAATGTTCTGGCCTAGCACAGGTAATGTTCAGGCCTAGTACAGGTAATGTTCAGTCCTAGTACAGGTAATGTTCTGGCCTAGCACAGGTAATGTTCAGGCCTAGTACAGGTAATGTTCAGGTCTAGTACAGGTAATGTTCAGGCCCAGTACAGGTCATGTTCAGGCCCAGTACAGGTAATGTTCAGGCCCAGTACAGGTAATGTTCAGGCCCAGTACAGGTAATGTTCAGACCCAGTACAGGTAATGTTCAGACCCAGTACAGGTAATGTTCACACCTAGTACAGGTAATGTTTGGGCCCAGCACAGGTAATGTTTGTGCCCATACATGATGTGGACAAGTTATATCTGAGTGGACAAGTTATATCTGAGTGGACAAGTTATATCTGAGTGGACAAGGTATATCTAAGTGGACAAGTTATATCTGAGTGGACAAGTTATATCTGAGTGGACAAGTTATATCTGAGTGGACAAGGTATATCTAAGTGGACAAGTTATATCTGAGTTGAATATTACATGATATACAATCCTAAGATAGATTAGATGGTCACATGATATCTCGATCAGATCAGCTGTAGTATTTGATTACTGTTTTTCTTACAAAGTGTTGTACAAAATGGGAAGTAATTTGCTTTCAACCTACGACTCATTGCTAAAACCTAGATAATATCTAACAATTATGAGATTTTACAACAATTTTAGAATCATGTGACTTCTGTGTCATGCTTCCCTAACTAGGATATATTAAGTCTTCACCATGAAGGTATATGATATTTTGATGAACACAACTATCTACTGTGAAATCAATGATTTTATTTTCTTTGATTTCAAGGATAATTTAATCATCAATTCATGTGTCCACAAACTCTGTTTCTGAAAATACCATGAAAATTTGCGCCCCATGAATATAAGATTTCACATTAGTTAGCATATAGATCATACTTATAAATATCCATTGTAGTGTAACACACAAATAAAACAATACCTTACCTAATGGTAATCTTCATCATAATACCTTAAACTTACATACCATGCAATACTCAATACAGTTTGGCCATGGACTGTGTTTATACAATATCAGATCTAGACATGTAGATTGGTGTGAAGACTTATACAGTACCTGTGTCTCTGTCTGAAGCCAGAAAGGCCTTATCCTGCATCACAGACATGTTACAACTATACTATTCAATGTTTTTGTACAGGAATGTGGTAATTTTTATGATTGAAAACATTTATGATCCTCCTAAAGCTAATATTGAAATGTACCTGGACATGTAGCCCCACCTGGAACCAGGCAATGTTTGCTCTTTTGATCAATTCCGCCTACACATCAGTATACCATGTGTTTATATATACCTGTAGAACAGGGAAACATGGCAGCAATCTGCATGCATTGTACATCTACCAAACAGGTACACAAGCATGTAGTCTGGTTATTCCTAATGTCCTATTCATATTTACAGACTGAAAGATTTTTGTAACTGTCATGCGATCATAATGCAAATCAGTTTACATTGGCTTTTAACATCAACCTGCATTGATGAAACTTGTATTCACAAGGGCACAAAAACTAAACTGAGTTAGTTGTATTCGACACATATTCACATTTCAAAGCCAAAAGGGATTGTAATTCAAGTATATTTCAGCCCATCGAGGTATAGAAGTAAATTTTCAGTTCTTTGTGATCAACATTAATTATGAACCAGGAAAATGTCACCAAAATATTGAGTTTCTTTATTTATTTTACAACAACTCGAAATAAGATTTTATCATATTATAAGATCTTGTTGGCCCGAATACAAGCATGCGATGGGTTTTACTGGAAACCGGAGTACCAGTTCAGGAAAACCCACATGTTTGGGCAGTTGATCCCCATACTTTACATCTGTACTGTGAATATGAAACCCAGAGGTCTTGGTGAAAGGAGAATACATTACCACTGCCACCTGATCTCCCTTCATATTCATTTCTTACAATGGTCTTGTCGTTATAGAGAATGGAGAAATGTCAAAAGACAGAGATTTTATCTGGTACTATCTATGATGTGATTGGCTAATTATGATGAAGTGTGGCTGGAATATTTTCCCTGGAATTTACATACTTAGATGACTTCGAGCGGAACCTCATTAATCAGATATCTTCCTACTGTTATGAAGTTTTCTGTATTCATTTAGAAAACATTGCCTTATGTAGCTAGTTTTAGCTACATATAAAAATAGAATGTAATTAAACATAAGTAACTCATGTAGTAAAATAAACCAAACTAAATATTGATTAAGATGTATTACATAAATATTTGTAACTAATGACATGATTAGTCCAAGTTATGAGGAAGACTCCAACAAAAATAGGGAGGGTCAACAGGTATACTGAGCCTTCTATATATAGCTGAACTGTAACCTAAAACGCGTGAAAAAGTGACCTGACAAACAAGAGAGAAAGTCCGAAAAAAATGTAGTAAAATGACCATATCCCATAGAATATTTGTTACACATGGCCCGAGTCTTTTAACCTGTACCAGTAAAGTTTATGTTAGTGACATTGTAAGACATTCTACAGGTATATGATAGTTCTCTCAATAGATTTGTAGGGTATAGATGTCTTGTTCAACATAGCTAAGATTCCTCCTAGGTATACACACCCTACCAACCCTGTCGTTTTATAAATATCCCCCACCCACCAGTGTTATAATATATAAAATTCAGTTTAAAACACCTCCTACAAACAAAGTACATGTACGAGTACTAAAAAAACATTAAAATCTCACGGCCAGGTTTCCTCCCAGGAACATGTGTACAGGCAGAATCAGTGATGAGGAAAGGTCACACAAAATCCCTGGTCAGGGGTCACTTGATGTTTACTGTACACATATATGTGTATAGTATAGTCTACCTGAGGGGCCAGGTGGGGGGAAATTATTGGAATGTACATTATGATAGTAAACTTAAGACATATTTCTGATAGTGAAGGTTATCAATTTGGTATGTTTCTTAATTCAGGTATTTCAAAAACTCGAGATTTACATTAAAAGATACCAAGGTCATATGCAATGAATTGTATGAGTTTCTATTTAAGACAATGAAAGCATAGTTTTAAAGTACAATCTATACAAAATATGTTAGATGACTGTAGTAACATTACAGACTGAAGTAAAGGGTAGATAACAAGGTAATTATTTGTTGATCATGATTAATACAACAATCTTCCAGCAATCCATTTCTCATTTCCATGGTCTTTATCACATACTGTGTAATTATAACATTATGGTAATTATTTATCAAATCTTTTCACCCACCTCTCATTACTAAAATCTTTCAATAGAATCAAACATACTATAGTGGGTATATTTCACCACCAACAATAAATAAAACATCAACATTGTAAAATCAAAACAATAAAAAATAAACTGAAGTGGACAAGCAAAGTGGTGTGACAATAAGTAGTACAGTCTTATAATATACTCTGTGATATGTACTACAACATTTTGGGTGACAGAAACACATTCTGTACACAGGAAGATACATTTGTATGTGTAAGAAGATATATACACAGGAAGAAGTGGAGGTGTCATGTTAACAGGCCCCAGATTTACTGGTGATATAATGTTACAAGGGTGTCTCATATAGTTCATGTGTATCAATCTTTACCCTGTAATATAAATAAATAATACCAGGGACAAACATTAATATGTTTATACTTGTAGAAAGGAATACATAGTTTACAAATTTCTTTTTGACACAACAATGATTTTGATTTCAATGAAAAATAATTTCAAACTGACTGAATGAAACAAGCTCTAACAAGGCTGTCATTCTAGATCTCTACAGAAAACATTATAATAGAATAATACAATGTCTATTTCTACAGGTGAATGTATCCTCCATCATCAATAAAATATCTTAAAACTGAAAAAAATTGAATTTCAATACGTAACCAGACAGGAACAATACACAAACAAACGGGAATTAAACAAAAAAACTAAAAATAAAACAACATCATATCTAAATAAAAATAGCATGCATTAACAAAAAACATTTGTGGAATCAACTAAAATTTGTATCAACAATAAAATTCTACTAATGATATCATACTCCACAAAAAAGCTAACATCAATCAATGTCTACGTACCCAGTATAGCAGGGCGACCAACTGTTGTAAGAAACAACAAACATAACTGTTCCAGCTTTAGTGTATTTGGTTAAAGAACATATTGTTATTTACATTTCTGATGAATCAAAATCAATTTCCAGTGTAAAAATAATTTTAATTCAGAATAAAATGCTTCCTATTGAAGAATCAAACTACCTAACCATCTGATTAATTATAAATTGCATGCAAGTGGTTCAATTCTTCATCTGTCATATGATCATTATAAACTTATGTGCACTTCCTTAACATATAGTGATATTCATTCAGAATTAGAGAATTTATCATAATAAACAAACTATTATGTGAATCATAACCCAATCAAATATCAACACTTTTGTCCAGCAGCTTATACATATACAGAAAACACATTTGTACATTTAAAATTTTCAAAATCTAAAGTTTGTTAACAATTTCATGGTTTGAAAATTTGAACACAGAAAAACTGTAATGTAATTCAATTTAGAATTTTGTCATTTTTTTAATAATGCAACATGACAATAAAACATATAAGTATTAAAAACAAGTGACTCTTCTGGTAAACACGTGCTACCGTTCTTGCGTCCTTACTTTCAAAGAGCAACCAATTATCACCAAATCATTGTCTGATAAGGTCATCCTATTAAAAGAGATTATCAGTTGGCACAATCATTGGCTGATAAGGTCATCCTATTAAAAGAGATTATCAGTTGGCACAATCATTGGCTGATAAGGTCATCCTATTAAAAGAGATTATCAGTTGGCACAATCATTGGCTGATAAGGTCATCCTATTAAAAGAGATTATCAGTTGGCACAATCAGTTGGCACAATCATTGTCTGATAAGGTCATCCTATTAAAAGAGATTATCAGTTGGCACAATCATTGGCTGATAAGGTCATCCTATTAAAAGAGATTATCAGTTGGCACAATCATTGGCTGATAAGGTCATCCTATTAAAAGAGATTATCAGTTGGCACAATCATTGGCTGATAAGGTCATCCTATTAAAAGAGATTATCAGTTGGCACAATCATTGGTTGGCAGTTATAACTAATTACCCAATTCTAATAAAAAGCAACAAGACATCAGGGAATTAAAAGATTACATATGTCAGAACATCAAAAATTTCTGATACCGTAATTACCACAAATATCTCTGCTACCCCTTATAAGCATCTATCCCCCTATCTGTGGAGAAAATGAAATCATATATGTGACCCTTTTAATCATCTCAAAAACTTCTAAATTATTCTTTTATTTACACTTTAATCTTAACCTGCTGCCGCCAGGAAAATATTGTACATGCTAATGTTATCATGTGCCACTGGCAGCAGGGATTTCCACATCATTGATTCATCAGAAGCACTCTCAATTTCTAAATATGATTGCTTAGTCAAATTTTACCAACTTTTTAAGTCATCATTGCAGCAAATGTTGGCAGGCAATATATCCCCTAAATGTTGTCAAACATAAATTGAAATTAATCTCAATGATACTGATCCTGTCGTGATAGGGAAATTCGGAAAAAGAATATAGTTTCCGAGTTTGAAATAAAAAATTTTAATGCAGCCATACAACTGAATGACTATGTTTAGGAAGATAATCTAAGTCATGGATACATGTGAGTTTTATAATATTTTGGCTATGAATATGGATGTTTGTCTACAGTCCTTTTTATCTTTTTTAAAATCTTTGCCAGCTAGTGAAGAAGTACATGCAATATGAATACGTACACTCCTCTTATTGTATACATCATGCTGTATTACAGCTTACAGTGAAAGCTATTATCCTACTGTGTTAATGTATAAGGGAGATAGTATATACTGTTCATGGCAATTAACTAATTAGATAATCCTGTTAGTTACCATGTATGTAGTACATTTTGGTTTACTCACCAGCTGTCTCCTCCGCTGCTAACATATGCAGCTTGACATCATCATCTACTACACCCGCCATTTCCAACAGGTAGTAGCTACAGCTTCATACACAGGGTTGAACTATCACGCTGTAGAATATAGATTTGAATTTAATGACACAGCTGAATAACATACACTGAATAACGTAAACAAATACAAAACCTATTCAAGGGTTAGCAGAAGTTAATACAATATTATGAAATATATAAATAGTACCAAGAAAGGACAGATAATAGTAGGGATGAATTAGACTATTCACATAGAAAATTACTCACTAAAGCATATCCTATATTTTAATTTTAAGAAAACTTGTTTATTAAAAAGGATAATTATATGACAGTCAAATGCTATGTTTTTTCTGTTTGCTCCGATATATGATAACCAACATTTGTAGAGGAAGAACAGCAATTACACAAAGATTACGATGAAGATACTGACACATTTGTGTGTACAGCCACAGACTTATATACATATATATATGTATATAAGTCCGATAAGTCTGTGGTACAGCTATCACTACACACGTGTAGGTGTCTACATGCTACAGTGAGTGTTATATCACTTTACCACCTGTACTACATGTACACACATAATTACTACTGACCACTACACAATCAGACCACAGCATGGTCACCACATGTAACCCTGACAGCTGCAGGACACTTGGTCAGTACAGGTGATCCAAAGAGTAGCACACTAAATAGTACACTACATAATCTCACCTCAAAGGCATTGTCCGAGACCTACCTGTACTGACCACAGTCAAATTTTTGTCTGTTTATATCAAGTCTCCTTACAGGAAATATTCATGCTTTACTAACACTGACAATTAAAATGACAATTAAATCATCCAGGTGTCAAGTATCAAAGAAAGCTACACTTGAGTTTACACTTTCACTTCCCAGTTTTACTTCCGTTGATGTACCAGTGATACTTGAAGTATAACACTGGCTAGCTCTGATGTTTAGTAGTGGGTGACTAGATTTCCTACTACTAAGTATTTAGGACAACACAACAGATAGCATTGTAAATTCCACACATTCCAGGGTGTGTCATTATTATCATTCTATGGTAGGAATATGTAGCATTCTACTTAAAAAGGAAGTATGTGTAATTATACCAGCATTATTTCTTGCCATGTTTTACAACCCAAAACATGCTGCTGCTAGTAGCCTATAAAGAATATATTATTTTCCAAAATAATTGAAAATTCACAAAATAATTCTGAATATTTTGATGAAAATAAGACTACCCGAATTCATATCAGCACTGAATAGGCTACTGTCAACAGGCTAAAACATGCTGATATACAAATGTGCAAGAAACTATCAAATCAACATTTGATCTACAGATATTTTATAAAAACAAGCACTGCTTAATCTCTTTCTGTCTTGTTTTTATTTGTTTGTACTTACATCCATGGATATATGTATGAAACAAATATGCACATAATTTCAAACAGATATTCTAAAAACATGTTTTCAATAACATACAAATACATGAAATAAAAGTCGATGTGATCTGAGCCCAACAACAAAAAATATTTCATCAGTGCCCAGTTACATATACATTGTACTAATATTTACTTGGTTTAAATATGAAGCTACCATGTATTGTTTTTGTGGAAGACATTACATTACTTTATACAAATACTGAAAATACATTGCACAAAATTAAGTCTTTCAGCGATGAAGATTGGAATGAAATCATCATCAAAATATGACTCTAAATGTCTATTGGCATCGCTATTTTACATTCACAGAGTCTGATTAGAGTGTCATGTTCAATCCTTCCTTTTAAGAGTTGATATTTCTTATTGACATCAAATAACGTATACCAAGTGATAATCCTTCAGAATGTAAGTACCGATAAGATAAGAAACTGCTGAATATGTAATTTTCTAACTTCAATCTTTCAAGCACTGAGAGTGGGTTTGACAGCTTTTCGTACTTCTATCTTACTCAATTCATTACCACCAGAGACATGTTACCACTATACAATTTGTTGTCAATGCAAGATGTACATAATATACACTCAAATGAAATACATACTTCACTCTCTACTAAAGAGTTTTGATGCAACAAGAGATATAAGCTTGTAATTGTTAACAATGTACAATATCCCACTGGGGTTGACCGTTCAGACATCCAGCTTTTCTTTTCGATATCCTAAAATATAGGTTCTCATCCTTAGTCAATTCAAGGAGCTAAACCAATGACAGTTAAAAATAATATAAATGTGACCGCCGGAACCGTTTATATCTGCTATTTTTAACGAAAAGTGTTAAATTGTTCAACTGGTACACACCTACTCTATGCTATGAGATAATGAGATTAAAAAATCTGAGATTCGCATGAGTGAACTTTCACTGTCACTGACACCTCTCTGTCAACCGACTTCCCAAGGTTTAGGATAGGTCCGAACTTCGTACCAACAAGATTCTCGATTCCATGAATGTGTTGCTGCACTAGAAACGCATACTTCCAACCTTAGTTTGCATTTTATGCTTAAATTTTGGTATACTTACACAAAAAAAACACGCAACAATTCCCTGCTATATAAGCCGGTGAGAGCCACACTATTTCCAAAGTTGCCACAGCTGTGTGGTACAGGAAGCTAGGTACGCAGCGCCCTCGCCTTCCAAGCATCGGCATAATCATTCATGCGTAAACTGAAAATGGGGCCCACAACGGGGCTGACACAGGTCTCTGCTACAACTTATGAGTTAGTAGTTCCTGTGAAAACATCGGATTCCATTTTTTACCTAAACATAGTTAGGGCTAATACGCCTCTGCTTGGGATTAATTAGAGTTGAAATAGCTGTGTTTGTAAACCATCTTTTCAAAATGAAGAGTTAAAGCAAACTGATTTCAAATTTATTGTATTAACTGATTTCGTTTAACGTTTAATCATCATCATCATCATCATCATATTTAGATACACATACACATACACCCATGTAACATGAATGCAGGAAAAAAAAACCTTGAAATAATTAAGGCCATTACATCTAAGCAGGGACGTATGAGAAAATGAAGCATTTTGATAATCTGAACATCAGTGTTGTAAAGCTGCTGTACGGACATGTTTATAAAGTTAAAACAGGAATGTAGATACCGCGGACTCAAGTTTCTGTTATTAAATCCATGTTGACATACCATAGGTGCACCCGATCTATATCTAGATTTTTGTCTAATGATACAATCTGTGATAAAATATCAGTAACCATACTAGACTATGTTTTAACGACATTTTAAACAGTCCAGTTTCATTTATTTTTATTGTATGGTTAATTATAGTGTCAAACTATCATTTTCATAAAATTGTTTACTTTTTCAAATCATAGAGGAATTCCTCCTAAAGTTACAAGATTTTTTTTTCAAGATTTTATTTCTCTCAGACAACAACAATGTGTGACAAGAGGTCATACATATTGAAACATTTTTAGTACATGACAGGCAGCCATAGTTATAAACATGTTATATATTTGTTGATTTTCCGAAAACATACATTGTAAGCAGCTCAAACATTTTAATATCTAGGACAATCAATGCTAACAATTAACGCAGTCGCATTATAAAATGTATGACAATCGTTGAATAAACATGCTTACATTCATCAATAACTTTTTATTAAAGACTGTGAACATCCCTTTCATTTTGTATCGGTTAGGATATTTACAGTAGTATCCCGGGATATACTTCAGTCTTAGCTGTTTTACTTCATCATTATTACACAAAAATAAAAAATGAAACTCATCTCCTATACCATTATTACACATGGGACATACTCGATCAAGATGTTGTATCCCTCTCCATCTACCTAATTCTACCGGCAATTTAACATTTGCTGTTCTGAATTTACAGATAAATTCTGCATCTTTTTTATTCAACCGTAATAAATATTCTTCAATACCAAATTCATTTTTTAAAATACTATATACTTGTCCTCTGGACGATTTTTCCATTTCGTCAAACCAAGATTTGACAAACTGGTCCTTCAGTCTCTGAGCAACTTCAGATTTTAAAAAATTGATATGTGGTAAACAAGTTTTTTGAAACATCCATACATGACCTAATCCAACACTGTTTAAAATATTTTTGATGCAGTTTATCCATTTGAATTCTATTTGGCCTGTTTCGTTGAGTGAATACATCAATTTATACATGCAACTTGATAATTTATTCTCATTCAGGATTAGTGAGTACCAATATTTAACCATTCTTAATTTAATATCTATAGTAATAGGGTATCTTCCGATTTCTCCGTAGACCATAAAATTGGTTGTACTTTTCTTCAACCCCAAAATTTTCTTACAAAATTGTAAATGTATCTTTTCAATAAGATAACAGTTCTCATATCCCCATATTTCACTTGAATATAATAAAATCGGGGATACCAATGCATCAAATAATTTCAATTTCAAATCAAGCGGTAAATCAATATTTCTTATTTTTCGGTATACTACAAACAGGGCTTTTCGAGCTTGCTCAGACAAGTGTTTTTTTGCCGCGGCAAAACTACCATTGTAATTAAAAAGAACTCCTAGGTAGGGGAACGAGCTTTGTATATCAAGTTCGTTATTGTAAAGTAAAAAACTATTTCTAGATTTATTCTTTCTTTTAGAAAAAATGACAATTTTAGTTTTCTCGGTGTTCACTCCTAATTTCCAATTTTGGCAGTACTGTTGGAAATGATTTAACATAGCTTGCAGACCCTCTGGTGTTTCAGATATTAACACCGTATCATCAGCATATAAAATAACAAACAATTTTATAAAAACACCAATATTATCCCAACATAATTCATTTAGTTTCAACAAATAGTCGACATTTTTTTCTGATAAAAAATCCTCCAAATCATTAAGATACAGGGCAAACAAAAATGGTGAACAATTTTCTCCTTGTTTCAATCCGACATTAGAAGCAAACATCTGTGACATATCACTACCATTTCTAACACAAGATTTCGTGTTTGAATATAAATTATATAACACTTTAAGTATTTTACCAGTAATGTTATTTTTAAGCAATTTCCTCCACAATCCTACACGCCATACTGAGTCGAATGCTTTCTTAAAGTCAATAAATACACAATACAATTTTTTTCCAGACGATAAGTATAATGATATGAGTAGATGTAAGATAAATATGTTATCAGTTGTTGAATGCCCTTTTCTAAAACCTGCCTGGGCATTACTAATGAGGCCGATCTGGTCAGATAATTCGTATAACCTTGTATTTTGTACTGATGTGAAGACTTTTCCAAGACAAGATACTAGCGTTATCGCCCTGTAATTATTTAAGTCATTCTTGTATCCCTTATTTTTATATATTGGGATAATTATTCCGGTGTTCCAGCTTTCTGGTATTATTCCAGTGTCTAATATGATGTTAAAAAGGTTTACATAAGTAGGTAACATGATATCAATAGAACTCTTTATATATTCGTTAATTATGTTATCAATGCCACTTGCCTTGTTATTACTTAATTTTTTTACAGCTGTAGTTACTTCTTCAGAGGTAATTCTACTATTTAGTATATCGTCGTATAAACTTCCCCTCATGTCTGGAATAATAAATTCCTCATCTTTGTCGTTATCACTATTTAACTTTTTAAAATATGCGTATAGCTCATCGATCGACAAATCGATTTTTTGTCTTTTTTTCCTATTATCAACTTTATTTAAAATGTTCCAGAATAGTTTTGGGTTGAACTTGGAAGCATTTCTCATCTCATCTTCAATTTCCTTTTGAATTTTTTTATAATTATTGTTTAACGACTTTCTATATTCTCTACTCTTTTTACGTAATTTTTTTCGGTTCACATTATTTTTCAAATTCCTGTAAGTTTTCTTTGCTTCGTGAAACTCTTTACGCTTACTAGCACAATCACGGGTAAACCACGGTTTGTCTTTAATATTATTACTGCTAACAATAGTTTTACTCTTGACCTTTTGGGTTCCAAGGACGTCCCTTGAAATTTTCGCAAACAGATTAGCAATATCATTTACCACATCATTTACATCTTGTTTGGAGATTTCAATATCTGAATCTAACATAGCATCAATGATCGTGTTTATCGCTTGTAGCTTCCCTTCGTTATCAGATCTAAGATCCGCTATAAAATCACCCTTTTTATCGTTCACCCATTTTCCAGTTTTCTCTGTAATTACAAGTGGTTTCTCTGTAACATTTTCAGACATATTTATAGAAAATATTATTCTGTTATGTACGTCTGAAATTAAAGGGTCAAAGTCAAGTACATCAAAGTGACTCAAGAAGGAGAAAACATTTGAAGATACCATTAAATAGTCAACGAGAGTTACATTTTTACACGTATTCTTTCCGATATATCTGTCATTACCAACTCTGCCATTGGCGATATATAGATTACTATTTTTACAGAATTCTAACAACTACGCTAGCATGACCGTCCGTTCCTTCTGATAAGAGCGAGTACTCGGAGATTGTGTTTGTTTGAGATTAGCATGGTTACTCATATTAACTGATACCCCAAAGACCTAATAAAATGTCATCTCCACCTATCAAAATAACAATGGGATTTAGTTAATAAAAATGAGCACAAATTTTCTGTTTCGCCAAAACAAGGACCAGTTATTAAATATTTATATAACTTAATTAAACTATAATAATAAAATAGATAATCAATCAAATCAATTGATTGAATTAAAACAAATATCAAGTAATTAATTTGAGAGCGTCTACAGTATATGTATTTTTACACGAAAAGACTCCATATGATGAAATTGTGGTAAGAGAGATCTCCCATCCAATATCAAAGAATTGAAAACGACAGGTCCATTCGATCAAAACGTGACCATATATAGGCAAATTTGGAAGTCTAACTACTAATCTTTCATAACAACGAAATAATTATATAGCGACATTCATTCGTAAAACATCTCACAATTAACATTAAGACAAGATAATTTTCCCTATTCAATTTCGGCGTTAAAACACAGCGTATAGATAGGTACAAACTTTTACATTGCCCATTTTGCGGTATTTTATTATCGAAAAACTTCAATAACGAATCTGAGAACGAAAAGGGAAGGATATCAGAAATAACAGATAAATGTGCGTGGAGATAGGTATGGTTTTTAAACTACAGTGTTGCTGGTTCGATCACTTGTAAGGAACAACAATCTCGTTCAATAATCTTGGAATAACCTGTATTCATCCGTAACTTTTCTCCTCGCCAAAGTTTAACCAATAAGTAGGAGTTGTCGCCCTTGGTTTCTCCCGCGATATGCTACAATGGACGTGATACACTGACAAGAGACGCTCAAGTATAAACGAATAAGAACACTAATAATTCGTTTAAAAATTAATTTATCTATTTATTTAAATAATCATCATTTCTCAAATTATTTGCTCACCAACATGGTTTTTATGATTTAATGCTATTTAATATAAACAGAGTTACATAATGCAACAATAACAATCCATATTTGCAATATATGCGAGAAAAAAACATATAAATCACAACACTACTTGAACTAGCATCTATTGTATAATGTACAGATAAAATGTAGCATGTAGTTACTATT